AGAGAGAGAGAGAGAGAGAGAGAGAGAAGGAGGAGAGAGAGAGAGAGAGGTGAAAATGCAAAAAAAAAAAAGAAATGAAAATGTAACAGAGAGAGAGAGAGAGAAGGAGGAGAGAGAGAGAGAGGTGAAAATGCGAAGAGAAAGAAATAAAGATGTAACACACAGAGAGAGAGAGAGAGAGAGAGAGAGAGAGAGAGATGAAAATGCGACGAGAGAGAGAGATGAAAGAGGACTACATAGTCAGGGGAGCAGAGAAAATGGCATGTTTTCATTTCAGAGTAAGTAATCCATTATATCCCTGACATCAATATGAGGGGATCACAAAGGCCAAACCTAAAGCAAAAAAGGGCATTTGTGCAGATAAAAAAGGGCTAACCATTTTATTTTTATCATGCTTGTGTTTTTTATATCTCACGGACGGCTTTGATCTGTGCTTGGTCTCTGGTCCTGTCAAAAATGATGAGTGATATTAAACGATAAGCGCTGTGTGACCTTTTATCTTTGATTTATAATGTTGATTGAAAAAAAATGAAACATTGTCATTTTTCAATGGTGGCATATTTATGTTCGATTTTTAAAGAAGGAATTTATGTTTACAGCAGTGAAGCAAGTCCGATAAAATGATACAGTTTACTTCCTTCACAAATTTAGCATTTGGATGTTTATAAGGAACATTTCATAAACCTACAACAACTCGTGAATCAAATGCAATTAGAAAGACGTAAACTTTTCAGTTATCAGTTCTTTTCAACCAAAGTTTTATTTCCCTTGCAGTGTATTTTTCAAGAACTATTTCCTGTGATATATTTTATTAATGGTATAATTTAAGATGTCTTAAAAGGTCATACATCATGCAAACATCGTTAAGGTTGCACTAAGTTTCTTAAGAACATAACTGTTATCTTGATTTGACCTACACACAGAGAGAGAGAGAGAGAGAGAGAGAGAGAGATAGAGAGAGAAAGAGAGAGAGAGAGAAATTGAAATACCAAGCTTAGGTGAATTAGATGCTATTTTCATTTTATTCTTTTTTATCTTCATATTAGTTATCGGTATACGTAATAGCTTTGATTTGCTGTTTATTCTGTTTCTTTGGAACGTAACTGGAATCTTGATATGAGTTTCAGGGAAAGAGAAAGGGGGAGAGAAAGAAATTGAATCACCAATCTTAGGGGAATTAGATGCTCTTTTCATTTTATTATTTTTTATCTTCATATTGGTATATTAATGGCGTTGTTTTACGCGCACCTGAATCTTACCACTCGATTTGCTGTCATTTCTCCTTCCATTGCTCGGCATTGTATTCTTATACAATTAACAAGACCGTGTCAACGGAAGCATGGTGCGCAGATAAAACGCTTTTGACAAATTGTGTCAATAACATCATAATGGTTAAATATATCAATGACACCAAAATTCAAAAGCCACAATCATTTAATTGTGGTTGTATTGAGAAAAATAAACTCTAAATGAAAAAGTATACTGATGAATGAGCTATAGGATGCAAGAGTAGTCTGTTATCAGCTGGTTAGGTCTGGCTCGCGGATTGTCCCCGATAGATCGTCTTTTGTGTTCAAACTATCCGTTTGAATGCTTATTTGAATTTGTCTTTTATCGTTTCCGCACACGCGGAGAGGGAGAGAGATGATTTTACTTTCATAGATTTTAGAATGCAGAGCTGTTGAAGAAAAATGAGTAGATTTTGTAGCTAGAAAAGACAAATTGAATAAACGTCTTGAATTCTACGCTTCTAACATTTGAGTCCCTCTCTAAATAGAGACAATAAAGCATTGACATGACGCAAAATTAGAAACTGGAACACCAAAAACGGGTTTTCAGATTTCCATTTTTTTTTTTACATTTTGGGGACAATATATACCTTTGTTTTAAAGACAAAATCGTTCAAATTTCCGAAATTGTTATTTGTTGTTATAAAAAGAGAAAACGGGTATTGTGTGTCCGTAAAAGGTTAATAAATACTCCAGGTTTCTAGGTCTTTGTCCTGAAAACGCATTAAGATTGCCGGCAGGTATAATCACAGACAAAATGGTGTTTATTTAAACGCTTTTCGCCTTCCCTGCGTTTCCGTCTGCAATCAGCTATGTCCGGATTAAATAGCAGACGACACTGGGAGAAAATGGAATTTGTATGCTTCGAATTACCCATACATTTCCGCTGGCCCCTACGTACTTTACTGGGGGCCCTTCAGACTGAATTATTGAATTGATTCATAAAAGTACTGTTTTAATAAACTAAGATTATTACATATCCCATATGGAAGAGCGATGGCATATCTATCAACAACATCGAGAGTGGATTGTCAACTTCTGTACTGCAGAACTGCCCCGTATAATATCCATCTGTGATAAAGGATCCTTACCTACAACCTTACACTTCTCTGTATAAGAATATTAAAATAATTTTATTCACATAAGTATTGGTTGGAATTAAAGAAAATATTTTAACGAATTCATGTTCGAGGCCCACAGGTTATCCAGCCTAGTTTTGTCACTGGATATTCAAGGTGATTTATCAACTCTATTAGCAATCCATGCTTGGGGCCCCTGATGTTTGGCATGATCGTTCCTTAGAAAGATATTCGGTTTTGGTCTAAAATTTGCGATATGCAATTGACCGAAACACCGTTTAGTTTTAAACTCCTGTTTTTGCCCTAGGCTTGGAAGAAATAATTTGGTTTTGATCCAAATTACTTGATATTCAATTGACCGACATATCACTCAGTCTTGAAATATAATTCAATTTTTATTCAAAATCTTCGATATTCATTAACCCACATATACCGTTTGGCATTGAGAATATAGCACATGATTGATCCTTGATTCATCCTGGGCTGTCAGATTGAGTGTCTAGTTTTGGACATCCAGCTAACATTAAGACGAGTCTAAATTACCGACTTAACCGCACTGATGGTCTTTCGAGGAGAAACGCGAGCATTTCGTAAGACGTGCTTAAAGTCATTGTTCTTAGATTAACTGATGATCTATGAAGACGACGCTGACGTTGATGGTATCAATCGAGACCCTGGGACATTTACCCAGAAAACAGTTTCCAATTTCATGTCTGAGTGGATGGTTAACTGGGTTAAACACGAGTTCTCAACTCTCTCTTTTCTTGTTAAATGGGTCTTAAGTACAGACTATTATCAAAGTATCGCAGAGAGACTATAAATGGATAAAACCTTAGATTGTTTCATGGTCAGATACATTAATTGATAAGTCAATTTAGTTAAAGTCATTAATAAATTGGACAATTAAGGTTCAAGACCAAGGTTAGAAAAAAACTAGAAACAAAGCAGCCGAAAGTTGGACATAACTTTTGCATCAAAATTTCAATTTACTTCTATTTGAAATTAACCCATATCAGTTCCTGGTAGTCGCATCGTTTTTGCGAATTTTTATTGGACTGTACTTTATTTGGTAGTTTTTTCATGGTTCAGCATCAAGGTCACTTAGACTGCCACTGTTATCAAGACACATCTGCCGTTTGCGAATTTTTGACAAAAGCTTGCAAAATGCATTTTAGTCGGCTGTCTTTGTCTGAGTAGACTAAGATTTTATCCACAGACTGTCTTTTAGACTTTTTGCGTTAAAACAGTTTCTTTGCAAGCAAACCCAGAGCTGTAGTTCTATTTACAGCTCTAATGCAGTACCATTTTGTCACCCGTGACATAGAAATACGGGGATTATTTTCATCTAACAAAAATATTCATATTACGTGAAAAGGTGTATGTCACCATAAAGGCATAGCATCAGAAACAAGTGACTTAGAATTAAGACAATGCGTTCTTCATAGCTACATTTTAAGTAGACAATTTTTCAGCAGAACAAATGTTTGTTCTCATGTCGTTTGCGTTTGAATGATAGCACTGGGCTTCCAATTGGCTTTTCTATAATGGAGTTCTGTTTAAGTGTATTCTTACTGCACGTCGTCATTCAAGAGCGGAGTAATAAAAGCCGACAACGGAAGATAAATGTAGCATGGCGGATGTGCCATTTAGCGAGTAAATTCAGACAAAGTGTATGTGATTTGCATGTCATTAATTCAATCGCGCATTTGCTTAACGAGCCTTGAAAATTCGCAAATTAGATGAATAGTAACGTTCACAAGGTAGTTTATTTTTTCCAACCGCTATGTTATGTGAGGGGACTAGTTGTTCGTGTCTTTATACCTTTTCATGCATGCGCGTATAAAGGAAAGGAACCACTTGTCTGTTACAATGTAGAATCGAGTGTTCGGATAAATGGAAAGGATATTATGTCTTGAGGGAAAATTATGGTAAACTCCTTCCGGAAATTTTCCACGTGGTCCCATTAGAAATTGACCCAAAATCCTGTAGGGTCCTGTAAGATATATATTCTAGAATTCTAGAAAGGTCCTACAGGACGTCCGGTAGAAATCCTTTCGTGTCCCAGAGAGTCATTTAGGATTAATATTAAGTCCCTAGTGTCCTTAATANGTTAGTCCTTAAAATATTTTCATAAGGGGTACTCACACAAATGATCAATATGTGTATTTATTTCTTTATTTTAGGCGAGGTGGGCAAAGAAATGTACATAGTGAATCGCGGAAAGCTCCAGGTGGTTGCCGACAACGGAAAAACCGTCCTGGCCACTCTGAAACCAGGCAGCTACTTTGGGGAAATCAGCATCCTTAACATGGGCACTGCCGGAAACAGACGAACAGCTTCGGTAAGGTCCGTCGGCTACTCGGACCTGTTTTGCCTTTCCAAGACGGACCTCTGGGATGTCCTTCGAGATTACCCCGCCGCCAGGGTGCGCCTTGAAGCCATTGCTGTAAAGCGGTTGGAAAAATACAAAAAGGCACCTATTGAACAAGGTAAATGGTTCTTCTGCTAACTTTGGGCACCAGGGGTGGGGGCATAGATTTTGTTTATATCCACTGCAAAATGAAAAGTTTTCTAGTGCACTGGCGCAATACATAAACGCAAAGGAAAATCTATAACGAAAGGTGTAAAAACTATTTTAAACAAGTGCGGGCCAATAACAATACCTTTAATGTCCACAATACTTTACTCATATGTAGAAGTTGCTATGCGAAGAAATTTATTTCTCTAGCTGGATAAGGATGTATCGTTGTATCTGACAGGTGCTGCCAAGAAAGAAGTGAATTTAACGTTAATCCGGGGAAAAATACCATTGCATCCTGTTGTTTTAACATTTTAAAATAGAATGATGCCGTGCCATTATATACATTTAAAGAATTATAATTTCAATTTGACAACCCTTTCGTACATTTACGATGTTTGTCTAAGTTTGGAAACATGATGAAATTCATTGTTCCAAAGAGATACCGTCATGCATATTAATTGGTTTTGTCTTTCAAAATAGTATTTCCGCTGTTCGGTTATGGCCTGGATTCCACGTTTGTTCTAATTATAAATCGCACGTCTTAACTTAAGAAAATACATTTCATTTTACAGCCTCAATGAGCCGAAGTCGTAGCACTCCCGGTCTAGTCGAGTCTTCGGGAAAAATTCCCCTGGAAGCCATGATGATTCAGCGTCATTATACACTTCCGGTTGGCCTCATTTCTCATTCTCCTTCCTGTGGTGCTGCCCATGCGCATAGTATGCAATCCTTACACAGTGACAGTGATAACAATGCAAACCACGGAGATGCTCAAAGCTGTCGGGCCGCGTCACAACAAGAGGGGCTTCTGCAGTTGAGGTCGTTATCAAGGTCGCCCATACCGCCGCCGCTGCAGCATATTAATAACTCACACTCTTGCCCGCCTTCTCGTAGCGGCTCCCCCTCCAACATTCGTGTATCTCCTTCCATGACTCCGATTTCCCCGAGGAGCGTTCAAAGTGCGATCCAGCCATCGGATTTAGCGGGGCGCCTGCTGGAGCCAAACAAACAAAAACATTTCTCATCCACGGCGCCACCGTCGCCGAATTATCTGAACACATCGTCGTTCCAGCTGCCAGCCTCGACTTCGATGAACTTTTTTGCCAATGCGTCGTCGCCATTTACGTTACAACCGCCTAATTTTCTTCATCCCACAACTGCGAATTTCCCTACAATGGCCCCCAGTCCGACATTGACAGTACCCATGAACAGTTTGGCCGGAAGCAGCACAGGATCTGTCGGTGCCAGAAATCAGCTTCCAGCCCCTGACGCCCTTTTGGCGGAACTGACGCGGCTGCGCGAAAGGGTGGCGGCACTGGAGTCAGAAAACGCGTCGTTGAATGTCAAGGTCAATCAGCAGCAATGGGAAGTGGAGTCACGCCTGACGGAAATAGAGTTGCAAATTCAGGCAGGAAGTGACGAAGAAAGTGATACCTGTCCCGCAGAAATTGAAGACAGGAATAAAGAGTCCGTGATATGACATAGGGGTTAGAAGTGCGTGAAGCAGAGTTAAGAGGGAAAATATGTCTTTCTCTCTACTAGTACGGTTTTTAGGGCTGAGCTCGATCAGTTTTAACGAAACAGAAAGACGAATCATGACGTTTTCTAAGACATGCAGTGAGGATCGTCGTCGAGTCAGATCCAACTATGCACAAGAAACAAGTGAAGTGGAATTATGGGTAAAATGGTGGTCAAGCTATCTGGAAACCATATAGCTGCCTAACATGCGATCTTCATAGCTATATTGCTGTTCAATTACTCATTAGACAGTGGAAGTATTGATACAAACAATGCTTTTTTGCTGCTGAAAAGACACAGTACAGGGAAACGTGTTTCTTTGTAGTTATGGCCGGCAGAAAAAACAGCTGTAAGCCAAACAAATCTACGTTGTAAATAGTTTCTCTTTTATTGAGGGAAATACTTTCATTTTTTAAATAGAAATCATTGCTTCCTCTACTGAGATGAAAGCGTTGGTGACTTTATACATTCCGCAGATCGGTTGTGAACCTCTAGAAAATGAAAACTGAAACCAACCGCGGGGAATGGCACACGTGCAGCCACTGCTTTGATTACTACATCTGATAGAGACACTCACGTCGTCCGTATACCTAAAACCCCCTTTACACTGGACGGCGTCCTTTCTGCGTCCTTTATGCGACCATGGAACTGGCATCGCTGTGGTCGTAAAAAGGAGGCACAAGCATCGCTTTGGTTGCAGAAAGAATGCTTAATGATCGGCCAGTTGTCGGCACGTAAAGTATTATTGTTTTTTTTTTTTTTTTTAATTCTCAAACAGAGCCGTACAACAGGACGCAGACAGGACGCCGTCCAGTGTAAAGGGGGCTTAAGGTATGTGTTAAAACACTGGGAGGTCATTCTTAAAGAGTCAAAACACCAAGTTAAAATTAAAACAATGTTTAGTCTTAAGTACTGCATGAGTCAAGAAAAGATTCACATTGTTTCACAGCAGTACATAATGTACAGGCAGTTCCAATCACGTGATCTGCGTGCGTGTTGCTTTAGGTCCATGTGGATGAAGATTTTATGCCCTTAAAATGAAGCTCAATTTAAAGCAGCCCAGGTTTAAGATATTTCAGAGCACGAATCTACTTTAAAACATTCCAGCTAAATAAAAATCAGCAGCTCACCAACTGAATCTCCTTAACTCATACCATGTAACGTTGGAAACGTCACTCAAACTGCCGCTTTAATACAAATTGAAAAATCGTTGTTTTGAGACGGTGGGGCACCTATTTGGTGCTGCGACCACATATAGAGGTTTACGACATGTGCATTTTCAATTATTATATGATATTTATTATGTTTTTTGTTTTCTTTGCCATTTTTGGTGTTTTTGCCTGTCAAATGGTGGCGGCAAATTTAAAGTTTTAATAAAATGAAAATATGACAAGTGTCTTCCGTTTTTGTTTTTAACAGCTTTATTGTTAATCCTCCCAAAATTTGAAATTTGGTATCTTGATAACTATACCCATTATGATCCAATTATAATTTAAGCAGTAGTTCGTACTGTTGCCCTAGATATGTTTTGAAAAAGAAGCTGCTATATTAAAACCGAGGCGCTTTGAAAGTAGTTTTAAACTCAATGCCGTAATTTTAAAAGAATTCTTGGACAATGTCCCGCATTAATTTTTACCATCATAAGTCAAATGCAACAGCCTTTTTTAACCATAACGAGAGCTACTCTCAATCTAAGAAGTTATATCTCAAATAAAAAGCCATCTTTTTTCATCGCATCTAACACAATCGGTGTGGATTAAAAACGCAATCGTTTTCTGCCTCCCCCCCCCCCTTCAACCACTCACCAACAGTTCTACCGCACTGCTAGTGCATGAGGGAGATGTAAATTACAGCATCACAATTGCCTTGCGCAAACGGAAAAGGTAAGCGACACAATCATCAATCTCTCCTAACACAATCGTTGGTGCAACATTCGAAAACGTTTTAGCTGCGAAAATTTCACTTGGAAATCAATTTATGTTGTTAGTCTCAATTTTTTTATTTAAACAAATAAAAAATGATGTTACTTTTTACTATAAAAAGTGTTTTTTTTTTTATCAACCAGGCCAATAATTGTCATATATAATCAAATAAATAAATATGAATATTACACTGTACATTTACATAAAAATCCCATTGCTGTCATGCTATTTAAAACATAAACACAAAAAATAAGCTTTTCTCCAGGAAATTAATTCAAATACTCAAAGGTAGTATAATCTAGGTGAAGGTAAATAAAATAACGGTTAAGATTAACTATTTTGTAGCCATTATAGGCTCTGTTATATCACTGATTTATTCTACATAGACTGACAAATGTAGTTATTTATCTATTCATTCCTAACCCAAATGGAATTTGTTTATCATGTTGTTATAAGTTTTCAATAATGGATCCCACACACCAAAATATAGGGATTTCTTTTTCAAAAAATACTAATGCAAAGTATACATGAACCCATTCGCATTCATCTGCTTTCTATTGTAATCTCTTCTATAGCAAAGTTTGTTGTAAAAGCCAGTTTCAGGATAGATACATACGGTTACAATCCTTTCTCCAAACACCCGTTCCGATAATTAATAATAAACATTGAGCATATTCCTAAGTCACTAACTTGAACGAGAGGAAATGAAATTTAATGAAATTAGACGAACTTCAGTCTTTAATACACACTGTAAAGATGACGTTACTTATTTCCTTGATTATTCAGGTCTGCCTTCTTTATTCCACTGTATATAACCTTGTAATATGATAAAAATCACAAAGAACGTATTCGCTCAAATTACACTGTCATTACGTGATACATTTAGTTCTAGCCTAAGGGGAAACAGTCATGTTGTAGTTTAAATAGCCCTCACGCCGTGAAAGGGCCCCAAAATAATTTGGCAGAAGTGTCCACCATGACGCTTAAGAATTTGGTCCCAGTTTCAATGAATTCATCCCTGGTGATCAGTCCACTACCATCAATATCAATGGCCTGAAACGACGGAGTCACGGAAAAAGGATGAACGCCAAAACTGCCTAAAAAATGGGTATACTCTTTCAGGGTGACATGTCCGTCTCCATTTGCGTCTGCAACGCCATCAAAATAAGTCCCAAGCCAATCGCGGGCGTTTTTCTCCATGTTGGCGTCAAAATCCATGAAATAACGCGCATGTAGCATATCCTCGAATGTCCGAGTGTCCTTCGGTGTTTCGGTTTTCATGAAGGTTTCCCACCCTCCATCCAGGAGTTCATAGAAGACCTTAATCTGCTGTTCGTTCATCCATTTTTTGGCCCTGTTTAAAACGGTGTCCACGTAGTCAGACTTGTGGATGATACCGTCACCATCGCGGTCGAAGAGAATAAAAAATGAACGCATCTTACGTACCCAGAACTCGGGATAAGGGGGTAGAGCTTGGTCGGCCATTCCTGCAATCTAAACAATATCAGACTATATCAAACTCATGTTTCGCCCTACTTCGTACTATTTTCTGGTACTCTTATCGGTAACAAGATAAGATAAGATAATAATGACATAATTATATTTAAACCAATAAAATACAAATGTATAAAATCGGGAATATTTTGCCCTGTAATAGCACAATTATACTAAAATGAAATTACGTAAAACGTAATCTAAATGTTTAAAATTTAATTTTAATGTTAAAAAGAGTTACTGCTGAGGGATAAAAGCTAGATCAAAATCGCTAAGTTATTCATCGTAACACTGTGCAAATTCGATGTTCGTTAGGTCACGTATTTTTTAATCATCTTCAAATACATATCCTTCAATCAAACAGTGCTACCGTCAAATGCTCAGCCGCATTCAAGAGTAAAGCCTCATTCCCATGAACACCATCGGTCTACGTGTATCGACCCAACTTTGGTGGGACATTCGCTGACAGCAATCAGCTTAACTCAATGACACGCCTCATCCTGGTGTTCAGTAAAATACAGAAAAGCTAGTCATTATACGAGTATGTTGGAAACAAAAGGAGTACAGTCATTTGCACCATCTGTGTAAGGAGAGTCCTGGCAGCGTTGAATCGATCCACGTAAAACAATGGGAAAGAGGTCTAGAGACCCCTGTGTGTTATATAAGTAGAGTGATTTATACCCTAAATATGTAACACTCGATCATGAAATCATAAGTCATTTTAACTCTCTGTTTTTATTTTGTAAGTGTGAAAACGAATCTGTATTTTAATCTACAGTTGGTGGAAAATGTCACGTGTTTCATTTTAGTTAGCAAATTTCGTAGTACGTCTTCATCGGTCACGTTAAAATCAGTAATATGGCAGAAGACAGTCCAATTTTCGAAATCATGCAGAATTTTTAAAACGCAATGCACCCAGAAGGTGCGTCTCTCCTCGTGCATCAGCAGAAACTAAAACTGTTAACTTATGAAAACATAAACGCATATATATATTTCAAAATAAAGCATGCAGCTAAAAGAATATAGTACTAAATCTACTTACTTATAATATACAAATGCTGGCGGTTCGTGTTGCTTCTACTGTAAGCTGCTGGCTTCAAGTGTGCGATTTAGGAAAACGCATCCCCTTTAAAACACGGCTGTTGTACCCTAGTCCCATGATATTGGTTACAAACTCGGAGTGGGCGGAGATTTTGGACGCCGGACTGTCATTTTACGCTTGAGCAAAACCAACCGGCGTGAGATAATAGTCCTTGACTAAATCACATATCCGTCTTGTTATGGCAGACCTACAATTACTAGTACAGCGCACTTATAAATTAAATCTGCGCTATTGTTGCATTCATTTCCGTCGAGCCAAAGACACTTTGACAACCTAATCTTAATAAAGTTGTTATTATGTTTTGTTACATTATTGTAGCTTAGTAGTTTGGGCCCTCTAGAAAAGTCGAATGTAGTTTTCAGCGTTTTGAAACATGATGCCTTTACATCAATTTATTCGTCCTCTTCCTGTCCGTCAAGCGAAATTGCGGATGTTTAGCTGTGATATGTGACTTCTGCTCGAGATTTTGGCATCACTACTCTTTGCTTATTGGCATTTCTTCATCACTGATTCCAATAAAACGGCTCTTTCAGAAACATTTTAATACTAAAAAGGTCTGATTTTAAACTTGGCGACTGTGAGTCAAAGAAACGCTTCATGTCACCATCTAACCACCCACCACAGTTAAGAAGGTCAAGTTGACCCAGTGGCCACGTGCCTGCGCAACCACGGGCGTACATATGGACGCACTCTCTCTCCGTATACTTCTTAATGTTAACTTTGAAAGATTACATGCAAAATACTATGCAAGCTTGAACATGACAGATACAAAATTAAATATATTTTACAGAAGAGATAAAAACTATTCATTTTTGCCAAAAAGGGATTTGAAAATTGCCCTATATTCACCAATATTCATTGAAAAAAGTTTGGATTTTTGCAATAATCCCTTAGAAGATTTTTGCAGAGGCAAGCTATCTATGGAGGTCACGTGGTCGGATGACAAGCACAGATTCTAGAGTAATTACGTTAAGCACCGTTTTGGTGGTAAAAGAAAATTTATTATATTTCTCTGAGTTGTTAGCAGTGTATTTATTGTGTTATCACATTAATGCTGGCAACGACCCACACCGCCTTCTACCGACTCCTGGAAACCAGTCAGAATATTTCAAGAGCATTAGGGTAGGTTCGCAGTCTCCATATAGAGTTATCACACACGAAACATTTCTTTTTTTGCTGAAGCGTCGTTTTTACTTCAATCAGGAACTAGATGCCGTGTATAGCACGATCACCTGTACACTAAGATACATGTGTAATGCGGTAGGGGAGACACTGCACGTTCTGGGTTTCAGTATTGCCAGCTCGATCCTGCTTTCCTATGTAACCCATATCAGCAATACTGGCTCTAGCCACTAGCGACAGATTAGGGGTGTGTTCGGAAAAATTTTGCCTGGGGCGTTTCCATGTTTGAAAGTCACAAGTCTCGTACGCCACAGCTCTGTCTTGCCTGGAGCTGCTTTTCCCGCCTTGAGCTGATGATATCTCTTGCAGACGAGACAAAGAAGCAAAGTGGCTGACGCGTAGTTTGAAATTTGAACTAGGAATACCTTTCATTCGAAAATCAGTGCCACAACACAATCACCTTTCTGCTTTAAAAACTGAATTTTGGTGCAGCCATTGCGCGGTCCTTATAGTGGTATCGGACATACAGTGTAGCTGTCAAACTTTGCTCGCGACATAAACGTGTACATGTATTGTGTTTATATCTTCAGAAGCAAATATTTTTTGATAAGCAAAAGATGCCACGGCATCTGGTATAACATTTTCTTCTAAAAAGATATTATAAATTTTTCAATTCACAGCTTAAATACAGTAAATAAAATTAAATAAAGCATATTAAAATATGCTGTACGTTTGACTTTGGGTTAATGAGATTCAACTGCAGATTTACTGCGGAGCAGTTCCTTTGATTGACGGATACTCGAAATTGCCGCTGTTCGTCAGAGCCACTGTAAAGCTCCCCATGCAAAGGTATGAATAGTGAGCAACCTAGCTTTATAGTGCCTTGACACTATAAAGGACAGGTTATTGAGACTTGATTGCGATTGTTGAGACTTGATTGCGATTGTGGAGGCACTCCGGGTTATTTTAACTGCCCCCATTATAAGGCAAGATGTTCAACATGTTACTCATACATTTATCCAGCAATATATCATTTGCAGGTTTCCTCGTCTGCCTCAACACTACCACTGATAAGCCAAGGCATAAATGTTAGATCTCAACGTCATCTCAAACATCAATATATAATTTCTTAAGCTTCAATAAAACATTAAGTTAAAAGGACCGTGCTTGTCTCTCTTAGTCTGTAATTTTAACTGTATCCAGCTGAGCGTGGTTTGATTTAAATCTATTTTATAAACCCTTACACTAGGTCAGACTTATCAATATAAACAACTCAGTTCAGATAACAGCGATAAAATATGTCACCACGTCTGTATTGCACATAGAGAAAGCGCTATTTTGCTGATTAAGATGACTTTGAAATCTCCATGAACATTGAACGTCTCACCTAACTAGGTGTACATGTCCCGAGAGATAGCACATCTAAATGACGACTGGAGGCAAGTATCTACCATCAAGAGAAATATAACTGGAGAAAAGAGAGGTAATTAGAATTCTGAAGACATTAGTAGTTATTACAGTCTGTGTCTGCGCCTGTGTAAGGTTGTAAAAAAATAATGGCTGTTGCCCAGTTGGAATTTTATGATTTTTGTTGCTGATGGTTATCCTCTACGTAAAATGTTAACTGTTGTGAATAATATTATTTTCATTTATTTCACATGATTTCCTTTTGTGTTCGTGCTATATTCAGTTCTGTATGTCCTGCTATCAGCCAAAATTTATTCATCTCTTTCTGCTGTGGGTAGATCTTACTGCAACTGCGCTCATCTTAGTGGTGTAAAGTATTGTAATATACATTATATACATAGGCTTAAGGGTCCTCCACGCGTCTTTCGTAGGTCAGATATTGTTTTATTTCATCAACACATTTCGTCCCATAAATATCTCCATATTTACATGCATTTAGATATAGTTTAATGGTGTGTTTACCTCCATCACTAAATCTATATCATTAAACCCATGTCCCTCATTGNAACACTGATACAAATGGTGACATCCTTATTGGTATTTGGTGTGATGAGGACTTTTCACGGAATAGAATCCTCATCTACGATAACACCTTCGTCCTACAGGGCACAATTCCAAACCCAAAAACAGCAGAAAATGAGGCGTTTTCTGGGATTGCCTTTGATGCTGACGGTAACATCGTCACTAAATGCCAGGGGTCAAATGAAATCATTATCTTCACCAAGACAGGGGGCAACGTGAGAACATTTCACAGTGAGTCACCAGAAGCAGTGGCGGTCAACAGCAAAGGTCACTATGTGGTGGCTGGTCATAATACTCTGACTGTGCACCACAAGGATGGCAATGTCCTGCAGACGACACCAGACCCAGGGGGTAAATGTGTCAAGCACATCCACTGTAACGTGAATGATGACGTCATCGTCACAGATCCAGGAAATGATCACATCCGTGTATACGATCCAACTCTCCAGTTTAAATACAGGTATGGTACCCAGGGCGATGGTGACGCACAGGTGGACGGTCCACTCGGCACATGCTCCTTGGATAATGGAGACATAATTCTGACAGACTTCATCAACCATCGTCTACACCTGGTGTCACAAGATGGGAAATTCAAGCAGTTTATTTTAAGCAAAGACAATGGACTTTTCAATCCGAGAGATGTTACTATAAACCATCTTGGGAAACTGGTCGTTGCTGAAGAGGGAGGCCAGATTAACTTTTTTTGAATTGTGACTGATTGCTTAGCTAAAAATGAACTCTGAAGAGATTTTGTACAGCCAAAAGTGCCAATTATGCTGCGTTCTTCACAATAATGACAAACGAGGTAACTGATTGTAGTAGCAACTTGTGGTACGCTGTTTACCATACGGTTTGTGTGTCCAATAACGATATATATGTTGTTTGAAGTGTGCTTAATTAAAAAATAGGTTTAAAAATACCACATGAAAATGTTTCAAAAGACCAGTACATTTTAAAAATAAAATGCTGCTTATGAATTTCAAATATTTAAATTTTTCAGTTATATAATAATCACTGGGTATTACTTCGTTTCTTGAAGGGCAAAAAATAAAAACCGGCATTCACGAGTCGTGAGAAAGGGGTGCTTCTTGGAAATGCCAAATAAAATAGCGTTTCGAGCATCATGGGGAATAGAGTGAAAAGTGTTGGACACTCTGATATTACACGAGATTCCTATACAGATGTATGGGCGGCCAAAAGGGCAAAAATTCATGTCGTCGATTCAGTTATGTTTCGTCGATTCACTGCCTTCCCATCGATTTAGTTTCAAGTTTAAACGGCCCTGTCATAAATTCAGCATCTATTTTCGTCAATTCAATTGTCAAACATTTCTCGTCAACGGTGTATTAAAACCAATGCTGTCACTATTTTAGTCGATCGTCTAACTATTCTCACACCGCGCATAAACATGGCTGACAACAGTGATTTTTCCATAACCCCTGATTTTTCTGAAGCTTTACAGTTTGCTAAAGAATGTACTCATATTGACTTTGATTTGAAGGAAAATTCTAGGACTACTGTTGCGTACAAATAATTATGGTCTGTATGAATAAATTGGGGTTCAAAGTAGTTCCTTCCCAAAAATCAACATGGATGCCATAATATACCACGTCCCAATCGGCAATCTTCGGCTGATTCCGCAAGCTCCATACTAACCTCGGATGTGATAGGGGGAGAAATATGCACTAAATCCATGCATTTTGTCCGCCGGAAATGCCTTCTCACTCAATCGATTATTCCACTCATAAGAAAGGCTGTCAATACCCCTGATTTTTATGATGCTTTACAGTTTGCCAAACAACACAGCAGACAAACGACATTGATTCACCGTTGAATCAACGTTAATTTTGGTGGATCAACGTTGAATCAACGTAGAATCAAGACGTGGACATATATACTTTGATTTAAAGGATAAACAGATACAGACGTTGAATATTTGTACTACAGACATGATACTTTGACTGTTTTACCGACGGGCTATGGTAAAAGGTTGAAAGTAGTTCCTTCCCAACAATCAACAATCAATATGGATGCCTCCGTATTACGTCTGAGGTTATTTACGAGTGCGGAGACATCCGAGTAGTTCCGAGTGAGAATACCTACTATTTGTGTGTCTCGTCTGTTACGTCATCGAGCCCCATGTCTCTACGACAATATGTGTAGAAACTTGAAAACGTGTCGTTAACGCCCGCCACCCCCTCCCCTAAAATCGCCAAGTATGTAACAGATTGGGAATGCACCTGTAACATGACATTCTGACTCCTCTCATGAAATCTTGATTCCCCATTTTGTTCAGTTTTAAAAATATATATATTGGTAAAAATTACAGCAAGTGCTGGGCTTTCCATATGTGAAGAATGTATGAAAAATTCAATAAAAAGGCCAACACTGCTGATTTCTTGACATATAAATGAAATATGTTTTGACATGGGAGTCCAAATCCTAGAGGTGGTTACCGGTAGATGAATAGTTGTTTAAAAAATTAATCAATTTTCACCAAAATTGTCACCAAACTTTCAATTACTAACACCGAATACGACACCATGCAAACTATGTGGAAAATAATGGCATGGTGTCTAAATATAAAATACAGCCTTTTCTTCATGGAAGTCCAAATCCTATGGGTGGGGAATGAGGATTTTGTAATTTTTTTTCATTTTTTTCTTCCAGAATTTTACCATGAAATTTTCAAATATTTCCAATAAAATTTTTAATAGTGCCGTATAAAATTGTTTCAACAGGCCAGTTTATTTTTAAATTGAAATCTTGCTTATGAATTTCAAATATATATTTATTCAGTTATATAATAATCACTGGGTATAGTGACTTAGTTTCTCGAAAAAGCAAGAATAAGAGCGGCATATACTTGTCATGGGAATGGGAAATTAGAACACGAAATACCCTATGGTGCGCTCTCTGAAATCACAGGGGCTTCTCATGTAATATAGCCCGCTGCAAAATTAAAGAGGGCCAACCATTTTTACAGACTATATACTTGACATCTCTTTAGTTACTGACGTAGTGCACACGTCCCACGGCCAGACAACATGTAAATCCGTGATAATTTAAACAATAGGGATACTAACAGTCCATTTTTACCCCCCCCCCTCCAAAAAAATAGAGATTTTCGAAGAGTAGACAATTCCATATACTTATCAATAGTTAATGGATCTGCCCAGATATCCAAATTTAGGCCATTTTATTTATTTATTAATATTATTCATGTTATTTTAATTTGTTTTTTTTTTTTTTTTTTTTTTTTTTTTAATATTCCTAAAATAAATTATTACAGGGACTAATCATCCATGGAGGTAACGATGTCAAGCACAGGTTCTAAAATAATTGCCATAACCGCCGTTTTGGTGGCTAAAGATAATTTATTATTTTTTTGTAAGTTGTTTACAGTGTATGTATTGTGAAATATGAATGTCATACGAAGAATTGTTATCCTAATTGACATTCTTCGACCGACCTCTTCGACCGACCTCTGGAAAACGGTCAAGAATATTTGAAGAACACTGGGATGTGGACACTCTCTGAATTCTCGTTATCTAACACAAAGCATTACATTTTGGCTTAAATGCCATTTTATCTCAATCAAGAACAGAACGAGTTTTCGTGTACAGCACGATCACCTGTAGTCCAAGACACATGTGTAATATGGTGAGGGAGAAAACTGCACGATTGCGGTTGTTGAGACTTGATTGCGATTATTGAGGTACTTCAATTTTTTTTTACTGTTCCCATTATAACCCGAAATTTCATATTAAAATCAACATATTACTCATACATTTATCCAGCAATGCATTCATTTGCAGTCTGTTATTTGCCTCAATTCTGCCACTGATAATAGTAAGTATTAATGTTAAATCTCAACCTCATCTCAAACATCAAAATATAATTTCTAATGCTTCAATATTATATAATTTGATAGGGCCGTGCTTGTGTCTGTTAGTCTGTACATGTATCTCTATCCAACCGCTGTATTAAATCTATTTTATAAACCCTTTCACTAGTTCAGATTTATCAATGTACACAACTCAATTCAGATAACAGCGATAAAATATGTCACCACGTCTGTATTGTACATAGAGAAAGCGCTATTTTGCTGATTAAGATGACTTTGAAGTCTCCTTGAACATTAAACGTCTCACCTGACCAGGTGTACATGTCATGAGAGACAGTACATCTAAATAACGACTGGAGGCGAGTACCTGCCAACAAGTGAAATATAACTGGAGAAAAGAGAGGTAATTAGAATTCTGAAAACATATTCGGTTGGCAGTTATTACAGTTTGTATCTGTGTAAGGTGGAGAAAACATAATAGTTGTTACACAGTCAGGATTTTATTATTTTTGCTGCTTGAGGATTAGGGTATCTTCTTCGTAAAATGTCAACTGCTGTGAATAATTTTATTTTCTATTTATTTCAAATAATACCTTTTTATGTTCGTGTTATATTCCGTTCCGTATGCCCTGCTATCAGCCAAAATTTATTCATCTCTCTCTGCCGTGGGTAAATCTTACTGCACTCGCTCTCACCTTAGTGGTGTAAAGTATTGTAATACACCGGTACACTCTTACGGGTTCTCCACACGGCTTTCGTAGGTCGAATATTGTTTTGTTTAATCTAAACATTTCATCCCATAAATATATCCATATTTACATGCTTTTGGATATAGTTTAATGGTGTGTTTACCTCCATCACTAAATCTATATTATTAAACCTGACCCTCATTCCTCTATTTTAGGATATTGGTCCTAGGAGAAATGTCTCTGTCCAAGATCCTAACGGAAGATTTCCTAACATGCAGCATATGCCTTGAAAAGTTTAAAGTCCCCAAGCCCCTTGGCTGTTTACATACGTTTTGCCAGCATTGCCTCCAAGACCTTTTGGAAAGAAATTTCCAAGGTCAGCCTCGATTCCCTTGTCCTATCTGTTGACGTCAGTGTGACCTCCCTGGGGGCGGTGTTAGCAGTTTACAAACAAACCATCTTGTGATCAGCATATCACACGCACTTGCTCAAGTAGAACAAGCCAAAGCTACCAAGAAATGCGAGGTATGTTGTCTGAAGAATATACGCATTCCACCAACGGCAACAAAACGTTGTTTGAACTGTGAGGAAAGTATGTGTGGTGATTGTTCTTCGGAGCATGTACTTCATAAGTTAAATCGTGACCACAAACTATTTCCTGTCGACCAGTTAGGAAGCGACGAGTACGTAACAGAGCTGCGTGCCCGACAGAGCGTCCCTTGTGACCACAACAGCAAGGACCACGTAGAAATCTTCTGCCCAGTGTGTAAAAAGTGCATCTGCGCCACTTGTAGTTTTTTGGAACACAAGGATCATGATTGCCTTAGAATCAAAACTGCTGCTGACAAACGCAAGGAAAAACTAGAACTCCTCGTTAGGCCCATTGAGAAGAAAAGTCTAGTCTACGATAAGTTCAAGACCGCTGCTGAACACCAGAAGAGGTTGGTAGAAGAAGGAAGAAAGAAGGCAAAGAGTCAAGTAAACAACCATTTGGAGCTACTTATTAAGATGGCCAGTCAACGTGCCGAGGATCTTCTGGAAGAAATAGATGCCAAGTCGAATGCCAAACTAGAGGTTTTAAATGTTTTAATTGCAACTGCTACCGCTGAGCAAAATCAACTGGACGACGTTGTAGAATTCTTGAGAAAGCTCATTAACCATGGGAACGACATGGATGTCCTGCAAATGGCCTCCGCCTGTGAGCAAAACACCGAGAGCATTCACGCCCTCAAAATTCCAACCCTGCCCGCAGCCATGACCCAGCTACAGCTTATCACCAACGACATGGAGGAGTGCGTTACCAATATCAACCGTTGCCTTGGAGACGTGGTTCCAGCTGTAAGTGGAAGATTGTTGACATCATTCAAAGTAGATTTGGAGAAGTCTCATAAGGAGTTTATCAGCGACGTGACCACTGATACAAATGGTGACATCCTTATTGGTATTTGGTGTAATGAGGCCTTTTCAAGGAATAGAATCCACATCTACGACACCACCTTTGTACTACAGGGCAGTATTCCAAACCCACGAGCAGCAGAAAAAGGCGCTTTTGGTGGGATTGCCATTGATGATAACGGTAACACCGTCACTAGATGCCAGGCGTCAAATGAAATCATTGTCTACACCAAGACAGGGGACCAGGTGAGAACATTCCACAGTGAGTTACCACATGCAGTAGCGGTCAACAGCAAGGGTCACTATGTGGTGGCCGGCCGTGATACTCTGACTGTGCACCACAAGGATGGTAAGGTCCTGCAGACGACACCAGACCCAGAAGGTAAATATTCCAAATGCATCCACTGCAACGTTAATGACGATATCATCGTCACAGGAGATGATCACATCCGTGTATATGATTCCACTCTCCAGCTTAAATACAGATATGGTTCTCAGGGTGATGGGGACGGACAGGTGAACATTCCGCGTGGTACATGCTGCTTGGATAATGGAGACATAATCCTAACGGACTTCAACAACCATTGTCTACACCTGGTGTCACCAGATGGGAAATTCAAGTATTTTCTTTTAGGCGAAGACAATGGACTACGCTATCCAACAGATGTTACTATAAAACATGTAGGAAAACTGGTCGTTGGGGAGAGTGGAGGCAATATTAAATTTTTTGAATTATGATTGATGGATAAGTTAACAAAGGACACTAAAAAGATCATTGAAATACAGACAGTACCCCAGTAAACATTGTATCGGCCCAGTTTTCACGGATCTTGCCTTCGATGAACCACTGGTGAACCCGTACAGTAAAACAGGCCGAAATTTACTTATTCTAAATTTTTAATTTTTAACCTTTTGAAATGGGTAATAAACATTAATAGCCTCAGGTAACAAATACTAGTGGAAGTTTGTCTTTCGATCAGATGAGACAAAAGAAATTTAGTCACAATCGGCTCACGACCTACTATAGCAAGGACAGCCAGCAGCAAGGACATCCAACAATTAATATTGTTCTAGAAAAAAATATAACATCAGCATAGCAAAAAGGGTGAATTATACTGCCTCCTTTATAAAAACCACCGATGAGGGAACTGACTGTATAGTAACAACTTGTGGTACGCTGATTTTGTGTGTCCAAAATCGATATATGTTGCTTGAAGTATGCTTACTTAGAAAAAAATAGCTTTCAATAATACTCTATGTTAATGTTTCAAAAGACCAGTACTTTTTTAAATAAAACGCTGCTCATGAACTTCATATGTTAATGTTTATTCAGTTTTATGATAATCACTGGATATAATGACTTCGTTCCTGGAAGGGCAAAGAATAAAAAGCGGTATTCAGGTATTGTGTAATGTCGTTTACGAATACCTACTATTTGCGTGTCTCGTCTGTTACGTCACCGAGCGCGATGTCTCCGTGTGTAGAAACTTGATCACGTGTCGTTAACGCCCGCCATCCCTCCCATAGTATGTAACAGATTGGGAATGCACCTGTAACATGAACATTTGTCTCCTCCCATGAAATCTTGATTCCCTTTTTTTCAGCTTTTGAAAAAAAATATTGGGGAGAACAACAGCAAGTGTTTTGTTTGGCTTGCTATATATGAATAATTCATTAAAAAGGCCAAGGCTGCTGATTTCTTGAGCTAAAACTGTAATATGTAGCATTTGTACATGGGAGATCGAATCCTTCAGGTAGTAAGATGAACAATTGTCTTAAAACATAACAATTTTCATCAAAATTTTCAGCACAAATTTTCAAATACCAAGAAAATATACGTCACAATGCAATCTATGTGGAAAATAATGGCATGGTGACTAAATATAAAATAGGGCCTTTTCCTCATGGGAGTCCAAATTCTATGGGTGTGAAAATGAAGAATTTTGTTGATTTCTTTTTTTTTCGTTTTTTCACCCAATATTTTACCATAAAACTTCCAAATATACCCAATATATAGTTTTAAATAATAGCGTATGAAATCGTTTCAAAAGACCAGTTTATTTTAAAAAATAAAATCCTGTTTATGAGTTTCAAATATATATTTATACAGTTATGTAATAATCACCGGGTATAATGACTTAGTTTCTCGAAAAGCAAAAATAAAAAGTGGCATATACCCGGTAAGAGTCATGGGAATGGGAAATTAGAAAATGTAAATAACCATTGGGACATTCTGTGATATTAGAGAGGCTTCTCATATAACCTGTTGAAAAAGTTAAGACGGTCAGCCATTTTTACAGATTATATACTTTCCACCTCTGTAGTTATTGACGTAGGTACAAACGTACATTGGCAAAACTATATCCGTAATAATTGTGACAACAAGGATAACAACTATCCATTTTTTATCCCAAAGAAAGGATTTTTGTAGAGTAGACGACAATTCCCCATACTCATCAATGGTTAATTAATCTGCTCAGACATCCAAAGTTGGTCCATTTTTTATTATTTATTTATTTATGTTTAAGTTGTTTTTCTTTATAATCTCTCAATAAATCGTAACAGAGGTGAACGATCCATGGAGGTGACAATGACAAGGACAGATTCCAAAATAATTGCGATAACTGCCGTTTTGGTGGTAAAAGATAATTTATTATTATTCTATGAGTTGTTTACAGTGTATGTATTGTGAAATATGAATCTCATACGAACAGTTGTTATCCCTTTAATGCTAATGTAGATCAAGACTGTCTTCAACTAACATCTGGAAGCTGGTCAAGGATATTTCAAGAGCAATAGGGTATGTTGACAGTCTCCATTTGGAGATGATACGTAACATTTTTGCTGAAGCGTCTTTTTTTACCTCAATCAAGAACGAGTTACCGTGTATAGCACGATCACCTGTAGACTAAGACACTTGTATAATGCGGTAGGGGAGACAATGCCCGAATGTGGGGCAGATTGCGGTTGTTGAGACTCAATTGTTGAGACACTGCGAGTTCTTTTACTGTTCCCATTGTAAACTAAGAGACCATTCCAAGACCCTATCGTACAAACTTTGGATCTCCAAGGGGATTCTCCCTTAATTGGAATTTACTTAAGTGACTTAAATGTCTGCCACGCCTACTTAAGCTGATAGGGTGTAATTACCAGTAACTATCGTTTAGCAGCTTTAGTAGGCGTCCCAGACATATAGACCACTTAAGCTGAAAGCAATTAAGCGAGAAACCCCGTGGAGATGGATCGATCCTGTTAGGGGTGGGAACCCAGTCTGATGTGTTCAGAATATTACTCAAACAGTTATCCAGCAATGTGTTCATTTCCAGGTTTCTCTGTCTGCCTTAACTCTACCACTGGTAAGTCAAAGTATTAATGTTAAATCTCAACGCCATCTCAAACATCAAAATATAATTTCTTAAGCTTCAATTTAACATTAAGTTGAAAAGACCGTGTTTGTCTCTCTTAGTCTGTACATTTATCTGTATCCAACTGAGCGTGATTTGATTTAAATCTATTTTATAAACGCTTACACTAGGTCAGACTTATCAATGTACACAACACAATTCAGATAACAGCAGTAAATTGCACATAGAGAAAGCGCTATATTTCTGATTAAGATGACTTTGATGTCTCGTTGAACATTGAACGTCTCACCTGACCAGGTGTACATGTCACGAGAGACAGCACATCTAAATGGCGACTGGAGGCGAGTACCTGCCAACAAGAGAAATATAAGTGGAGAAAAGAGAGGTTGTTAGAATTCTGAACACATATTGGGTGGGATAGTTTTTACAGTCTGTATCTGCGTAATGCGGTGAAAACATAATGGATGTTACAAAGTCAGGATTTTATGATTTTTGTTGCTTAAGGATTAGGGTACCTTCTTCGTAAAATGTCAACTGTTGTGAATAATATTATTTTCTATTTATTTTAAATGATACCTTTTTGTGCTCGTGCTATATTCAGTTCCTAATGCCCTGCTATCAGCCAAAATTTATTCATCTCTCTCTGTTGTGGGTAAATCTTATGCACCCGCTCTCACCCTAGTGGTGTAAAGTATTGTAATACACCGGTACACTCTTTCGGGTTCTCCACACGTCTTTCGTCTTTCGTTACTATTGTTTTATTTAATCTAAACATTTCATCCCATAAATATATCCATATTTACATATATAGATATATAGATATAGTTTAATGGTGTGTTTACCTCCATCACCAAATCTATATCATTAAACCCATGCCCCTCATTGCTCTATTTTAGGATATTGGTCCTAGGAAAAATGTCTTTGTCCAAGATCCTAACGGAAGATTTCCTAACGTGCAGCATATGTCTTGAAAAGTTTAAACTCCCCAAGGCCCTCGGTTGTTCACATACCTTTTGCCAGAATTGCCTCCAAGACCATTTGGACAGAAATTTCCAAGGTCAGCCTGGCTTCCCTTGTCCTATCTGTAGACGTCAGTGTGACCTCCCTAGGGGCGGTGTTAGCAGTTTACAAACAAACCATCTTGTGAACAGCATATCACATACACTTGCTCAAGTAGAAAAAGCCAAAGCTGCCAAGAAATGCGAGGTATGTTGTCTGAAAAGAGTCGTCAATCCACCAACGGCAACAAAACATTGTTTGAACTGTGAGGAAAGTATGTGTGGTGATTGTTCTTCAGAGCATGTTCTTCATAAGTTAAATCGTGACCACAAACTGTTTCCTGTCGACCAGTTAGGAAGCGACGAATACGTGACAGAGCTGCGTGCCCGACAGAACGTCCTTTGTGACCACAACAACAAGGACCCCGTAGAAATCTTCTGCCCAGCCTGTAACAAATGCATCTGCGCCACGTGGAGCTTTTTGGAACACCAAGGACATGATTGCCTTAGAATCAAGCCTGCTGCCGGCAAACGCAAGGAAAAACTAGAACTCCTCTTGAGGCCCATCGAGAAGAAAAGTCTACTCTACGATCAGTTTAAGACCGCCGCTGAAGACCAGAAAAATGTCGGTAGAAGCAGGAAGAAAGAAAGCCAAGGATCAGGTTAACAACCAGATGGAGCTAGCTATTAAGATGGTACGTCAACGCACCGAGGATCTTCTGGAAGAAATAGATGTCAAGTCGAATGCCAAACTTAAAGTTTTAAATGCTTTAATTGCATCTGCTATCGCTGAGCAAAATCAACTGGACGACTTTGTAGACTTCTCAAGAAAGCTCATAAACCATGGAAACGACATGGATGTTCTGCAAATGGCATCCGCATGTGAGCAAAGCAGCGAGAGCGTCCAGACTCTCGGCATCCCGAACCTGCCCCCGGCCATGACCCAGCTTCAGCTTAGTACCAATGACATGGAAGAGTGCGTTACCAATATCAACAGTTGCCTTGGAGACGTGGTTCCCGCTGCGAGTGGAAGACTGTTGACATCATTCAAAGTAGATTTGGCCAAGTCTCCAAAGGAGATGATCAGTCATGTGACCACTGATTCAAATGGTTATTTTTTCATTGGTATTTGGTGTGATGATGACAAGTCACGTGACAGAATCCACATCTACGATACAACCTTTGTCCTACAGGGCACAATTCCCAACCCACGGGCAGCAGAAAAGTATCACTTTGCTGGGATTGCCATTGATGACGACGGTAACATCGTCACTAGATGTCAGGGGTCAAATGAAATCATTGTCTACACCAAGACAGGGGACCAGGTGAGAACATTCCACAGTGAGTCACCAGAGGCAGTAGCAGTCAACAGCAAGGGTCACTATGTGGTGGCCGGTCGTAATACTCTGACTGTGCACCACAAGAATGGCAAGGTCCTGCAGACGACACCAGACCCAGCAGGTAAAAATCACAAACACATCCAATGTAACGTGAATGAAGATGTCATTGTCACAGATCCAGAAGGTGATCACATTCGTGTATATGATTCCACTCTCCAACTTAAATACAGATATGGTACCCAGGGTGATGGGGACGGACAGGTGAACGATCCGCTCGGCACATGCTGCTTGGATAATGGAGACATAATTCTGACAGACCTCACGAACCATCGTCTGCACCTGGTGTCACCAAATGGAAAATTCAAGCAGTTTCTTTTAAGCAAAGACAATGGACTACGCTCTCCGAGAAATGTTAGTATAAACCATTTCGGAAAACTGGTCGTTGGGGAGAGTGGAGGCAATATTAAATTTTTTGAATTATGATTGATGGATAAGTTAACAAAGGACACTAAAAAGATCATTGAAATACAGACAGTACCCCACTAAACATTGTATCGGCCCAGTTTTCACGCGTTTTGCCCTCGATATACCGCTGGTGAACCCATACAGTTAAACCGGTTGAAATTCACTTATTCTAAATTTTTAATTTTTAACCTTTTGCAATGGGTAATAAACATTAATAGCCTCAGGTAACAAATACTAGTATAAGTTTGTCTTTCGATCAGATCTGATCAGACAAAAGAAATTTAGTCACAATTGGCTCACGACCTACTATAGCAAGGACAGCCAGCAACAAGGACATCCAACAATTAATATTGTTCTAGAAAAAATCATAACATCAGCATAGCAAAGAGGGTGAATTATACTGCCTCCTTTATAAATATTACCGATGAAGGAACTGACTGTAGTATCAACTTGTGGTACGCTGATTTTGTGTGTCCAACATTGATATATGTTACTTGAAGTATGCTTACTTAGAAAAAAATAGCTTTCAATAATACTCTATGTTAATGTTTCAAAAGACCAGTACTTGTTTTAATAAAATGCTGCTCATGAACTTCATATGATAATTTTTATTCAGTTATGTGAGAATCACTGGATCTAATCACTGAGAATCACTGAATTCGTTCCTGGAAGGGCAAAGAATAAAAAGCGGTATTCACGAGTCACAAGAGTGTAGAAAACGGAAATACCCAATGGGGCGCTCTCTGATATCACAGGGGCTTATTATATAGCCTGTGGCAAAAGTTAAGAGGGTCAGTCATTTTAAACCCCCCCCCCCCCCCCCCCCCCGGCAAAATTGTATCCGTAATAATTGTGACAGCTCGCATCGCATGGCAAATTCTTGGCTGGCTGCACGATCACTGGAAGTTAACAAAATAATGCCCATACAGGTATTGTGTAATGGCGTCTACGAATACCTACTATTTGCGTGTCTCGTCTGTTACGTCACCGAGCGCGATGTCTCTGTGTGTAGAAACTTGATCACGTGTCGTTAACGCCAGCTTCCCCTCCCCAAGTATGTAACAGATTGGGAATACACCTGTAACATGAAAATTTGTCTCCTCCCATGAAATCTTGATTCCCTTTTTTTCAGCTTTTGAAAAAAAATATTGGGGAGAACAACAGCAAGTGTTTTGTTTGGCTTGCTATATATGAATAATTCATTAAAAAGGTCAAGGCTGTTGATTTCTTGAGCTAAAAATGTAATATGTACATGTAGCATTTGTACATAGGAGACCAAATCCTTCAGTTAGTAAGATGAATAATTATTTTAAAAATATCAATTTTCACCAAAATTTTCAGCACAAATTTTCAAATATCAAGAAAATATGCGTCACAATGCAAACTATGTGGAAAATAATGGCATGGTGACTAAATATGAAATAGGGCCTTTGCTTCATGGGAGTCCAAATTCTATGGGTGTGAAAATGAAGAATTTTGTTGATTTCTTTTTTTTTTTCGTTTTTTCACCCAATATTTTACCATAAAACTTCCAAATATATCCAATATATAGTTTTAAATAATAGCGTATAAAATCGTTTCAAAAGACCAGTTTATTTTAAAAAATAAAATCCTATTTATGAGTTTCTAATATATATCTATACAGTTATGTAATAATCACGGGGTATAATGACTTAGTTTCTCGAAAAGCAAGAATAAAAAGCGGCATATACCCGGTAAGAGTCATGGGAATGGGAAATTAGAAAATGTAAATAACCATTGGGACATTCTGTGATATCAGAGAGGCTTTCATATAACCTGTTGCAAAAGTTAAGACGGTCAGCCATTTTTACAGATTATATACTTTCCACCCCTATAGTAATTGACGTAGGTACAAACGTCTCTCGGCAAAACTATATCCGTAATAATTGTGACAACAAGTATAACAAATGTCCATTTTTAACCCCCCCCCTCCCAAAAAAAAAAAGGATTTTGGTAGAGTAGACAACAATTCCCCATACTCATCAATGGTTAATTAATCTGCTCAGACATCCAAAGTTAGTCCATTTTTTTATTATTTATTCATTTACGTTTATTTTGTTTTTTCTTATAATCCCTAAATAGATTAAAACAGATGTTAACCATCCATGGAGGCCACGATGACAATCCAGATTACAAAATGATTCCTATAACCGCCGCTTTGGTGGTAAAGATAATTTATTATTCTTCTATGAGTTGTTTACAGTATAAGTATTATGGAATATGAATTTCATACGAAGACTTGATATTTGAAGAGCACTGGGGTATGTTGACAATCTCCATTTGGAGTTATTGTTATTTACCGTGATGCGTAACATTTTAGCTGAAGGGACGTTTTTACCTCAATCAAGAACGAGTTACCATGTATGGCACAATCACCTGTAGACAAAGATACATGTTTAATGCGGTAGAGGAGACACTGTACAATGTGGGGCTGATTGCGGTTGTTGAGACTCAATTGTTGTGGCACTGCGAGTTTCTTTAATGTTCCCACAGTAACTAAATGACCATTCCAAGACCCTATCGTACTAACTTTGGATCTCCAAGGGGATTCTCCCTTAATTGGAATTTACTTAAGTGACTTAAATGTCTGCCACGCCTACTTAAGCTGATAGGGTGTAATTACCAGTAACTATCGTTTAGCAGCTTTAGTAGGCGTCCCAGACATATAGACCACTTAAGCTGAAAGCAATTTAGTGAGAAACCCCGTGGAGATGGACCGATCCTGTTAGGGGTGGGAACCCAGTCTAATGTGTTCAGAATATTATTCAAACATTTATCCAGCAATGTGTTCATTTCCAGGTTTCTCTGTCTGCCTTAACTCTACCACTGGCAAGTCAAAGTATTAATGTTAAATCTCTACGCCATCTCAAACATCAAAATATAATTTCTTAAGCTTCAATTTAATATAAAGCTGAAAGGACCGTGCTTGTCTCTGTTAGTCTGTACATTTATCTGTATCCAACCGCTCTATTAAGGTATTTTATAAACCCTTACACTAGATCAGTTTTATCAATGTACACAACTCAATTCAGATAACAGCAGTAAAATATGTCACCACGTCTGTGTCGTAGGCTATATAGAGAAAGCGCTACATTCCTGATAAAGATGACTTTGAAGTCTCCTTGAACACTGAACGTCTCACCTGACCAGGTGTACATGTCACGAGAGACAGCACTTCTAAATGACGACTGGAGACGTGTAGCTGCCACCAAGAGAAATATAAGTGGACACAANTAAATAACCATTGGGACACTCTGTGATATCAGAGAGGCTTCTCATATAACCTGTTGCAAAAGTTAAGACGGTCAGCCATTTTTACAGATTATATACTTTCCACCCCTATGGTAATTGACGTAGGTACAAACGTCTCTCGGCATCCGTAATAATTGTGACAACAAGTATAACAACTGTCCATTTTTAACCCCCCCCCCAAAAAAAAAAATAAATAAAAAATAAGGATTTTTGTAGAGTAGACGACAATTCCCCATACTCATCAATGGTTAATTAATCTGCTCAGACATCCAAAGTTAGTCCATTTTTTATTATTCTTTTATTTATGTTTAAGTTGTTTTTTCTTATAATCCCTGAATAGATTAAAACAGATGTTAACCATCCATGGAGGTCACGATGACAATCCAGATTACCAAATGATTCCTATAACCGCCGCTTTGGTGGTAAAAGATAATTTATTATTCTTCTATGAGTTGTTTACAGTGTATGTATTTTGACATATGAATCTCATACGAACAGTTGTTATCCCTTTAATGCTAATGTAGATCAAGACTGTCTTCAACTGACTTCTGGAAGCTGGTCAAGGATATTTCAAGAGCAATAGGGTATGTTGACAGTCTCCATTTGGAGATGATACGTAACATTTTTGCTGAAGCGTCTTTTTTACCTCAATCAAGAACGAGTTACCGTGTATGGCACGATCACCTGTAGACTAAGATACATGTATAATGCGGTAGGAGAGACACAACACAGTGTGGGGCAGATTGTGGTTGTTGAGACTCAATTGTTGAGGCACTGCGAGTTCCTTTACTGTTCCCACAGTAAACTAAGAGACCATTCCAAGACCCTACCGTACTAACTTTGGATCTCCAAGGGGATTCTCGCTTAATTGGAATTTACTTAAGTGGCTTAAATGTCTGCCACGCCTACTAAAGCTGATAGGGTGTAATTACCAGTAACTATCGTTTAGCAGCTTTAGTAGGCGTCCCAGACATATAGACCACTTAAGCTGAAAGCAATTTAGTTAGAAACCAGGGAGATGGACCGATCCTGTTAGGGGTGGGAACCCAGTGTAATGTGTTCAGAATATTACTCAAACATTTATCCGACAATGTGTTCATTTACAGGTTTCTCTGTCTGCCTTAACTCTACCACTGGCAAGTCAAAATATTAATGTTAAATCTCAACGCCATCTCAAACATCAAAATATAAGTTCTTAAGCTTCAGTTTAACATTAAGTTGAAAGGACCGTGTTTGTCTCTCTTAGTCTGTACATTTATCTGTATCCAACTGAGCGTGATTTGATTTAAATCTATTTTAAAAACGCTTACACTAGGTCAGACTTATCAATGTACACAACTCAATTCAGATAACAGCAGTAAAATATGTCACCACGTCTGTATTGCACATAGAGAATGCGCTATATTTCTGATTAAGATGACTTTGAAGTCTCGTTGAACATTGAACGTCTCACCTGACCAGGTGTACATGTCACGAGAGACAGCACATCTAAATGGCGACTGGAGGCGAGTACCTGCCAACAAGAGAAATATAAGTGGAGAAAAGAGAGGTTGTTAGAATTCTGAACACATATTGGGTGGGTAGTTTTTACAGTCTGTATCTGCGTAAGGCGGTGAAAACATAATGGATGTTACAAAGTCAGGATTTTATGATTTTTGTTGCTTGAGGATTAGGGTACCTTCTTCGTAAAATGTCAACTGTTGTGAATAATATTATTTTCTATTTATTTTAAATGATACCTTTTTGTGTTCGTGCTATATTCCGTTCCTAATGCCCTGCTATCAGCCAAAATTTATTCATCTCTCACTGTTGTGGGTAAATCTTATGCACCCGCTCTCACCCTAGTGGTGTAAAGTATTGTAATACACCGGTACACTCTTTCGGGTTCTCCACACGTCTTTCGTAGGTCAAATATTGTTTTATTTAATCTAAACATTTCATCCCATAAATATATCCATATTTACATATATAGATATATAGATATAGTTTAATGGTGTGTTTACCTCCATAACCAAATCTATATCATTAAACCCATGCCCCTCATTGCTCTATTTTAGGATATTGGTCCTAGGAAAAATGTCTTTGTCCAAGATCCTAACGGAAGATTTCCTAACGTGCAGCATATGCCTTGAAAAGTTTAAACTCCCCAAGGCCCTCGGTTGTTCACATACCTTTTGCCAGCATTGCCTCCAAGACCATTTGGACAGAAATTTCCAAGGTCAGCCTGGCTTCCCTTGTCCTATCTGTAGACGTCAGTGTGACCTCCCTAGTGGCGGTGTTAGCAGTTTACAAACAAACCATCTTGTGAACAGCATATCACATACACTTGCTCAAGTAGAAAAAGCCAAAGCTGCCAAGAAATGCGAGGTATGTTGTCTGAAAAGAGTCGTCAATCCACCAACGGCAACAAAACATTGTTTGAACTGTGAGGAAAGTATGTGTAGTGATTGTTCTTCGGACCATGTTCTTCATAAGTTAAACCGTGACCACAAACTCTTTCCTGTGGATCAGTTAGACAGTGACGAATACGTAACAGAGCTGCATTCCCGACAAAACGTCCTCTGTGACCACAACAACAAGGAACCCGTAGAAATCTACTGTCCAGTGTGTAAAAAGTACATCTGCGCTACGTGTATGTTTTTGGAACACAAGGATCATGATTGCCTTAGGATCAAAACTGCTGCTGACAAACGCAAGGAAAAACTGGCACTCCTCGTTAGACCCATTGAGAAGAAAAGTCTACTCTACGATCAGTTCAAGACCGCCGCTGAAGACCAGAAAAAGTCGGTTGAAGAAGGAAGAAAGAAGGCAAAGAGTCAGGTTAACAACCAGATGGAGCTAGTTATTAAGATGGTCCGCCAACATGCCAAGAGTCTTCTGGAAGAAATAGATGCCAAGTCGAATGCAAAACTAGAGGTTTTAAATGCTTTAATTGCAACTGCTACCGTTGAGCAAAATCAACTGGACGACGTTGTAGAATTCTCAAGAAAGCTCATAAACCATGGGAACGACATGGATGTCCTGCAAATGGCCTCCGCCTGTGAGCAAAGCAGCAAGAGCGTCCAGAATCTCGACATCCCGACCCTGCCCACAGCCATGACCCAGCTACAGCTTATCACCAACGACAAGGAGGAATGCGTTACCAATATCAACCGTTGCCTTGGAGACCTGGTTCCCGCTGTGAGTGGAAGACTGGTGACATCATTCATAGTAGGGCTATCCAAGACTCCTGAGGAGGTGATCACTCACGTGACCACTGATACAAATGGTGACATCCTTATTGGTATTTGGTGTAATGAGGACTTTTCAAGGAATAGAATCCACATCTACGATACCACCTTTGTCCTACAGGGCACAATTCAACGGGCAGCAGAAAAGGGTGGCTTTGCTGGGGTTGCCATTGATGATGACGGTAACATCGTCACTAGATGTCAGTGTTCAAATGAAATCATTGTCTACACCAAGACAGGGGACCACGTGAGAACATTCCACAGTGAGTCACCTCAGGCAGTAGCGGTCAACAGCAAGGGTCACTATGTGGTGGCCGGTCGTAATACTCTGACTGTGCACCACAAGAATGGCAAGGTTCTGCAGACGACACCAGACCCTGGAGGGGTTATATATTTCAAATACATCCACTGCAACGTGAATGATGACGTCATCGTCACAGATCCAGGAGATCATCACATCCGTGTATACAATTCTACTCTCCAGCTTAAATACAGATATGGTACCAAGGGTGATGGGGACGGACAGGTGAACATTCCACGTGGCATATGCTGCTTGGATAATGGAGACATAATTCTAGCAGACTTCAACAACCATTGTCTACACCTGGTGTCATCAGATGGGAAATTCAAGCAGTTTCTTTTAAGCAGCAATGGACTACGCTATCCGAGAGATGTTACAATAAGCCATCTCGGAAAACTAGTCGTTGGGGAAAGTAACGGCAAGATTAAATTTTTTGAATTATGAGTGATTGCTAAGCTTACAAAGAGCACTAAAAAGATCATTAAAATACAGCCAATATCCGAGTAAACATTGTATCGGCCCAATTTTTACATGTTCTGCCCTATAAATAATGCAATATGAAAATGTTTCAATAATACAAGTACATTTTTTAAAAATAAAATCCTGCTGATGAATTTCAAATATGTATTTATTTTCTCAGTTATATAATAATCGCTGGATATAATGACTTCGTTTCTTGAAGGGCAAAGAATAAAAAGTGGCATTCACGTGGAAGCCTCAAGGATCACGCTAAATAAATCGTGCGTTTCAAGCATCTCGGGAAATAAAAAGCGGAACATGAAATACCCAAATGGACACTCTCTGATATAACAGGGGCTTCCTAATACAGCTTGTTAAAAAGTTTAAGAGGGTCAGCCATTTTAACAGATTATATACTTGCCACCCCGGAAGTAAGCAACAGACGTAGAAACGTCCCACGGATAAATTATATCCGTAATAATTGTGAAACCTCGCATCGCATGGCAAATTCTTGTCTGGCCGCACGATCACCATGAGATAACTGGAAGATACAGTATCAACCCGGGCACTGGGATCTACGAACACTACCAATTGTGTGTCTCATGGGTTATGTCACCTAGCGCAGTGTCTCCACGACTATGTTTGTAGAAACATTATAACTCCCCCCAAAACCGCCAAGTATGTTACAGATTCCGAAAGCGAAGGCGCATCTTTGCCCGACATAATGATAGCATGTCAAACGTTCGTGATCGCGGACGCCGTACTGAACTTTCGTGATGCGGACGTATAAATATTTACCATATGTATGCGCATCATGCCTGGCGTCAAGAACAGAAACCTACCAATCATGTGAGCCTCATATTCAAGATGCAGAACGTATGATCTTTTGTTCTCGACACCCGCCGTGTAACCATTATTTTGATTAGATAAAAGTTCATAAAACCCATCATTTTCTGGCCTGTTGACCGCCATGATAGACCTAGTATCTATTTGACACAATTGCCATACTAGTATTCCTGCATGGTCAGCGGTCTCTCTTATCTAACAAGCGTTCTGATGGGTTCACATGTCCAAGGCATTTAAAGTGTATGAGTTAGTGTCTGGAAGCAGTATGCAGTTCGGAGCGGGTCACAGATTGTTTTAATCTGGTAAAATATTGATTTGTCACGAAAATTCGAACTGGATATTTCATTTGGATTTCTTAAACAATTTTTATACTTGTTTTCCAATTTTTCTGACTGATAAACGAAAACAATGATTCAAACATTTAATCATTTTATTCGGATCAGTAAAAAAAATATGAGAAACGTTATGATAAATTCTATCCAAAATGGTGATATTAAGGTCCTTGATGTTAAATCTTTCTGTACAGCTCTTAAATTAATATGGCTTAAGAGATTTGTAAATCTACATAATTTTCCATACATCTAACCTAATAGGCGTAGACTAAAATGCATCTATTCCATAAACCAAATAAACGCAATCATCTTCTGCCCCTCCACTCCCCCACCCCCTCCTCCCACCCACTCACCAAAAGTCCCATGGCACTGCTCTTGTATTACGGAGGAGACGTGAATAACAGAATCACTATTGTCCTGCGGAAATGGAGAAGATGAGCAACACAATCATCAGTCTCTCCTAACACAATCGTTATATATATTTTATTATGCCGGGTATTTTTTGCAAAGGTAGTACATGGGGAGTTTTTTTAACTATAGCTTGTATGTGGGGGGCATACTTTAGGACTAATAAGTGGAGTAAATAAAACATTACAGAATGGCACTTTACTGAAAATCTTAAGATCAACGTCGAAAATTTGTATTCGTCACCATGCTCCCTATGCAACAATTCCCGTGGTTCTTGATACCCATCTGGCAGTCACTTATCAATTATTTCGGTTCACCATCTATGTATTGATATACCTAATGCAGTCTTTCAGTGTTTAATGTAACCTTAGGTTCAATTTTAGTTTCAAAAGAAAATATGAATGTACTATAAATCAATAAATTACCCTTTAACAGTGGGGCCATTTGCCTCGGTAAAGGCGGGACGCACTGCACAACATAGGGCACAACTTCCATTCGTTGTCTGCTCTAAATGCAACAATTCGCGCGCCTTTTGATACCCAGAATATACTATACTAGTAAATAGAGTATACTAGAATATAGAGACAACTACTTATCAATTCCTTTGGTTCACCATCTGTGTATTGTAGACAGTAAAATCTATAATGTGACCTCAGGTTCTATTCTACTTTCAATATAAATCAATACATCGCCCTTAAACATTGGAAGATTGTATTTTCGATATCAATACACAGCAATAAAATATGCCAAAATGTTTGTATTGTACATACAAAAAGCTCCACATTGTTGATCAATGTGACTTTGAAGCTATCTATGGAGGTCCTGTGGTCGGATGACAAGCACAGATTCTAGAATAATTACGTTAACCACCATTTTGGTGGTAAAAGAAAATTTATTATATTTCCCCGAGTTGTTTACAGTGTATTTATTGTGTTATCCCATTAATGCTGGCAACGACCCACATCGCCTTCTAAACCAGTCAGAATATTTCAAGAGCATTAGGGTAGGTTCACAGTCTCCATATAGAGTTATCACACATGAAACATTTCTTTTTTTGCTGAAGCGTCGTTTTTACTTCAACAAGGAACTAGATGCCGTGTATAGCACAATCACCTGTAAACTAAGGTAGACTAAGATACTTGTATAATGCGGTAGGGGAGACACTGCACGAATGTGGGGTTGATTGCGGTTGTTGTACCCTAAGTTCTAGATTTCAGTATTGTCAGCTCGATCATGCTTTCCTATGTAACCCATATCAGCAATACTGACTCTGACCACTAGCGGCAGATTGGGGGTGTGTTCGAAAAATCTGTCCCGCCTGGAGCTGCCTTTCCCGCCTTGAGCTGACGATATCTCTTGCAGACGAGACAAAGAAGCAAATTGGCTGACGTGTAGTTTGTAGTTTGAACTAAGAATACCTTTCATTCGAAAATCAGTGCCACAACACGATCACCTTTCTGCTTTAAAAACTGAATTTCGGTGCAGCCATTGCGCGGTCCTTATAGTGGTATCGGACATACAGTGTAGCTGTCAAACTTTGCACGCGACATAAACGTGTACATGTATTGTGTTTATATCTTCAGAAGCAAATGTTTTTTTTATAAGCAAAAAAAATACCATTCTTCTGAAAAAATACCATTCTTCTGAAAAAATAATATTAATGTTTCAATTCACAGCTTAAATACAGTAAATAAAATTAAATAAAGCAAATTAAAATATGCTGTACGTTTGAATTTGGGTTAATGAGATTCAACTGCAGATTTACTGCTCCGCACAGTTCCTTTGATTGACGGCTACTCGAAATTGCCGCTGTTCGTCAGAGCCACTGTAAAGCTCCCCATGCAAAGATATGAATAGTGAGCAACCTAGCTTTATAGTGCCTTGACACTCAGGGCAGGTTGTTGAGACTTGATTGCGATTGTTGAGACTTGATTGCGATTGTGGAGGCACTCCGGGTTATTTTAACTGCCCCCATTATAAGGCAAGATGTTCAACATGTTACTCATACATTTATCCAGCAATATATTATTTGCAGGTTTCTCTGTCTGCCTCAACACTACCACTGATAAGCCAAAGCATAAATTTTAGATCTCAACGTCATCTCAAACATTAAAATATAATTTCTTAAGCTTCAATACAACATTAAGTTAAAAGGACCGTGCTTGTCTCTCTTAGTCTGTACATTTATCTGTATCCAGCTGAGCGTGGTTTGATTTAAATCTATTTTATAAACCCTTACACTAGGTCAGACTTATCAATATAAACAACTCAATTCAGATAACAGCTATAAAATATGTCACCACGTCTGTACTGCACATAGAGAAAGCGCTATTTTGCTGATTAAGATGACTTTGAAATCTCCATGAACATTGAACGTCTCACCCAACTAGGTGTACATGTCCCGAGAGACAGCACATCTAAATGGCGACTGGAGGCAAGTATCTACCATCAAGAGAAATATAACTGGAGAAAAGAGAGGTAATTAGAATTCTGAAGACATTGGTAGTTATTACAGTCTGTGTCTGCGCATGTGTAAGGTGGTGAAAAAATAATGGCTGTTGCCCAGTTGGAATTTTATGATTTTTGTTGCTGATGGTTATCCTCTACGTAAAATGTTAACTGTTGTGAATAATATTATTTTCATTTATTTCACATGATTTCCTTTTGTGTTCGTGCTATATTCAGTTCTGTATGTCCTGCTATCAGCCAAAATTTATTCATCTCTTTCTGCTGTGGGTAGATCTTACTGCAACTGCGCTCATCTTAGTGGTGTAAAGTATTGTAATATACATTATATACATAGGCTTAAGGGTCCTCCACGCGTCTTTCGTAGGTCAGATATTGTTTTATTTCATCAACACATTTCGTCCCATAAATATCTCCATATTTACATGCATTTAGATATAGTTTAATGGTGTGTTTACCTCCATCACTAAATCTATATTATTAAACCCATGTCCCTCATTCNATGCAGTAGCGGTCAACAGCAAGGGTCACTATGTGGTGGCCGGTCGTAATACTCTGACTGTGCACCACAAGGATGGCAAGGTCCTGCAGACGAAACAAGATCCAGAAGGTAAATATTCCAAATGCATCCACTGCAACATGAATGACGATATCATCGTCACAGGAGATGATCACATCCGTGTATATGATTCCACTCTCCAGCTTAAATTCAGATATGGTTCCCAGGGTGATGGGGACGGACAGGTGAACATTCCGCATGGTACATGCTGCTTGGATAATGGAGACATAATCCTAACGGACTTCAACAACCATCGTCTACACCTGGTGTCACCAGATGGGAAATTCAAGTATTTGCTTTTAGGCGAAGACAATGGACTACGCTATCCAACAGATGTTACTATAAAACTTGTAGGAAAACTGGTCGTTGGGGAGAGTGGAGGCAATATTAAATTTTTTGAATTATGATTGATGGATAAGTTAACAAAGGACACTAAAAAGATCATTGAAATACAGACAGTACCCCAGTAAACATTGTATCGGCCCAGTTTTCATGGATCTTGCCTTCGATGAACCGCTGGTGAACCCGTACAGTAAAACAGGCCGAAATTCACTTAATCTAAATATTTAATTTTTAGCCTTTTGAAATGGATAATATACATTAATAGCCTCAGGTAACAAATACTAGTAGAAGTTTGTCTTTCGATCAGATTAGACAAAAGAAATTTAGTCACAATTGGCTCACGACCTACTATAGCAAGTACAGCCAGCAGCAAGGACATCCAACAATTAATATTGTTCTAGAAAAAATTATAACATCAGCATAGAAAAAAGGGTGAATTATACTGCCTCCTTTATAAAAACTACCGATGAGGGAACTGACTGTATAGTAACAACTTGTGGTACGCTGATTTTGTGTGTCCAACATCGATATATGTTGCTTGAAGTATGCTTACTTAGAAACAAATAGCTTTCAATAATACTCTATGTTAATGTTTCAAAAGACCAGTACTTTTGTAATAAAATGCTGCTCATGAACTTCATATGTTTTAAAATGTTTATTCAGTTTTATGATAATCACTGGATATAATGACTTCGTTCCTGGAAGGGCAAAGAATAAAAAGCGGTATTCACGAGTCACAAGAATGTAGAAAACGGAAATGCCCAATGGGGCGCTCTCTGATATCACAGGGACTTCTTATATAGCCTGTGGCAAAATTTAAGAGGGCCTGCAGTCATTTTAACAGACTACGGACGTACAAACGCCCCCCCCCCCCCACCCCCGGCAAAAATGTATCCGTAATAATTGTGACAGCTCGCATCGCATGGAAAATTCTTGTCTGGCTGCACGATCACTGGAAGTTAACAAAACAATGCCCATACAGGTATTGTGTAATGGTGTCTACGAATACCTACTATTTGCGTGTCTGGTCTGTTACGTCACCGAGCGCGATGTCTCTGTGTGTAGAAAATTGATCACGTGTCGTTAACGCCAGCCACCCCTCCCCAAGTATGTAACAGATTGGGAATGCAACTGTAACATGAAAATTTGTCTCCTCCCATGAAATCTTGATTCCTTTTTTTTTCAGCTTTTGAAAAAAAATATTGGGAAGAACAACAGCAAGTGTTTTGTTTGGCTTGCTATATATGAATAATTCATTAAAAAGGCCAAGGCTGTTGATTTCTTGAGCTAAAAATATAATATGTAGCATTTTTTCATGGGAGTCCAAATCCGTCAGATAGTAAGATGAATACTTGTTTGAAAAATTATCAATTTTCACCAAAACGTTCACCACCAAACTTTCAAATACTAACAAAATATACGTCATGACGCAAACTATGTGAAAAATAATGGCATGGTGACTAAATATAAAATAGAGCCTTTTCTACATGGGAGTCCAAATCCTATGGATGTAAAAATGAAGGTTTTTTCGTGATTTTTTTTTTTTTTACTTTTTTCACCCAATATTTTACCATGAAACTTTCCAATAATGCCAATATGAATTTTTAATTATACCGTATAAAACTGTTTCAGCAGGCCGGTATATTTTTAAAATGAAATCCTGCTTATGAATTTCAAATATATATTTATTCAGTTATATAATAATCACTGGGTATAGTGACTTTGTTTCTCGAAAAAGCAAGAGTAAGAGCGGTATATACTTGTCACGGGAATGGGAAATTAGAACACGAAATACCCTATGGTGTGCTCTCTGATATCTCAGGGGCCTCTCATGTAATATAGCCCGCTGCAAAATTAAAGAGGATCAACCATTTTTACAGACTATATACTTGACACCTCTTTAGTTACTGACGTAGGTGCACACGTCCCACAGCCAAACTACATGTACATGTAAATCCGTGATAATTTAAACAACAGGGATACTAACAGTCCATTCCCCCCCCCCCCTCCAAAAAAAAAGAGATTTTCGAAGAGTAGAAAATTCCATATACTTATCAATAGTTAATGAATCTGCCCAGATATCCAAAGTTAAGCTAATGTATTTATTCATTTATTATTATTATTATCTTAATTTGGTTTTTCTTATAGTCATAAAATAAATTATCACAGGGACTAATCATCCATGGACGTCACGATGACAAGCACACGTTCTAAAATAATTGTCATAACCGCCGTTTTGATGGTTAAAGATAATTTATTATTTTCTGTAAGTTGTTTACAGCGTAGGTATTGTGAAATATGAATGTCATACGAAGAGTTGTTATCCTAATTGAGATTCTTCGACCGACCTCTGGAAAACGGTCAAGAATATTTGAAGAACACTGGGATGTGGACACTCTCTGAATTCTCGTTATCTAACACAAAGCAATACATTTTGGCTTAAATGCCATTTTATCTCAATCAATATCGAGTTTTCGTGTACAGAACCATCACCTGTAGTCCAAGACACGTGTAATATGGTGAGGGAGAAAACGGCACGGTTGCGGTTGTTGAGACTTGATTGCGATTATTGAGGCACTTCAGGGGTTTTTTACTGTTCCCATTGTAACCCGAAATGTCATACTAAAACCAACATATTACTCATACATTTATCCAGCAATGCATTCATTTGCAGTCTGTTATTTGCCTCAACTCTGCCACTGATATTAGTAAGTATTAATGTTAAATCTCAACCTCATCTCAAACATCAAAATATAATTTCTAACGCTTCAATATTATATAATTTGATAGGGCCGTGCTTGTGTCTATTAGTCTGTACATGTATCTCTATCCAACCGCTGTATTAACAGATAACAGCGATAAAATATGTCACCACGTCTGTACTGTACATAGAGATAGCGCTATTTTGCTGATTAAGATGACTTTGAAGTCTCCTTGAACACTGAACGTCTCGCCTGACCAGGTGTACATGTCATGAGAGGCAGTACATCTAAATGACGACTGGAGGCATGTAGCTGCCACCAAGAGAAATATAACTGGAGAAAAGAGAGGTAATTAGAATTCTGAAAACATATTCGGTTGGTAGTTATTACAGTCTGTATCTGTGTAAGGTGGTGAAAACATAATTGTTGTTACACAGTCAGGATTTTATGATTTTTGTTGCTTCAGGATTAGGGTATCTTCTTCGTAAAATGTCAACAGTTGTGAATAATATTATTTTCTATTTATTTCAAATGATACCTTTTTGTGTTCGTGCTATATTCCGTTCCGTATGCCCTGCTATCAGCCAAAATTTATTCATCTCTCTTTGCTGTGGGTAAATCTTACTGCACTCGCTCTCATCCTAGTGGTGTAAAGTATTGTAATACACCGGTACACTCTTACGGGTTCTCTGCACGTCTTTCGTAGGTCAAATATTGTTTTATTTAATCTAAACATTTCATCCTATAAATATATCCATATTTACATGCTTTTAGATATAGCTTAATGGTGTGTTTACCTCCATCACCAAATCTATATCATTAAACCCATAACCCTCATTTCTCTTCTTTAAGGTATTGGTGCTAGGAACAATGTCTTTGTCCAAAATCCTAACGGAAGATTTCCTAACATGCAGCATATGCCATGAAAAGTTCAAAGAGCCAAAGGTCCTCAGCTGTTCACATACGTTTTGCCAGCATTGCCTCCAAGACCATTGGGACAGTAATTTCCAAGGTCAGCTGCAGTTCCCTTGTCCTATCTGTAGACGTCAGTGTGACCTCCCTGTGGGCGGTGTTAGCAGATTACAAACAAATCATCTTGTGGTCAGCATATCACATACACTTGCTCAAGTAGAACAAGCCAAAGCTACCAAGAAATGCGAGTTATGTTGTCTGAAAAATGTCCCCAATCCACCCACGGCAACAAATCGTTGTTTGAACTGTGAGGAAAATATGTGTGGTGATTGTTCTTCAGACCATGTTCTTCATAAGTTAAACCGTGACCACAAACTGTTTCCTGTCGACCAGTTAGGAAGCGACAAATACGTGACAGAGCTGCATGCCAGACAGAACGTCTTCTGTGACCACAATAACAAGGATCCAGTTGAAATCTTCTGTCCAGTGTGTAAAAAGTACATCTGCGCTACGTGTATGTGTTTGGAACACAAGAATCATGATTGCCTAAGAATCAAAAATGCTGCTGACAAACGCAAGGAAAAACTAGAACTCCTCGTTAGACACACTGAGAAGAAACGCCCACTCTACGGTCATTTCAAGACCGCTGCTGAAGACCAGAAAACGTCAGTCGAAGAAGGAAGGAAGAAGGCAAAGAGTCAAGTTAACAAGCAGTTGGAGTTAGTCATTAAGATAGCCCATCAACGTGCCGAGGATCTTCTAGGAGAAATAGATGCAAAGTCGAATGCAAAACTAGAGGTTTTAAACGCTTTAATTGCAAATGCTACCGCTGAGCAAAATCAACTGGACGACGTTGTAGACTTCTCGAGAAAGCTCATAAACCATGGGAACGACATGGATGTCCTGCAAATGGCCTCCGCCTGTGAGCAAATCAGCGAGAGCATTCACGCCATCAAAATTCCAACCCTGCCCGCAGCCATGACCCAACTACAGCTTATCACCAACGACATGGAGGAGTGCGTTACCAATATCAACCGTTGCCTTGGAGACGTGGTTCCAGCTGTAAGTGGAAGATTAGTGACAACATTCAAAGTAGAACTGACCAAGTCTCCTGAAGAGATGATCACTCACGTGACCACTGATACAAATGGTGACATCCTTATTGGTATTTGGTGTGATGAGGACTTTTCACGGAATAGAATCCACATCTACGATGCCACCTTTGTCCTACAGGGCACAATTCCAAACCCAAAAACAGCAGAAAATGAGGCGTTTTTCTGGGATTGCCTTTGATGCTGACGGTAACATCGTCACTAAATGCCAGGGGTCAAATGAAATCATTATCTTCACCAAGACAGGGGGCAACGTGAGAACATTCCACAGTGAGTCACCAGAAGCAGTGGCGGTCAACAGCAAGGGTCACTATGTGGTGGCCGGTCATAATACTCTGACTGTGCACCACAAGGATGGCAAGGTCCTGCAGACGACACCAGACCCAGGGGGTAAATGTGTCAAGCACATCCACTGTAACGTGAATGATGACGTCATCGTCACAGATCCAGGAAATGATCACATCCGTGTATACGATCCAACTCTCCAGTTTAAATACAGGTATGGTACCCAGGGTGATGGTGACGCACAGGTGGACGGTCCACTCGGCACATGCTCCTTGGATAATGGAGACATAATTCTGACAGACTTTATCAACCATCGTCTGCACCTGGTGTCACCAGATGGGAAATTCAAGCAGTTTATTTTAAGCAAAGACAATGGACTTTTCAATCCGAGAGATGTTACTATAAACCATCTTGGGAAACTGGTCGTTGCTGAAGAGGGAGGCCAGATTAACTTTTTTGAATTGTGACTGATTGCTTAGCTAAAAATGAACTCTGAAGAGATTTTGTACAGCCAAAAGTGCCAATTATGCTGCGTTCTTCACAATAATGACAAACGAGGTAACTGATTGTAGTAGCAACTTGTGGTACGCTGTTTACCATACGGTTTGTGTGTCCAATAACGATATATATGTTGTTTGAAGTGTGCTTAATTAAAAAATAGGTTTAATAATACCACATGAAAATGTTTCAAAAGACCAGTACATTTTAAAAATAAAATGCTGCTTATGAATTTCAAATATTTAAATTTTTCAGTTATATAATAATCACTGGGTATTACTTCGTTTCTTATAAGTCAAGAAATCATATATATATGAAGAATTCAATAAAAAGACCAACACCGCTGATTTCTTGACTTATAGGCCTTAATAAAATAAGTAGCATTTTTGGCATGGGAGTCCAAATCCTAGAGGTAGTTACCGGTAGATGAATGGTTGTCATGAAAATAATCAATTTAACCAAAATTGTCACCAAACTTTCAAACACGAACAAAATTTACGTTACCATGCAAGCAATGTGGAAAATAATGGCATGGTGACTAAATATAAAACAGAGCCTTTTCTTCATGGAAGTCCAAATCCTATGGGTGTGAAATGAAGATTTTGTAATTTTTTTTTCATTTTTTTCTTCCAGTATTTTACCATGAAACTTTCAAATATTTCCAATATAATTTTTAATACTGCCGTATAAAATTTTTTCAAAAGGCCAGTTTATTTTTAAAATGAAATCCTGCTTATGCATTTCAAATATATATTAATTCAGTTATATAATAATCACTGGGTATAGTGACTTTGTTTGTCGAAAAAGCAACAATAAGAATGGGAAATTAGAACACGAAATACCCAATGGTGCGCTCTCTGAAATCACAGGGGCCTCTCATGTAATATAGCCAGCTGCAAAATTAAAGAGGGCCAATCATTTTTACAGACTATATACTTGACACCTCTTTAGTTACTGAGGTACATGTAGGTGCACACGTCCCGCGGCCAAACTACATGTAAATCCGTGATAATTTAAACAACAGGGATACTAACAGTCCAATTTCCCCCCCCCCCTCCAAAAAAATAGAGATTTTCGAAGAGTAGACAATTCCATATACTAATCAATAGTTTTAACTAAATGAATCTGCCCAGATATCCAAAGTTAAGCCATTTTATTTATTTATCATTATTATTCTTATTATTTTAATTTGTTTTTTTCTTATAGTCCTAAAATAAATTATTACAGGGACTAATCATCCATGGAGGTCACGATGACAAGCACAGGTTCTAAAATAATTGCCATAACCGCCGTTTTGGTATTATTTTTCTGTAAGCTGTTTACAGTGTATGTATTGTGAAATATGAATGTCATACGAAGAGTTGTTATCCTAATTGACATTCTTCGACCGACCTCTTCGACCGACCTCTGGAAAACGGTCAAGAATATTTGAAGAACAATGGGATGTGGACACTCTCTGAATTCTCGTTATCTAACACAAAGCATTACATTTTGGCTTAAATGCCATTTTATCTCAATCAAGAACAGAACGAGTTTTCGTGTACAGAACGATCACCTGTAGTCCAAGACAAATGTGTAATATGGTGAGACAGAAAACTGCACGATTGCGGTTGTTGAGACTTGATTGCGATACTTGAGGCACTTCAATTTTTTTTTTTTTTTACTGTTCCCATTATAACCCGAAATTTCATATTAAAATCAACATATTACTCATACATTTATCCAGCAATGCGTTCATTTGCAGTCTGTTATTTGCCCCAACTCTGCCACTGATAATAGTAAGTATTAATGTTAAATCTCAACGTCATCTCAAACATCAAAATATAATTTCTAACGCTTCAATGTTATATAATTTGACAGGGCCGTGCTTGTGTCTGTTAGTCTGTACATGTATCTCTATCCAACCGCTGTATTAAATCTATTTTATAAACCCTTTCACTAGTTCAGATTTATCAGTGTACACAACTCAATTCAGATAACAGCGATAAAATATGTCACCACGTCTGTATTGCACATAGAGATAGCGCTATTTTGCTGATTAAGATGACTTTGAAGTCACCATGAACATTGAACGTCTCACCTGACCAGGTGTACATGTCACGAGAGACAGCACATTTAAATGACAACTGGAGGCGAGTACCTGCCAACAAGTGAAATATAACTAGAGAAAAAAGAGGTAATTAGAATTCTGAAGACATATTGGGTTGGTAGTTATTACAGTCTGTGTCTGCGCCTGTGTAAGGTGGTGAAAACATAATGGTTGTTACCCAGTTGGAATTTTATGATTTTTGTTGCTGGAGGATTAGGTTATCTTCTACGTAAAATGTCAACTGTTGTGGATAATATTATTTTCATTTATTTCACATAATTTCCTTTTGTGTTTGTGCTATATTCCGTTCCGTATGTCCTGCTATCAGCCAAAATTTATTCATCTCTCTCTGCTGTGGGTAAATCTTACTGCAACTGCTCTCATCTTAGTGGTGTAAAGTATTGTAATATACATTATATACATAGACTTAAGGGTCCTCCACGCGTCTTTCGTAGGTCAGATATTGTTTTATTTCATAAAAAACACTTCGCCCTATAAATATCTCCATATTTACATGTATTTAGGTATAGTTTAATGGTGTGTTTACCTCCATCGCTAAATCTATATTATTAAACCCATGTCTCTCATTCCTCTATTTTAGGATATTGGTCCCAGGAGAAATGTCTCTGTCCAAGATCCTAACGGAAGATTTCCTAACGTGCAGCATATGCCTTGAAAAATTTAAAGTCCCCAAGGCCCTCAGCTGTTCACATACGTTTTGCCAGCATTGTCTCCAAGACTATTTGGACAGAAATTTCCAAGGTCAGCCTTGCTTCCCTTGTCCTATCTGTAGACGACAGTGTGACCTCCCTGGGGGCGGTGTTAGCAGATTACAAACAAACCACCTTGTTGTCAGCATATCACATACACTTGCTCAAGTAGAAAAAGCAAAGACTGTAAAGAAATGCGAGGTATGTTGTCTGAAGAATGTCCTCAATCCACCAACGGCAACAAAACGTTGTTTGAACTGTGAGGAAAATATGTGTGGGGATTGTTCTTCAGACCATGTTCTTCATAAGTTAAACCGTGACCACAAACTCTTTCCTGTGGACCAATTAGGAAGCGACGAATACGTAGCAGAGCTGCGTGCCCGACAAAACGTCCTATGTGACCACAACAACGAGGACCCCGTAGAAATATTCTGTCCAGTGTGTAAAAAGTACATCTGCCCCACGTGTAGTTTTTTGGAACACCAAGGCCATAATTGCCTTCGAATCAATGCTGCTGCCGACAAACGCAAGGAAAAACTAGAACTCCTCGTTAGGCCCATTGAGAAGAAAAGTCTACTCTACGATCAGTTCAAGACCGCCGCTGAAGACCAGAAAAAGTCGGTTGAAGAAGGAAGAAAGAAGGCAAAGAGTTAACAACCAGATGGAGCTAGTTATTAAGATGGTCCGTCAACGTGCTGAGGATCTTCTGGAAGAAATAGATGCCAAGTCGAATGCCACACTAGACGATTTAAATGCTTTAATTGCAACTGCTACCGCTGAACAAAATCAACTGGACGACGTTGTAGACTTCTCAAGAAAGCTCATAAACCATGGGAACGACATGGATGTCCTGCAAATGGCATCCGCCTGTGAGCAAAGCAGCGAGAGCGTCCAGAATCTCGACATCCCGACCCTTCCCGCTGCTATGACCCAAATACAGCTTATCACCAACGCCATGGGGGAGTGCGTTACCAATATCAATCGTTGCCTAGGAGACTTGGTTCCCACTGTGAGTGGAAGACTGGTGACATCATTCATAATAAAGCTATCCAAGACTCCTGAGGAGGTGATCGGTCACGTGACCACTGATACAAATGGTGACATCCTTATTGGTATTTGGTGTATTGAGGACCTTTCACGGAATAGAATCCACATCTACGATACAACCTTTGTCCTACAGGGCACAATTCCAAGCCCAAGAGCAGCAGAAAAGCACGCCTTTGGAGGAATTGCCGTTGATGGTGACGGTAACATCGTCACTAGATGTCAGGGGTCAAATGAAATCATTGTCTACACCAAGACAGGGGACCAGGTGAGAACATTCCACAGTGAGTTACCAGAGGCAGTAGCGGTCAACAGCAAGGGTCATTATGTGGTGGCTGGTCGTTATACTCTGACTGTGCACCACAAGGATGGCAAGGTCCTGCGGACGACACCAGACCCAGAGGGTGAATATGTCAAGCGAATCCAATGTAACGTAAATGATGACGTCATCGTCACAGATCCAGGAGATGATCACATCCGTGTATACGATTCCACCCTCCAGCTTAAATACAGATATGGTACCAAGGGTGATGGGGGCGGACAGGTGAACGGTCCACGCGGCACATGCTGCTTGGATAATGGAGACATAATTCTAGCAGACCTCAAGAACCATCGTCTACACCTGCTGTCACCAGATGGGAAATTCAAGCAGTTCCTTTTAAGCAAAGACAATGGACTCCTCTATCCGAGGGGAGTTACTATAAATCTTGGAAAACTGGTCGTTGCAGAACAGAGAGGCGAGATTAAATTTTTTGAATTATGAGTGATTGCTAAGCTAAGAATGAACTCTGAAGAGATAATTTATAGGCAGACAATATCCCAGTAAACATTGTATCGGTCTGATTGTCATGTGTTTTGCCATCAATAGACCCCTGGTGAGGAAAACTGGCCGAAATTCACTGATCCTCAATTCTTTTAAGAATTTCACGAAAGAACCAAAAGAATGAATGACCTTTTGCAATGGTTACATATCATTAATAGCCACAGGTAACAGATATTAGTAGGTGCTTTGAATTTGCCTTTCGATCAGAACAGACAAAACAGATTTATTCACACATTCGGCCTACGCCCTACTGGAGCAAGGACATCCAGCATGAATTGATATTATTGTAGAAAAAAATACAAAAATGCGTATAGCAAAAGAAAAGGTGAATTATGCTGCGTTCTTCACAATTATTACCGACGAGTAGTAGCAATTTGTGCTACGCTGATTTTCATGCACTCACAAGTTTGTCCAACTACGACATATATTGCTTGAAGAATGCTTACTTAGTAAAAAAAATAGCTTTAAATAATACTATATGAAAATGTTTCAAAAGACCAGTACGTTGTTTTTCAATAAAATCCTGCTTATGAATTTCAAATGTTTATATTTTTTCAGTTATATAATAATGTTTTGGTATAATGACTTCTTTTCTTGAAGGGCGAGTCACGGTAATGGGGTGCCTCACCGATCACATTAAATAAAATTGCGTTTTAAGCCTGGGTCCCAACTCCAGGCACGATTTTCAGGACGTACGTTTTTTTAGGTTCCTCTCGTCTGGTTGGGCCGTAGCTAGATCGTAGGGAAAAAATCAAGTAATTGATGATTGCAGTTAGTGCGCGAGAAGAAGGTGCGTGGAAGGTACGTGAGAAGCACAGCCTCCGCACGTCAGAAGTACCTCTGCGCCTGACGGGCTTTCGCACGTGTCCCGCGCGCCCCGTGCATGCAAAGCACAAGCATCGTGCACTACGTGCGTTATAAATGAGTAAAAAGAGTACAGGCAACGCAAGGGCAACGAAAGTTGAGATGTTTTGGGAAAGGTATAAAAAACAGTGCATGATTGAGGAAATCATTATATCCGCAGCAGTGTTCGAAGATGGTGAGCCCAATCATGCCTGGATTGTCTCCTCTCCCCATCTCCCCCTATTTCTCTTTGTTGTCTTTTTAGGCATTTTCAAAACTTGACATCAGAGAATGATGTGAATTTTTCTTCAGTCAACAGCTAATGTTGAGATAGGTTTTACCTCGAATATGTTGGCTGAAGAAAAATTCACATCATTCTTTTTATTTAACACAGCTGATGAAATTCTTAGTAGGCTTGTTAAGGGGTCAAACGCTGCATTTTATAGTACAAATTTCTAACTTGGCATAAATGTTCCTTGGGCCAAAAGAAAATTTATTATCCAAAGAGACACGCTCTATCGATGCATAAATTATGCAAATTAGGTGCCAAAATATATAATATTTCATATTTCCATTAATTTTTGGCCTAGAAACATGTATAGATTATCAAACCTGACTAAATTAGGGACAAGGAACCCATTTGTGATCATTTGGAAGCAATTGGTGGCCATTTTGTGCCTCAAATCCAAGATGGCCGCCACCCGCCATTTTGAAAGTGGACATAATTTTGCTATTTTATGTTGAATTTTGAAGCGTTTGGTCTATATATACTTGATATATATATAACGATTCCTACTATTTTGGGGTGCAAAAGTCATTTTTGATATTGTTTTGGTGATAGTAGGTGATTTGAAGGGACAAAGAGGGTGTTTTAAGTGCCTACCAAGATATGTCTAAACGCTGCAACACCATGGATATTGATAACCCGTATTCAAATATATTTCAATGCAATTTCTTCTTATATTCTATCCATATTGGACTAAATTATGAACAAAAAACTCATTTTTACCATTATGGAATGTAAATAGAAACTTTTATAAGCCTCCAAATAAATATAGGAGATTTGAAGGGTGAAAATGTGTCGTCTTATAATACTATGGAACTTGGTTAGTTGTGTTGATGCGTAAATGCCCGTGAAAGACAACCAAATGGACTTTGCTTTGAAATAGCTCCAGATCTTGTCTGCAAAATCATTCAGCAGCACAGCAAAAGGAAACATGCATGATCAGCTCTGGTAGGTCAATAAGACAACAGCCAGTAAGAATTGAGGTTTTGTCAGTGTCCTATGAGAAACAGCCAAACAATATATTAAAATCCAGTTTCCAGAGAAACATCAATGCATGAGAACATGTCGCATCAGAGGAAAGTGGTATCTTTACACAAAAGAAGGAATCTGCAAAACAAGTAGAAAGCAGCAGCTGCGCAGGTAGGTAAGAAGGAAGCAGCCTCTTTTCCTAGTTGACAGTGCAAGTGATCATTCCTAGCATGATTTGGCCAGACAAGTCATCTCACTACCAATAGAAATGCATAAGGCGACTACATAGTTCACATTGTTTCCAATGGACGAACAAGCACAAAACATCTACAGTATATGACAACCACAGGAAAATTCATCTTGGAATCATCTTAAAACACCTTATGCCTTTTTTATTATCCTCTGTCACCAGAATAACACCAGAAATTAATTATGTACTTCCAAAATAGTAACAATTGATGTATTACGATCATATGAAATTCCAACAGCTCAAAAAAAGTAAATTATTCCATAATTTTAAAATAGCGACAGGCTCTTGGATATGAACAACAGAATAGCTAACAGTAGTCGCCATAAAGTCGAATCAGCCATGCTGGTCTCTTGCACTTAATCTATGTCTGGCAAAACCATTTTATAATTGTAATATAACATATTTTTGTACAAATTTGACTTCAAGACGTATACAAGCGAAGGTGAAGACGTAAGCCTGTATTGGTGTTGGAGCCTTGTAATATTTTCTCTTTGTATTATATCTCAGAAGAGATAAAACACATGATTTCTACAACCCAAATGATAAGAAGCGATGTATAACATGCAAGTGTAAGAGCAATAGCTTCAAATTGATGAGTAACAGGTATGCCTTACCCGTATTTCAAAATTGTGACTGGCGGCCATCTTGGATTTGAGGATCAAAATGGCTACCAATTGTTTCCAAAGCACCAAGTACGTGTTCTTTACCTTTAATTAAGCCATTTTGGTCTCTTACACTTGTTTCATGCTCTTTAGGATTTTATAAAACATTTGTACTAATTAGACTACATGGCACATGTAAGTCTATTTGACAACTTAAGCCTATATGCATATTGATTTTGGAAGCTAAAATAGTTTGTACTCACATTTCATGAAACAGATAATGTATTCTGCACCAGAAAACAATATAAAATGACGTATTACTCATTTACAAAGATGTAATACATATAGTTTCAAAATAGCGAATTATGCCCAATTGCAAAATGGTTTTTGGCGGCCATCTTGGATTCGAGGAATAAAACGGCCACCAATGGCCTCCATAATGGTAATTTTTTTTTTTTTTTTTTTTGCTCATAATATACTCCAATAGCGATGGTATATAACAAAAATTGCATTGAGATATATTTGAATACGGGTTATCAATATCCATGGTTTTGCAGCGTTCACACATATCTTGGTAGCCACTTAAAACACCCTCTTTATGTCTCCTTCATCTCAGTGTACCACAAACTTTTATAGTCTCATTCATAGCAAGAAAGAAGGCAACAAGGAATATTGATTGTTCGTGATTTGGCCAAACAAGGCCGCTTTTATTATATAACCCCTCCATCCTAATCGTTTTAACAATAATAACAATGTAGCAAATTGTTGCCTGTATTAAATGTTAAGGGGCCCGCACCGCAACTGACGCGCCACTTGCGCTGAGCCAGATGCTCGCGCTCCTCAGCTCCCCGCAAACGATGCGCTCTTTGCTCAGCAGAGGTGCCTCCCGACCCGCCCCTATCGGACGTACCGTAAACTGTGGGATCATGTGATTAAGGAAACATAACATATTTCTTTTTTTTTCTGAAAGTAATGGCAAATAGTGATCACGTTAATCAATCAGACTAACTATTACTGTGTACATTATTGTTTACTTCGCTGGGGGCTGCCATCTTTCTTTGTTTCCGGCTACCGGCACATGCGCATTGTTGGCATTGCGTGAGCAATCGGCGCTTGCACCCCGCACACGCTGAGACATTTGCCTCAAGAGACCAAAAAAATCAAACACGTGAGAAATTTTGCTCAGCCGCGCGAGAGGCAAAAATCTCACCAAAATACCCCCGCACACGATGAGAAAACGGCGCAGCGCAGGTGGCGCGCGCCAAATGCTCACCGTGTGCGGGCCCCTTTATGGCCTTAGGGATAAAAATTATATATCAAATATTCAATAAGACTCATATTCCTAAAAAGTATGATGCGACGAGTCAGCAAAAGTTATTATTTACCAACAATTTTGCACAAATTTCATTTGTGGGGTTGCAAAGAGGCCAAATGAAATTTTTTGAACTGAAGATTTCAGTTGAAGATTTGAGATAACTTGTAGCTCAATTGTATCATGCGCGTGAACAGAATGAATCAAGCAAAATGAGGCCAGGCAGTGATGCCCCATGGTATAAGTAGCAACATGTGCCTCAATGGAGATTACCCCTCTAGGGCACAATTGAGCATGTGCAGAATGCACATGTTTGAAATAAACTCTGGAGATTGTTGTCAATCGCCAAAAAATGTCGTTTGAGTACACAAATTTTCCTTGGTCCCTTCAAATCACCTACTATCACCATAACAATATCAAAAAAGACTTTTGCACCCCCAAAATAGTAGGAATCGAAATATAGTATATCAAGTATATATAGACCAAACGCTTCAAAATTCAACATAAAATAGCAAAATTATGTCCACTTTCAAAATGGCGGGTGGCGGCCATCTTGGATTTGAGGCACAAGATCTTTTGTTCTCGACCCCCGCCGTGTAACCATTATTTTGATGAGGTAAAACCAATCATTTGCTGGCCTGTTGACCGCCACGATAGACCTAGTGTCTATTTCACACGATTGACATACTAGTATCCCTACATGACCTACGATCTTTCTTATCTAACAAGCATTTTGATGGATTCACATTTCCAAGGCATTTAAAGTGTATGAGTTAGTGTCTAGAAGCAGTATGTAAGCTTTGATATGTCTTGAAAATTCGAACTGGATATTTTATTTGGATTTTTAAATAAAATTTGTTTAGTTTTTTTTTTTTTTTTTTTTTTTTTTTTTTTTTTTTTTTTTTTTTTTTTTTTTCTGACTGATAAGCGAAAACAAGGGTTCAAATATTTTATGATTTTATTTGGAACAGTAAAAAAGAAAAAAAAAGAAAAGAAAGGATTAATTCTATTGGAAATGGTGGTCTTAAGGTCCCTGAGGTGAAATCTTTCTGTACAGCTCTCAAATTAATATGGCTTAAGATATTTGTAAATCTACATAATTTTCTATACATCTAACCTAATAGGCGTAGACTAAAGTGCATCTATTATCCATAAACCAAATTAACGCAATTATCTTTTGCCCATCCACTCCCCCCCCCCTCCCACACTCCCCCNTAAATAAAAGCCAACACTTACCAATGCAGTGAATAAAGGTTCCAGACGCGTAGAGCCTCGATAAATCCACTCTGATCTTTTATCAGCCTCAAAGTACATGTGAACCAGACTGGCATCCACAGCCACCACCTTGGCCTTCCACCTAGAAGAGGAACCCTTACATATATTTCAAGACTTTTAATACATTTAAGATGACAGCATTTATTTCATAACATTTACTGATGTTGAAGAAATACTGTGGATATATCTCATGTTATAACATGTACAGCAAGCTTTTAAGATTTTTTTGTTCACACTTCTGTTTTATTTTATTTTTTTTGCAAGAAAATAGAAAAGATCTCTCAAACAAATATCAATATTTTTGAAATATATAATAAAACAAGACAATGTATAAATATATAAATTCATACTGTTTTATCTTACTTACCACTTTCCATTCCATTCTGTTTGCACATGTTGCCCTTTTGCCAATCTGACCATAGGTCTCTAAAGAAGAATAAGAAAATTTGTAAAGATGTGAATATCACTTTATATTTATAGATTTGCTTCTACAAAAGTTTTATAACCTATAATCTTTCTTTTTACTTTTCCTTTCAAAGCAAGCTCACATGAACAATCTTCATCCTAATTGGATAGATATGATTTTGATATGCTACAAAGATAAAGAATTAGTAACATTATAGAATATCCCATACCTCAGGGTATGCCATGAGATAATCCTTGATGAATTCCTGAGAATCTGGATGAATATCCTCCCAGACATTCTTACCTGGAAGGAAAATTTTATCTCACCATCAGAAATATGGCTAGGTTTCTTCAAAGTGGAAGGGAATTAAGGATGCATTTTTATGATATCTTCAGATATGTTTTTAAAGAAAGTAACTTACTTTGTTCATAAACTTTGTGTACATCCTTCGGCTGTGAATACTGAGCATAACCATCATCAAAGAAGACAAGAAACCTATAAAATTAAAGAAAATGTTTTGCAAAAAATAATTAGAGCAGTGATAATGATATAATTTGACCAAATTTCTCCTTGTGTCATGTACAAATTATGTCACATTTAACATAACTTAAGACTTTGCATCACTTGTCACCTTATAACTCAAATTACTGTTTATCCTTTTTGTCTTTGGTATTAACTGAGACTTCTGAATATTACCTAAATCCTATCTTTGCTAAACTCTAACAAATTTCCTAGTCCCCAACTGTCCAAATTATTAAAAGTCTGCTACCCATCACATAGATTACAATCACAAACCTTGGTTTGGAGATTTATAGACCCACCTGTTATTGTTCCTGACATTTGGGGGCTCTGCTACTATGCCTGCATAGAAAGAGGTAGACGGAGTGGCTTCTTCATCTTTGTAAAGTGCTGGAATGTGACAACAAAATAGAAATTACATGTCGGGTATTACAGCAGTCTGTGACATTAACATTTGCACCACATCAAATGCCAGCAAAATTGAATCCTAAAGACTTGGGGGGGGGGGGTATATTATTGCTTTGAGTCAGTGAATTCATGATGTCTCAAAGAACCCGTAGACTAAAAGCAGAGTATTCAAATTTTCATCTCACTTTTTTAAATGAAAAGCAATTTTTGCATAATAAATGTAGCTTAAAACCTCCAGTCACATATTACTTTTATTATTATTTTCCTTAGTTATCTGTCAGTCTAAGCTGTGAGATTACCACTTACCCACCACACGGGTTCCCACTGGCAGAGTTCCTGTGCAAGGATCAAAATATGCTATATGCTTTCCTGAGAGCACCTTCATCCCCTTGGAGTCAAACTTTACTCTGTATCTATGCTGCATTGATTGACATGAAATAAAGAATGAATTAAAGTATGAAACATAAAATATTATATTTATCGCTTTGATAACAATTTACAGAACAACTTAATACTTAAGATAATCACTATATAGACAATTCTTAATTTTACTAGTGGTTTTATAAAATCATACTCATCCACTGCCTCTTAAACATGTACACCATACATGTACTTTTTAATAAATAAAAAAAAAAAAAACTAAAAGTGCACCACTCACTTCTTCCTTTGGTTTGTCTTTATTCTGAATCTCTGCTACAGTCCCCTTATACCAAATGTCATTGAACTTCTTACCAAGGACTTTAATCCCAACCGTCACTGGCCTAGAGAGTATACAAGTAACAATTTTAAAATACAATTTTTGTATGAATTATAGGTATGAAGGCTGTGCTGACTGATGGGTAATCCATGATCAAAAAGAAACAGAACACATAAAAATATGCATAAACAAAAGAGACCAAAATGTAAAAATATGTTATTCATAAAAACTGGACATGTTGCAAGAGATGTACTATCATAATTCATAGCTTCAGGAAAAAAACTGCTTGTTTATAGGAAAACATCTAGCTGCAACTTACAAGAATTTTTGTTGTATGGGAATCCGTGGCCTGGGTTTGGGTGGATGCACTGAGAGTGGAATGATATCATTGGACTGATCAACTGACTTACTTATGACAGTTTCAGGAGCCTGCAATTAATGCAAGTATATAAAATGCCATTTTCCAAAACATACAGTCTATGATCTGAAATCCAGTGGTTATCAGATCTTCACGGACTCAGGAGTATTCTTCATTTTGATAATCAAAAATTAACACTTGAAACACGACATTGCATGTTGATTGTAAGGTTGCTGTCTACATATTGGCCTTTGAGCAGATACTTACTTGTCTAAACTTTCACATGAACAACACAATGGTTCACTGACACTCATTAACAAAGATATGAGAGGTAATGATCACAACATCATACCATTGTGTTATTACCTCTTAAGTCTAGCATTAGCTTTATTTTTTTAAATGTGAAATCACGTCTTGAGTAATAATGCAAAGAAAAGGTGCAAAATCCAACTAAGTGTGCTTGCTACCAGAAACCAGTATATCACCTATAGCTGAAGCACTAGAGCTAGTCTTACCTTGGGTGTGGTGGACAAAATGGACACCATTTGTGTGTGCATGTTTACCAGCTGACTGCTTAAATTCACAGGCTTGGCCTTGGGGGGTGAAGACAATGGGGAGGCCACTGACTTTGATCTAATTCAAATACAGATAAAAATAAGTATGGCATAATAGGATATTAATTACTTACCAAAGGGAAGTTATAAACATTTCATGCCCCCTGTTACAAAAATATGTATTTAATACTTGCAATGCACTGTTAAATAAGGAAAAAATATAACAGTTTATGTTCCCTTACAATTGCAGTGTTTTAATGGATTTGTTCCCTGTTGACTTTGGTGGATGATAGGAGGCCTCCAGAAACTGCACATCATCATCACTCCCTGAGTCTTCCCTGAATGAAGTAAAAAATATATAAATACTGAAGCTGCCTTACAACATGTGGCAAATAAATAAATTCACATTTTTTTTTATATAGTATCATTAAAGTTGTGAAAATAATTCTTTATTTCTTTTCGTAAAAAAGTTTTCATTTGCATCACGCTTCTTAATATAAGCTATCCCTACCCTTCAATGCCCTGCTCAGACTGGATTTGCTCTTTCAACTTCTGGATCTGTTCCTTCACATCATCAAAAATTCTGTCCACCTCTTTTTGCTTTCCTGCAAAAATGGTTTAAAGACTATGCATTCACAAGAAATAAGATGTCACCAAGTTTTAATACAATCTACAAAAAGTCAAACATAAAAAACTAATAATAATAAAATGCAACTAATCCTTAAAATCCACCAAATGGCTGTTCATAACATTAGTATGAACACTGATGCATTAGTGCTTCTTTTTTGATGTGTAATATTTATCCTAACACATGGAAAACATAGGTACAAATAGTTATAGTATGACATTCATCTAGCATATCTACCCCAATGCTAAAGATCTCACATCTTTTGCTAACTAACTTTGTGCATATAAACCATACTCTATGAAGAATGTTTTTGCCATGGAAGTCCTAGTTTCATTTTATCACTGCTGTAACCCATATGTACTTACTTTCTGCAGATCTAATTTGATTAGACAAAGTGTTGAAATTTTGGTCACATCTCACATCAAACTTCAAATCCTCCAACGTTAGATCAATAACATCCTCAAAAGATTGTCCATCAAAATCTGCTGGATCAAACTCATAATATATCTCGTCGTCATCATCCTTTGCTATATTAGCTGCAGCAGTTGCCATCTAATAACAAAAATCTCATTAAATGCTGTATATAAGTGGCAATAATGAAAATAATAAAACAAACATAACAATAGTTTAAAAGCAAGAGTCATGGGTTTGTATATTTAATTGTAAAAAAATAACACCCTTTAAACTGTCACATGTCGAAAATCTGGATTTTCTTCTTGTTCTGGTGACCTTATATAGCATGCTGAAGTTGTGCAATCTCGCCTGAAATAAGCTGGTATATTAGCTGATGATCAAAATGGCCCAAAACAAGGCAAGTGACATCCTAATAATTGCTAACTTATAGATCAGCATATAAATCAGCTTACTCATAGCCCTGCTGTTGGGAAAACTGGTTGGTGAACAGGAGTGGAAAGGTTGGAGGAGATGAGAGATAAATTTTAAAAAATTTAACTATTCAGATTGTCGTTGAAAAACACACTTACCAACATTCAAATTCTCGATCCTTACGTGATTAAAAAACCCATGTTTCGTTTTATTTTTATTAAATAAACACGTGTTATTTGACAAAGCAAGTCACAATGTTCTCTAAGTTGAAATTAATTGAAAACAATGCTCAATCGCTGAATAAACTTCACGTTGAATATTGACTTTGATAACAATATTTACCGTAATATACACCCGAAACTGCAGAAACGATTTTTAATGCAAGGAAACTTGTGCAGACACGACAACCAGAAATCCAGGCGAAGCAAGGGATATACACACCGGCCTGCAACAAAGGTCTGCTACAGTCCTGTCAGTATTCAAAACAAACATGGCTGCCCACACATGTTTGTCATTCAGCAGAAAATTAAAATATCTTCATAGCCTTATAGCCAGCTTTGTAATGCTTTAAACTCCATTTTATTACCACTGAATTATTTTTATATCTCAAACAGAACATTTTATTATTCTTTTGTCAATTTAACAATAATTTTGTGTCGCCAGTAAGAAAAAAATAATAAGTCCTTCCCACAGCGCGCGGATTTGACCCCTGGTGACCTACATTCGCCAAAGAGAAAACATGGCGTGGAGGATTGCCTATCTCGTTTTTGCAGGTGGTTTTGTTTTGTCAGCCTGATAACGTTTAAAACCAGTGAACCTGCTTTTAGAGACATATTTAATTTCGATATAGACAATAACTTGTGCTGTCACGCGGAGCATAAATTATTACGTTTACAAGTTACAGTGATGTTCAATATCAAGTCTCTGTCATTTGCTAGTTAATGTAGTTAGTTGTTTTGCAGTACCATGCTGGCACTTGCCTCAGTTTTTGTACATACATGCTATAGGTACCCTTACTGAGGTAGGGGCACTTAAAGTATGTAAGCCCAAAAACTGTGGCAATATTGGCTAGCTCAGTGTGTTGGTATGGGTCATTTTACTTGAAATACATGCATGTGCAGTAGTACTGTATAAAGTGAAACTACCCCTGTACATGTAGCACGGAATTCATGAATTACATGCAGCACTCCTATTGACAATTTTGATATACTCTGTGTTAACACATAAAAGCAAAGACCTTAAATTTTTATCTTACTTTTCGTCTCCTCAACTTGCACACTCCTACTGGTACATGTATAATGCCAACTGGTTTTCCCATTGATAGAGCTGTGAGTGAAGTGCATGTAATATCCCTTTGTCAAGCAATTAACCTGTCGTATAATGGAGCACCCAGAAAAATGAGCCAGCGTATATATCAAAATCATCATGAGAAGTGCTTATACGCATGAATTTTATAATAAAGTGTGTAAACTAAGATTTGCATTTTTAAAACAGTCCACTGCTGATACCGGTATTTATCTCAAAGAGTGAAATCCACCAGCCTCCATTACAAGAGTGGCCCAAACATTAGAAGTTTAGAACTCAAAAACCAGTTTGTGGATTGTATTTTTTATACCTTGGTGATTAAGGGTGAAGTTTTAAAATTTCCTTGAAAATTGAAATTTTGATTCACAAAGGACTTGTAACCATTTGTGTGATTGCAAATGAACAGAGTTAATAACCAAGTGTTTTGCAGGTTTTCTGGGCACCTGTTTAGGTGCTGCCCCAACCAAGCCTAGCATTGCCAAAGCGTATCAGGTCGGTGGGATGCTTCAGCTTCCTTATGCTGAAATCAAGGAGCCATTTTATGCCTACTATGATGGCCATAACAATAGAACTAGAATTGACTATTATTCAGGTATGATTTAAGTCTAATATATAACTTGTCTGTCTGACATAATATATTGTGTATTATTAGTGAAAATGCATTTAGCTGCTATATGGTATGCATCAAACTTTATAGTACTTATTAGTCTCTCTCTGTGTCCCTGTAATTATGATCTGCACTGATTTTTTTTTACTTTGATTTGTTTATTTATACTCCTGGATAGCGAAGTCAATAGACAATTAGACCTTGCTGAATGAAAGTCACTCTGTAGAAACTGGCATGTAATTAGTATGAAAATTTATTTTATGCTCTGTTACATATTGCACTTTTAAGATCATCACATCCAATGGTGTATTCAGCTATAAACAAAAACTATATGTCTTTTGATTTATCTCTTGATCTAATGTGGCAGCATCCTAAAAGAAAATTGGTGTTTTCTGTTTATATAATATCATGTTTCTTCCCAGGCATGTCTAAGATGTATCAAAGAGGTGATCTGAAGAAATCCTACTCTGTAGTGTTCACTAGTTACAGTGATGACAAGCTCAACCAGCTCACTTGCTTTGAATCAGGTGGAATGCCACAGTTGCAGAGTGTATTCCCAGACTTGACCAACTTTACAGTATGTAAAGTGCAATGAATTAAAAATAATGAAAAGTCTGCTCTTCAAGTATTAATGTTATATGAAATTATAATTTATAATCCATTGAATTATAAATGGAAAATAGTTACATATTTTATAGAAGTATGAAACCCAGTTATGTAGTGAGCTGGTGGGTATAAAAGGATTTGGACATTCATTGCAACTCTGTCCTTACAGGCTTTTGCCATTGCTGAGTTAGTTAAAATTTAATTCACCCAGTGAACATTAATGTTTTTATGTTGTATATTGATATGTAAAAGCCAGGGGACCAGAAAATTTATTCATTGCAAGTTGTGCAAAGATTCAAGGTTCATATTACTTTAATCACTTGCCAAAGAAAAAAATCAACTCCATAGAATTTGTTTGAGATAAACAATAATATTGAAGTTACAAGTTGATAAGCTATGCAGAGAGTCAAGTAGCTACAGGTAGCTGCTATCCATTCTTTAATCTCATATTTAAATCGTCATTAATCACATTCCCCATTTATCCTCCCTCAGCTGTATGCCAAGGGACAGCCCCACCCCACAGGTGCAAACATCACTGTAGATGCCTGGAGGTTTGTGATGACAGTTGGCAAGAAAAAGAACACATACACATTCTACGTGGATTCTAAAAAGCAGATTCCTGTGCGCTATGAGATGTTTGGCTATGACACTTTGATGGGCTCCCATTACGACAAGTACTACATTGATTATCATGGTTATCTAGAGTACACCAACACATCTCTCAATGTCTCAGTTTTTCAACCAACAGGTGAGATTACCTGATGAATATTTTCTGTTGAAGGTCATTGAAATATTGCAGTTCAAGTTAAGGGAGACTGGTATTACAAAAGCTTTATAGATATTAATTTTTTCATCTTATAATGTCAATGATGGCACAGTATGATAATATTTTTATTATTTCTTTGTTTTTTTTTTTTTTTGTAGTAAAGAACTGTTCTGTTGGATATACCCAGACCAAGAATTCAGAAAAGAGAATCCTTATGAACCCCATGAGGGAATACGTACATCATGATGACCTCCACATCCATGAAATGTTTGAAGATTTTAAGAAAACTTACCAGCGAAACTTCATGACTATAAAAGAGCATGAGACCCGTAAATTTAATTTCAGGCACAACGTAAGGTGAGTTGGAAAGGGCTGAGTTAGTGACTGTAAAGTTAATAGCCTCAGGGATTTTGCATTCTGATAGGAGTTTTTCCCCCCATAAGTTAATCCCTGATGAGATTGATAACTGTAAAGATTTCATGTCAAAAAAACTTCTAATGAAACAAATAAACATTTTAGTAAAAAGTCTGTGTGGATTGTATCATTTTCACTGCATAATATTTTTCACAACAATTTTTAGATTTATTCACTCCAAGAACCGAGCTGGACTGAGTTACAAAGTTGCAGTGAACCATCTTGCTGACAGGAGCCCATGGGAGATGAAGAAAATGAGAGGACGTCTGTACAAACCAGGATACAATGGGGGGCTGCCCTTCAACAAGAAGATGTATGAAAGTATTAAACTACCAAGCCAGGTGGACTGGAGAAACTATGGTGGGTTAAAATAGCTTGTTTGTATATATTGAATATTTTAGCCTGTTTTAAATTTTTATTTAAGTTTTTGAAACATACATTTTTGAAGTCTGTGGTTGTTTTGGCTTTTTTTTATTACAAATTTACTTTGATAATTCTTCTTCAAAGAAAGAACCATACCTGAGATCTTATTAAACAGTACATTACTTCAATTTCTCAATGATTTGAATTCCTAAAATTTTTGAAACAACAGTTCACATTGGTGTGCATCATTTGCTTCTTGTTTGTTTTAACATTGCTTTGTCGTTATCAAAATAGAATGGCTACTGTTACTGTTCTTATGGTATTGTTTTTGAAGCCCTGAAATTTGTCTTTGTAGGTGCTGTGACCCCAGTAAAAGACCAGGCTGTATGTGGATCTTGTTGGAGTTTTGGTACAACTGGCACACTTGAAGGGACTTATTTCTTAATGGTTTGTAACTTCTGCTTACATATCTGCAGAAAATTAAGAGCTGATTTATACCCCATTCACACTACAGTTGCAAAAATGCGCATTTCTGTAATCCGAATTTTTCGTGAGGAATTCGATTCGGTATTGCGTTCACACACACTCGCTAACGAAACAGAGTCACACGTTGAAAATTTCAGGTTTAACTTCCTGTTTTGAACACTCGCGCATGCGCCGCACAGGAAATCTTAAAATACCAACAAAAATTTGTGACAACAAATGCAACTCAAAAGACATTCCAGCTTTCTTGAGAAGTATAAGATGGCAAAATAAGTTTATTTCCTCATGTTGTAGTGAGTGGTGACCTCCAAATACGCTTGGTGCAATCGCTAAAGTAATAAACAAGTGTTCATAGATACCCGCACTTTTCTGCACACATGCGCAGTAAGATCTGTACAGGTGTCGATTCCGGTAAGTTATTCGGATCGCGCTTAGAAATCCACCTCGCTTGCAGGATTTTGAAAATTCGCATTACAGAAATCCTCTTGCGTTCACACTACTGCATTTATTCGAATTGTGACCTAATTCGCAACTTATCCGGATTACTGAGCGTAATGTGAATGGGGTATTAGATGTTGTTTTATGGACTCATTTAATACATTTTATAAGCATAATGTATTACTTTGCATTTTTTATTTGTGCTATACCTTTATACTGTACATTACTTGAGATATTTTTGAGAGATTTTTTTTACTTTTTCAGACTGGAAAGCTTCTAAAACTATCCCAACAGGAGTTAATAGACTGTTCTTGGGGTGAAGGTAACATGGGTTGTGATGGAGGAGATGATTTTCTGGCTTACCAGTGGATACGGAAACATGGTGGACTGACCACAGAGGAGATCTATGGGTCATATATGGCAGTGGTAAGATTGAAACAGCATTATTTCTTTCCATGATTTTTTTCTACTGTAATGTGTGATGAAAAATTTTTGGAAAAATTAACTAAGTGATGCTGAATCACCTAAGGGTATCTGTTTTATGCCATTTTTATTTTTTTATTTGTTAAAGTTGTTTAAACTTTCTTTAATTGTGAATTTAGGATGGTAAATGTCATTGGAAGACAAATGGCACAAGGGTGCAAATCAAGGTCTGGTATAATGTCACATCAGGTGATTCAGATGCTCTCAAGATGGCTCTTGCAAAGCATGGACCCATCTCAGTGGCAATCGATGCCTCCCACAAAAGCTTCAGTTTTTACTCAAATGGAGTTTATTATGAACCTAAATGTGGTGAGTATTTTTGAAACCCTTAAATGCGTATACCTTTTACAAAAACAAGTTAAACGTGTTTAATTTTTGCTAAATGGGTAATTTGGAATTTTTGCTACAATGGGTTACATATTGGCCAAAAAAAAAAAAAAAAAAAATGTTAATAATAGGTTCTTGCTATCATGCTCCTTGGTTGTTTGTATTTGTATAGATATGTTTAAAGTACTGTTTTTAATTATCATGTTCAATTTTCAGGTAATGCACCAGAGCAGCTTGATCATGCAGTTCTTGCAGTAGGCTATGGAACCATGAATGGAAAAGCTTACTGGCTGGTCAAGAACTCTTGGTCCACCTACTGGGGAAATGATGGCTATGTTTTGATGGCACAGAAAGACAACAATTGTGGTGTAGAAACTGATCCAACCTTTGTAACAATGTGATAAGTAAAATTGTAATTTTATGATCATGTGAGTGCATGGTTTATAAGCATAATAAGGTTTACCCAAGAATGTACACTTTTGTTTTCAAAATTTTTGAATTTATCATGGAACAGCTGTTTACTTATTTTTATGAAATGATAAAATGCGTTTGTTTTGGTCATTACTTTACTTTTCATTTGTTCTTTATTGGATGGGGATTGGCTATTGATGATTACAAGTATGTGTGCAAACTGTAGCACTGCTGTAACAGAAATGCTTGAAATAGAAACATGATATCATTGTACTGTATTGACAGACTCATTCAAGATGTACATGCTTGTAAGTCTTACTAATCTTGTACACCTGAATATTTATTAAGTTTGAGCAAGTATCAAGATATGTAATACTGTATTTAGTGTAAACTTGTGCATTTCTTTATTTATTTTTTTCTCAAATTTAAATGTTTTCCTAAAAAAAAAAAAAAAAATGTACTACACTACTTTGAGGGGAAAAAGAGAATTTTGATACAACCAGGTTTATGTATTAAACTAGGTTTTGACTGGTGTTATTTTTTGTTCCGTGGAGACTAAATTATTGTTCAAGATATTTTTTGTTTGTTTGTTTGAGAGAGAGAAAGAGCTTTTTTGTGTATTTTGATGGAATTTGGAAGTTACTAGTTGTCTACAAAGTAGTGTGCTGAAAATTGCTCATTAAATGATGAAAGTGCTGCTTCAACATTGTCTGACCTCCTGTTCAAGATAAGCAAGGGGATGTATCTCTCAAAAAAATATAAAATAAAAGAATTTAAGTTATAAAAAATTGAGTATTGTTATAAATGTTTCTGTAAAAGGCATTTAAATATGCCATTTTATTTTGCAAAAGAAATTTTAAGTCTTGTAGTCTGATATAATGGTTTGCCAGGAACAACAGTGTGCAAAACTAACATTTTATTAAGTGACAATTTAACCAGCATTTACTGTATTACAGTTAACACCATCTTTTCATGACAAAGAACATAGATGTGCTCTGCACAGCTTTGTATAATATGTATAATGGTTGGGAATTAAAATTGTACATCTCCATGAGCTGTGTAAGCAGCAAACATTACTGAAGAAAACACAGCTTAATGTTTTTCACTAAATATAATTTACTTGAAAAATGATGTAGATGATAGTAAAATGGTATCACCACCACAATATATCCATACTTCACGAAGGCACTTGTGATAAATAATCAGTAGGCCACTTGTTTCATAAACTTTAAAAAATTTATAACCAACCATTGGCAAGGAGCATCTAATCCACTTGGTTATAGTGGAGTGGGATGTCTTTATTTTGACAAAGTATAAACATTATTTTTGAACACTTTTATTGTTATTTAATGAGCTGCTACAGCAGTACCATTGGTGGCAGTTTCCAGTAAAACTTCTGTCTTCTCTCTAGCAAGTCCAGCATCTTCTCTTCTCAGCACCTCCATGGCCATTCTGCGGGCTGCATCTCCATCTAAATGAGTTTTCAAAAACTGACCAATCTTTGACAGAGCTCCATCCAGTTGGCCTTGCAGCTCACTGACTTTGTGAGCATTGTCAGCAGTTTCACTTTCCATACGATTCAGTTCATACTCATTGTATGCTCCACGACATTTGTAGTACTCCTGAAGAGCAGCATGCATTCTGACTTGCAAACTGTGAAGCTGGAAAATAAATGGATGTATGTGCTAACCATGATCTACAGTAACATGACACAACATACAGTATTGAAGGAAAATGCATCATCATGTTGTTCAGATATGTTAGGAGCAAAATCATTATAAGCAATATTTACCTGTTTTAGATCTTTTATTGTAGATTCCATGTTCACTCTGCCATCATATTCATTCATATATTCATTCTTCACTTTGACATACAGCAACTGCAACTGTCTGTAGCGTGAGGCCAGCTCCTTATTTAGTATCAGTTTATCTGTGAGGTCAGTCTGAGGTGAAAAGAGAATATTCAACATGAAAAAACTTTTTAAATTATCTGTTATAAATTATCATCACAGATTAGAATTTATGCTAGTGAGAGTATCATTTTGTCCCTGATCTAAAACACATCGATGAGAATTCATTTTAAGTCTAATTTACAAATGAGAATTTGCTATATAAATAAAGGCTGAAATGTAGCACCATGTCAAAATCACATGTGGTATTCTGTATTTACCATTGTTTTTTCATGCACTTCCCGCCTGTCCTTCATGAGTTGCTCATGCTGCATATCTAATGTGTTCATACGAGCTTGAATAAAAATAAAGCAATGCATAAAATTAACAAACACCAGAATGCACCAGTCCTCAAAAATTAGTTACTTACATTGAAATCAAGTTGGCAAGAGTTAAGGGATAAGATGACATAACTAATTAACCAATATTCCACTAACACCAAGGATTTGCCATAAACACCAAGGCAAATATGCCTATGCTTACTAGTTGTTCTAAGTAGAGATTCTTTGGTTTCTTGGTCCACTTTTTGTGCATAAGCCAACTTGATATCCAGTTCTTCTGCCTTCTCACTGCAAAGTAAAAACATAGTGAAACTATCCGTAAAACTCAGTTTGTGTTCCATGAGAGTAAAACATTGGCCTTTAACCAAAATGTTTCTTTATTCTTCAGCTATATAATTCTTGCATATATGTGTATAGCAAAGCCTATTTAAGCAAAATCCAATTGCCTCTTTGTGTTTATACAATTCTGATTTCTTTATTTCATAACAATTTATCATAAGTGCAGAAAAGTTTGATAAAATGGCATTTACTTAGCCTGCTTTATGGCCAGCTCTGTCTTCTGCCAGACTCTCTTCATCATGTTATTGGATTTGTCGATGTCCTCAAGCTTGCTCAAGATCATTTCAGTTCTTTTATTCGCCTTCTCAATTTTATTGTCCAACTCATTATTGCTTGCCTGAATACAGAAAAAAAAACATTTTACGAAAATGTCTCCCATTATAAATATATATCTTTGTCTCTGCTTTCAGCAAAATTGCCAATAGATGTTACATTACTTTTTTATATATGAAAAGCAATTTTGGGACTTTGAAACATAGTTAAGTTTAACTAGATTAAACCAATATCTATTACAGTGAATGCCCTAGGTACTTTTCCAAGACTAATACAATAACTATCATACCTTAAGTTCATTATTTTGTGGATCCAACACATTTTTCCTGCCCATTAATTTTGTCTCTAGTTCTTGGTGCATAGTTTGGACCTGATTCAATTCTTTGTCTAAACCTTCAATGGCCTGCAAGATTGAACAATATTTTTAAAATCATATCATAACTGATAATGTCTGGCTGATAAACACAAAATAGAACAAGTCTTCAGTCATAAAGATTTTTAATTATGATGACCAGGGTGCTGGAATGTTTAACCACTTTGATGCTTCTTGTTCTCTTGACCATACTACTAACCTAACTTATTGAACAGAGTTAAAAGAATCGATATCTAATTCATGAAAATAACAAACAAATATTGAATGACACATTAATAATACATTATTAACAGATGTAAAATTATCAAACAATGTATAAAGTGAATATCTATTTTCCTTGCATCAGCACCTTTTCTTCAACTTACCTTTGCCCTTTTGGCATATTCAGCTCTTAACTTTTCCACTTTCCCAAGTATAACTCTGAGATTTTCCATCAATTCATCTACAACTTTCTGGACCTTAGATGATAAACAAAATAATCTTAAAAAATAATCAACAGTCCCAAAATAAATAAATAAATAAATACCTATAAAAATCTTTGAAATGCCTGTAACATTGTTATCAAAATATTAGTTGATTAAACAAGCATAGCACTAATGTAATGTAACCAATAAGCACCTACTGTGATTACCAGTGTGACTATAGTGACTATTTCTCACCTTTTCTCTTTTTGCTTTGAATTCATCATGAGAAGAGACCAGTTCTGTGTTGTCTGACACTATTCTTGCTTGCATCACTGTTTTTGTATGGATCTCATCCTTAACTTGTTTCTTTAAGCTCTCAGCAGTAATCTGTCAAAGAAACAGTAAGCACTATGAAATATTTAACAGGAGTGCACCTGTTAATTAAAACTCAACATTCAGTCAATTTGCCTTGATGGTGACGATTATTATTATATCTATTATAATCCTATTCATCTATTTTTAATGAACTAAAAATTTGCACCTATTACTAATGAAACTTGCTGAGGCACAAAAAATCAGTATGCTTATATTATCAGTAGTACATGTATACAGGTCTGTCTTTCACACTCTTTCCCTCCTAAAAACCTCAATCTCCAAAATTATATATCAACTGACAACATTAGCACCACGTCATCTTACCCTCAGTTTCTCTTCTTCAAGTGAGGCCTTATTCTCCTCTGACATGAGGGTATCTCTGATAGCTCTATTTATGGTCTGAACTTTGCTCAGTTCCTCCATTGTCACCTCGATCTGTTTCTCTGTGCGAGCAATCTCCTTGTGAATTCTGACGGTGTTTTTCTCGTCTATAACCTTCTGTTTTTGACTGAAATGAGGCAATGCATTTAACATTACATGGCTATTCAGTACCGAATTTTTTAAATCCCACTAAATTTTGTTACATGTTGTGTATCAGTAAAAAAAAAAGTTTTACACAAACAAAGCCATCCATTTTGTAGCTAATGTTTAACCTTGAACTTATCCCAAGTGCAATGTCAATATGCTCTTAATTAAGTCTTACCACTGGTGAATCTTCTGCGTCATATCTGCTATCATCATATCTCTCTCATCATTCTTCCTAAGAAGTTGTTTTAATGTCTCTTCCTTCAACTCTCTCTGATTCTCAAGCTCAGAGATCTGCTCTGTGAACTTAGCTTGCTGTGAAGTGAAAATAAATAATTTTATTACCTGTGGATATAATCAAACAACATATTGATTCACTCAAGTTCAATATTTGTGTTGTAATTCATATTTTCCAAATCTAGTTAAATATTTATACACTCTTATTAAAACTTCCATAATAATAGATTTGATTAAAAGGAAATCATCACTTTAAGATGAAAGGCATCATGCACTAGTTAATATTATCACCATTAAATTAACAGAACTGGTTTACCATGTTTAAAATTAGGTATATCAGGTCGTATTTCAATAAAAATATATGATATGAGAGATTTTATCACTTCAACACAGAAATTAACAGAGAGATGGGTAGTGTCAAGTTGAAGTAGAAAGTATTACAGGGTATCCAAGATGTATTCAAGATAATTTTGCATGCAGTGCACAAGGAGTTTGGTGCATAGTTTAAGTAGTAAATACTGTGAAACATTCATTTATTATCAAATTAAATACCAAGCATAATGTTTGGTATAAGAAGTATACATTTTTGGAAACAATACCAAAAAATCTGTTTTAAATATTGGCTAAGAATTGTAAGTCATAACAAAGATTTAAATCATAACACAATCATAACAAAACATATTTCATCAACATGCATAATTCATCATTGAAACCTTATGAAAATGTGTGAATTTTTTTCATGCAAAAGAGTCAAATATTCACTCATTTCTAATTCTTAAAACAATCAACCATTCTATAACACTTGGGTATTTCATTCAGTTTACCGGCTGTCCCAGGGATACAATGGAAGGATGTATATGTATTAGTAAACAGTTATTTCTATGTTGACACAAAAACAAAATGGTACACAACAGTAAAGCACATTGGAAATTTATGAAAACATGTTAAGCTAAAATACATGTTGTAAGTAAAAAAGATTTTAATGGTTAATTGAGATAGTAAGGAGTAGTCTGTTGAAAATCTCACTTCAATAGTTTACATATAACAGAGAATTTGCCAAATGTGACTGTGAATGCATTTGCCTAACATGTATATACCTTAGATTCCTTCCAGGCTGTCAGTCTATCATTATTCTCTTCTAGTTTCTTGTGTTCAAATGTCTGCTCCCTAATTCTGCCTTCTAGATCTTTCACCTAAATTGTAACATTTCAGTAGTTTAAACATTCGATTTCATAATACACCACTTGATACAACAATGAAGTTTCATGATGAAAAGTTTTTATCAGCTATGTTATTATGAAATTTCTCATAAGATTGCACAGAAAGTGACAATTCTTACCTTTCTAGCCTGTATCTCTTCTGCAGCTCGGGAGTTTTCATTTTTCACATTGAGCACAATCATCTCCTGGTCATTGTCATGGAGCTGTTGTCTACAGTCATTCATCTGGTGAATGTAGGTATTGTTATTCATCTTGGCCTCAGCCAAATCCTCACTGAAAGAGTACACATTTTCATTTATCACAGAGTAAAATGCTGTACTTAAATACAAGTTATATACTGAGCACAGAATGGATTATTTTTGAACATTTGCCCCTTTTTCTAAGGTAAAGGAAATCAAGAATGTATATGAATAATGTTTAATGAAAGAAGTTGCCACATATCGACTATGTCCTTTACTAATGTACATTTTCATGCTTTGTACACTTTAAACCTTACCTGACATGGTTGAGGTCTGTTCTCACACCATCCAAGTCTGATTTGATATGCATACGTTCCTTTTCGGCTTTAGAAAAAGCTTCAGCAGATTTGGCTTCACAACTCTGTTTTCTGTCAATAGTAACTTGTAACTCATCAACGGTCTGAAAATAATGATTGTAACAGTACCGATAAAATTACCCCAAAATAACCAAATACACTAAAACAACACACAAACTGCAGATCCCACAAATGAAATTTACCACTGATGGAATGCCAAAACTTGCTAAATTCCAAAATTTTTATTTACACATGAACTGATTTTTTCTATGTAACTAAGCTGACACATAAAAAAATAAAACAAAAAACAATGCAGTAATATATAAATCAAATCAGAATATCACTCACACAAATGTAATTTAATATCACTTACATCATCTTGAGCTTCTTTGATTTTGGCCATAGCGTTCCGCTCAAGCGATAATTTTTCCTCCACGAGAGGGCAGTGTTTCTGGACAAAGGCAATGTCCTCCTTCAGGCGTTTGTTCATAACTTCTGCTACCCCAACTTTGTGTTGAATTCTCTCTTCTAGTCTCTCCTTGTATGCAACATGCCAAGCCAACTCACTTATGTCCATGGAACATGCCTCATGTTCTAAATGGTAAGTACATGTAGTCAATATTCATATTAAAAACACAAAGTTTAAACAATCACTTATTTTATAATATGACAAGTCACACTGCTGTAGAATAAAAGCTACCTTTTAAAGGCCACTGAGCTCAGCTGAAATTAATTCTGGGTACTTATGTATAAAGACTGAAATATGGACCAGAAATAAATGTTTGAAATTTCACCAACCTCCTTGCACAGCTGCTGGAAGATCAACAGACCTCTTCTCAGCTAACATGTCTATTTTATGATTAAGTGTTCTGACACGCTCTTTCTCTTTCTTCAGCATGTCCTCTGTGTCTATTCTGTCTTTCTCAAGCCTGGCAATGAGAGTCATCACCTCATCCACAACTTCCTCTGCACCAAGATATGGTATATCAGCCTGCAGACCTTGTGGCATGATGTCAGGGCGGTCATCTACATATAAAGAGAGAGACAGAGAGCTATGATACAGAACTGTTGCATTTCTATGATATTTCTTTTCCACAATTTTCTGCCATGATGCATTTTTATAACCAAACAACTGTATGATACGATACGATATGATATGATATGATATGATACTTTAATACTACCGTTTTTTTTGGTGAATTTGAATTATATGTATGTACCTTTATGTATGTATATACATGTGAAGTTATCTTTTTTCATTTAATTATAAATAAAAAAAGAAAAAAACATGATGCACTTGTAACCCATTTTAAATGGAATAATGCAAGAAAGCAATACCTTTTGAAAAGTTTTAATAGATACTCATCGGCACTCACCATTTACTCCTACGCCACGCACAGACAGGGTATCTGCTGATGAAGTTGCTCTAGAAATACTACTAGTTGTCCTTCTGTCAGCAGCTGTCTCACTGCGGCCTGATGACATACGTGATGCAAAGCGTAGTTGTTTTTTAGGTGTACCTAAAAATCATAACACATCATTTAAACATAAATTCAAGTGACAAATTAACCAGGCTAACATACATATGCATTTGAATAATACAGTCACTTATTTGACAATTAGTTGAACAAAATTCTATGAAATCAAAGTGCAATTTATGTAGCACTACAAATTATGTTTTCTGACAGCAAAACATTCTTGAGGTTACCTTTTTTCTGCTGAGCAAGAAGCTCAGAAGTTAGAGATCCTGTGGAACTGCTGGCCTGACTTGCCCTTGACCCAGGTATTTCTGTGCTGGCTCTGGTTCCTGTGTCTCGACACCATTCTTCAATAGATGTCTGAAGCAGTTCTAAGTGAGCTACTGCTTTCTTCACACACGGCAGTGCTGCATTTGTTAGCTCACAACTTCTTCGTCGAAATATCTGAGGTATTGATGGCCATCCCTCTGGGAGAGGTCGTAACACATCTAAAATTTCAAAAAGTAAATAATGCACTAGTTTAAGACTAACACTGTACTGATAAATAGTGACCAAGCTTTGTTTTGCAGAAAATGGGAAAGATGCATGTTGCCAATTTTCAAAATATGGAGGAAAAATATAATTTTCTTCACAATATGAATAATATATAATTACCATTTTAGTCTTTACAGAAAAAAAAATTGATAGACTCGCCCTTCAAGAAATCGACGCCTTCAAGAAATCGACGAAAACCGGAAGTGCGTGTTTTTTGCACTGTTTTTCCTGTCATGCCCATCGTAAACACTGTGTTGTCAAGTAAAACGAAGCGTCTGATACAAAGTATCAAACGCGGCATTCACGTGCTTGCTTGCGATGCGTTCAGTACACTTTCACTTTGTTTACACTGACAAGTCGAGGTCAGGAATGCACAATGTTTTTCTATGTAATTACGCAGTTTCAATTTTGATTAGTAAATTTTCTTTTATCTGCATGGTCATTTTCCGAACATTTGTATGAGCCACGAAATATTTCTCATCGGAAAATCACCCAGCAGCTTTCCAAGTAGAAGCGAGTGACGTCATTACGCACTTCCGGTTTTCGTCGAGATCTTGAAGGGATAAGCGTTACGGTTTGCTGCACATTTAAAGCGTTCTGTCTCAAAATGTACTCAACTGCTTGGATTGAAATTTACAGAACTTATTCTTCACATGATATCACACCTATGTGCTTAATTTGAGAGCTTTAGCTGTTATATGTTTTCTACAGTGCCCATTCAAATTTGAAAAAGAGCTATTTTCCGTCGATTTCTTGAAGGGCAAGTCTATCTTTTAGTTAAAATGAAGTTAGATATATTTACCCCCTGCTTCACTAAGATCTTCATCCTGAAATTCTCCATCAATTCCAGAGTCATCTGCAGCAGTATCCACATCACTATCTGTGTTAATATCTGCAAGAGATTAAAGAAATATCACTATTAATGATGTGATTAGATATGATTACTGCTCCCATCCCAAGTTAAAACAAGAAAACATGAAATAGGCTATTAATGTAGCAATTATTAACCAGGTTATTTCCTCCTTATAAGCAATGAATGATTGAAAAACAATTAAAGCATTTTGACAGAAAAGAGAATATAATGAAGTAGTGCTGTACCTGGACTCTGGGGTATACTTGATGTATACCTGAACTGGCTGTATTTGCCACTGCTCAGCACTGTGGTACCAGCTGTGGTCAAGGCTCTGCGTGCTGGAGTGCTACTTGAATGTTGACTGGTCTCATCAATTCTCACAACTTTTTCCCGGGGAGATGCCATGATAAGTGTAGCTTATTCTATCAGTTGGTATTTCCGCTAAAATAAATGGTGAAATACAACGATAAATCCATCTCAATAAGCGAACAAAACAATGTGACTTGGTATGGGTGTAATAAATATTCTGGCACTGAATGTGGGCAACAAACTTCCAAGGTACTGGTTAGATGTAACAAAAATGCATACCTCTAATGTCATTAAAATATTTCAAAAACAAATTTGCTAGATAAATCTGTTCAGTGTCTCTGACTCGGACCTTAAAAAGAAAAATCATTTTGACAACCGAAGCTACTTACTTCCACCATTTTGACGCCATCTTTGTTTCTAAGTACGGAAGTAGTCGAACATACACGATCCCTATCACGTGACCACAATTCGACATCACAAAGATGGCGGCCTACAGTTGGTTTAATTTGAGGGAGAGGATATAGAATATTGAAATATCTCCCTCTGTCTAGTTGCGATTGTAAAGATACAATTTGAACATGCAGGCTGAAAGTTTACGAGAACGAAGTATGCGAAAAAAGAAAGGGAGAACATGGGCCGAAGCAGCAAAAATCGTAGGTTTCTGTGTTAATTTTGTTGCTTTTGTTCAAGCTTGAAGTTACATACCATCTGATTGTTTATGTTTGGACATGATATTTAATAAAGTACATGCGGCATAGTTGTTTTGATTCTGTAAACCTTTTGTTTGACTCATTATTTTAATTTCTTTAGATGTTAAAGACATTTTAGAAAGAAATCTTATGATAAATTTTGTTTTCAAATTTCATAAGTGGGAATGTGTGGATTAAAGTCAAAGAATGTTATTTAATGCATCATGACATCATTGCATAAAACTGAACTTAGTTTAAATTTGACATTGGGTTTATAAGGACATGCACTTCTTTGTGGGAAGACATGGTGATAAGATTCAGGTCTAAACTGTTTAGTAATGTGTTATAATTGCCAGCCCTGGTTATAATATATTTTGAGAAGAATGAAAATTATTAATGTCAGTTAGTCCTATGATCATGAAAGGCAGATCAAAACCTGATACAAATTTAACATATCATATTTAGAAAATAGCTATAGAATGCCTGTAAACGTATGCATCTATGTGTGGCTTGATATTAAAATTACTTCACATCTTTCATGACACTTGCCCATGGCAGGTATAACTGCATAATTGTAGACTACCCGTTTACTATTTACACACAAAATGATATTTTCTATGATATACACCATGGGTCATGTTTTCATTCTTTCATAATGATTGTGGAAAATTAATCCAGTACAATTGATTTTCTAAAAAACATTACTAGTAAGCTCAATTGGTTGATACTTTTCTTCAGGTATTAGAAAAGCATCCCCAGACTCCAATGAGTCATAAGGAAATTTTAGAAGTAATTCAGGATGAGGGCCTTAAAGACATAAGGTAAGTCGTTACTTACTTGTGCAATCATTTCGATTTTACATAAATTCATAAATATGTTGGTTCAGGCTTGTCATTTATAATTCAGCTTATAAAAAATTCATTTACTAGTAAGTTTGCTTCAGCTGAAAAACTAATCTAATATTAATCATGTTGCATAGTATATATATATCTTCTAGAGTTATTAAGTCTGCAGGCTAGGTTTATTATTGATATTCTTCTTATCACATCAAATGAGAATTAGTACAACAAACTATAGTTGAGCTTGAGTTTGATGGTGCTTTGAATTTTCTCTTCCATGGAGGTGGGCTTGCACCATGTACATAGGTGTATGTTTACTAGTTGTTTTACAGCTTCATGCTATTTGCTTATTTGCATAATATATCACATATCTTTGCTTTCAATTCACCACATATAATCATCTTTCATCACTTCTCTCTTTTGCATGACTTTTCATGGAACGCTTAGAAGGTAAAGTAATGGTTTTGTGCTGTGTTCATATTTGTTTGGGATATAGCATATATAGCAGATATAGAATGATATAGATGTCCAATAAGTTTGAATTGCAAACAAATAGTCAATCCCTTCTGTTTGTGGTTGAACTGCAGTGGATATTGCTAAATGCTTTTTCTTATACTTGCAAATGAGCTCACTTTATGATTTTATTTCTCTTTTCTGTCATCTATCTGATACAATGAAAACTGAGACTTTGTTTGTTGTGTAGAAATTGAATAAGATGACATAGGCATGCTTTCTGAGGCAGTATCATGTCATTTTCTAATGGGAAAAATGGCACCTCTGCTCACAATGATTTGCAATTCTTTACCCAGTCTGCACCCAAAAACCTTTTTTAGCCAACTGGCCCTTTGAACCACCAGAGACTAAGAGTCCACATGCCCAAAACAGACAGTGGCCAGAAACTGAAGATATTTTCCAAATTTTATTGGGCAAACTCCAATTGTAATGGCACTTGGTGTTGGGCCAGTGTGGTAGACTGTGTATCCATAGCGTGTGCCCTTCCCTTCCATAACAGATCTATAACAATCAACAATTCACTGACTGTCAACCAAGATTCTTTTCCTTGTTATAAGAAAACTTATAAACAAACATACTGTCATTAAAGTAATACATCATATTTAATTGAATCAATTTAGAGTCAATATAGCCTGGATCATGGAGAAGGTGTAGTTATAACCAAAAACCAATTGATCTGTTGCATATGTAGATACATACAAAGGGCGGGGCATTTTATAATTTGATCTTTGAAATGCTGAAAGGAAAGTAAGTACTTAAGCAACAGGACTTCTTTTTTAGCTACAGTAGTTACAGTACATTTAAACAAGATTTTATTCAATTTCAACATTTTTGAAAACTGTCATATATGATATAGTCCTGTTTTTTTTACTGTATTGATTTGAACAATACTGTATTGATTTGAACCATTAAGCATGACAAGGCATGCATTCCAAGGCACAGTGCAAATATTTTGCAGGGTATATAAACTTTTAATGACGAGTTGGAGATTGTTTTCAAATCAGTTTAATTTATGATAACTGCATGATTTACATATTTTCAATGTTTTACATGCTATCAGTTTCGTCTTTTTGTAAAAATTGAGAAATGTTACTGAGACTGTTTCACATCCATAACCTTGACTCAAACATTCACATATTGTTTCTTTTCTGCATATTATTTAATTTTTTTTCTTAAATTTACTTTTATTATATTTTTTTGGTGTCCTTGGTATAATTTTGCTCAAGAATAAGTGTAACAGCAGGACAGGGTATCTTTTTCATTGTTTTTTTCTTTTTTTAAGAAGTATGTAACTTTTATATTTAACAAAGCTTTTATTGTGAATATGTATAAACATTTTTTTCTAGTGGCACCACTCCTTTAGCCTGTCTCAATGCAAGTTTGCATGCTAACTCACGTGGGTCAGACAGCACATTTTACAAAGTGGCAGGAAGAATGGGAGTGTATGGATTAAAGGTATGAATATTATAGTCCAATGGTAACCAGTGCACGTTCAGGTTATTACATGATGTGCACAAATATTTGAAATGAGAAGGGGTTAAATGATCAAATGGCATGGATGGGGCATATTACATTTTGTATATTATTTGATTGTTGTTTAAGATTTAAAGTTTTTTAAAGTCAGTTGTATTTTATTAAAGCAAACAGAAATTCTGGACAGCATCATCTTCATGGATTGTTTCATTGGTTGCTTATACAAGTCTGTTGGACAAGCTTGGAAAAAGAAAAAATATACATATAAAACCTCCTTACAGAAAAAAATCAGTCAAACCAACAACAGTTAAACAACTTTTTCAACAACATTATGTTTACTTCAGTGTGACCTGCCGTCTGGAGCATATCTGGAAGAACTGGAAGAGGATGAGATCAACATTAATGAGGAGGGGGAGGTAGTGGAGCCACCCTCACAAAAGACAACACGAGAGAGAAAGAAAGAGAAGGGTGTGTTATATCTGAAATATTTTTCATAATGATTTAAAACAGTGATGTGGCAATTAACATGCTTAATTTGATCTTAAAACAGATGGAATTTTATAGACATAAATAAATTAGCATTGGGCAAAACTTACTTTATAATATGTGCATTGCTCATTCAGTTCAGACACCATTAGTAGCCACTGTTGGTTAACATGAGTGTTTTATTTTCAGTGAACTATGTTACCCTTCCTGATGCTGGCAAGATGGTGCCTCCTGCTGGAGAAGATTCTTTGGATGAAATTTCAGTTGATGCTGTGGAGTCAAAAGTAACAGTGCCTCAAAACGGAGACCTTATGCAAAGTGAACAGACACTATCAGGAGGAGAGACATACTCTGCATTAAATTCAGATGTCACAAATAATGTCCAGCCTTTAACTCTAAAATTACGTACACGTCACAAGCGACGAAAAAATATCAAGTCTGACTCTGCTGTATATCCCAGGATTAAAATCAAGCCTATAGATGGTGCTAGTGTAGCTCCTCCAGCCATCGATGAAGGTAGGCTTTTTGTACTGATTTTGATAACACCTTTAATAGGACATTATGCAAACGTCTGCTTCTACATTTATTTTCTAATTATTATCTTTTAAAAAGATGTATTTCAGAACCTTACATTTGTGCTTCTATCGATGTTATGGCTCTTGAATAATTGCTACTCCAACCCAGATGATTCATGATAGGCCTTAAAACCCAAATCTTGAAACAAAACTGATGGAATAGATTTATTTCTATGACATCAGCTGAGATTTATGTGAAAATTTTCCAACCTGAAACTCGTGTTACTTGAAGACTTTTTTCTGTTCCAATAGGGTCCAATTATGCAGAGTATACTGTGTTTTCACATGTTTTATAATCAATGTTTGGTAATTATTTTGCCATAGGGGATTCAGCCCAAAGTGCCAGTTCATCAGCAAGCTCGCTGGCAAACATGGTGAATTCCACAGGAAATGCTGACACACCTCACAGTGTTACCAGATCGGCAGCCGCAGCAGCAGCTGCAGCCTCTAGCACGTCAGCAGCCAGTCTACTGGGAATACCTAGCAGTGCTGCTAAAACACAGAGTCTCAGAGAACTGTTGTCTACTATACCTGGGTTCAGTATGAAGGTAGGTCACATAAGATTGTTGGGTTTCATTGATATTATTGGGAAAGAAAAAAATATATATTTGGAAATTAATTTTCTTGGAAAGAATGTGTTTAGGTACTTGGCTTGGCAAATGTTTGAATTTTATGTGTATCAAGCTATTTTCAAAAAGATGTAATTACAATCAAATTCTGCCATAGAGTAAGGTTTATAGATGGTGATCAAATCTAGTAATTCTAGAAATCAGACTTGTACATTTCAACTGTATTTATATTTGGTGTCATGTTAAACATGAGACCAACTTTTACCAGGTGTGTAATGACCATGCTTTTGTGTAAAGCAGCATACATAGCTTTAAGTGTCTTATTTCTTTATAAGCAATAAGTGTCTCCTAAAATGTCATCTCATTATGCAACTCTGGATTGATCATAAACATCAATTGCTACTGTGCATCCATATAAGTGAAGGAATATTGTATATTGCATTTTAGCCAAGGAAGAGAACTGGCAAAAAGCTCAGCCCAGCCGCCCAGCTAGAACAGACCAAAGAAGGCTGCATAGACTTGGAGACCCCAGATTCTATTCTCACCAATGTCAACTTGAGGGTAATTAAAGTGGCATGTTAATACAAAAGGCATTTCAAATGTAAAATATGGTCATGAATTATGACTTGATAAATATCAAAATTGTTGTGATCATTCAGAAAAGAGCTTCATTCAGACATGGAAAATGTAGTTTGGAATTAAATACAGAACATTTCACTTTTCTGTCGCTGGAGTTCAAAAATTGATCTAGATCTAGGATTTGTGCTTACATTGACAATGTTGTGAGGGTATTTTATAGCTATGATTTGTCACAATATTAAAGGGATAATAACTCTTCGTATGAGATCTATATTTCACAATAAAAACATTGTGAACAACTCATAGAAATTTAATATATTCTGTTTTACCACAAAAACGGCAGTTACAGCTGTTATTCTGATATCTGAGCTTGTCTTGAGACCACGTGACCTCCATTGATGGCTATACTCTGTTATAATCTCTTAAGAGATTTTAACAAAAAAACAAACCTCTTAGAAAAAAACCAGGGACTAACTTTGGATGTTAAAATGGATTCATTTACCATTGGTAAGTATGGGAAAATTGTTGTTTACTCCAGGAAAATTAATTTTTTGGCCAAAACGAAGAGTTATTATCCCTTTAATCCAGCCTGTGTCATAAGCATTTCAGTCCACTGGTTCTTTAAGCCACCAGGGTGTAAGAGTTTACTAGTAGCCCAAAACAAAAAAGGTGGCCAGTAACTGAATATATTTACAGAAATTAATTGGCCCAGCTCAAATTTTGTCAGTGTTTGACATGGGGCCAGTTTTAGCAGCACTGCTATTTTCCAGGCCTTGATCAACAAACATACGTTCACCATGCTACCTCCAGCCTACCAGTACAAACTGCTTCAGCTTCTGCCAGAATGTGACAAGACTGTCATGGCTGATGGTTCTTTGAGGCAAGTTTGCTCAATAGTGTAGTCCTGTTACAAGATTCACTCTTATGTATTCTCCAAGTGATATTTTACTGTTTTGCAATTTTCAATTCCTAGTGAACAAATTACTCATTTGGGTAAAACAGTGAATATAATTCGTATACTGCCGAAAAAATATAATTTGGATCCTGTTTGCCAGTATTTGCCAGTAGGTGTCAATAGCTCTATGGAAAAAATTCTACTAGTTTTACTGTTCTTATGTTTATCTTTTTATTCCAGACTGAGCAGCACTGCCTTAAACAATGAATTTTTCAATAAGGGATGTCACGAGTGGAGGGAGAGACTCTCAGAAGGTAAGGTTTAACAAAAAGAGAGTATTTCTGAAACAACAGCCAGAACAAATCAGAAACTTAAACAGATCAGGGAAATCATATGCTGTGTATTAGGTATTAAGCAAATTCCTTTCAGAAAATTGAATGATTGGATTAAGTGCATATATACATTTATCCATTTTCAGGTGAATTCACCCCTGAAAACCAGCAGAGAATCAAAGTGGAAGAAGAGAAGGAACAGGCCAAGCTTGACCCATGGAAAGTGAAACACTTTGAACCAATCTGGGGCCAAAAGTAAGTGTCTCCTTAATTATTTGTTATGGGTTCGTTATAAACATTGTGTTGATTATAAACATAAATTGCTATTGTGCATTCATAACAGTGAAGGAACTCTTATTTCAAAGTTAAACAGTCTGCAAAGTTTTCCAATTTTTAAGCCCATATGATCATACTTTAAAAGCTGATTAGGGTTGTATTTATGGTTTTAATTTTTTTCTCATGCCACATTACTATTTCAGGCTTATCCGAGAACCTCAATCTACTCTGGCAGTGTCATCACCCATATTAGCTGCCCAACTCAAGGCTAGTGATGCCGTTCAGAATCCATTCATACCCACTGCAGTGAAAATTGGAAGTCCTGTCAAGAAAGCCAAACTGGTATCTACCATGTTGAAACAGAGGGCAATCTCCCAGACAGTGGCGGCATCTACTGGGCGTGTTACACAGAGATTGTCCTCTGGGACTGGTGTGTCTGCCAGAAAAACTGCTACAGCAACTATGGGTGGTCAAGGACATGATGTTACCATTATACACCATTTGAAAAGACCACCACTTTCAAGCAGTGGTAGTGTAGCTGGCAGTCCTCCTAAGAAGGCCAAAGTAGGACCAAGCCAAGCAAAGACTCTAGCACAGATAAAAGCACAGACTCAAGCTGCAAAGTTGCAGCGAGCGCAAAACCACCAACAACAGCATCATAATTATGCTGTGGTTCAACCATCGCATGCTCCACATGTGCCACGTATTTTAGCACGTAGCCAGGGCCAGACACGAACACTGGCTCAGATTAAGGCACAAACAGCTGAGAAAAAACAACTTCAACTTCAGTTGCAGCAGCAACAAACTGTACAGATACAGCAACCAGAAACAAGTCAGGTGCAGCAACCAGCGACGGCCAACAGTCAAGTTATTGCCAGTTCTTTATCAAGTTTGGTGTCACAACCTGTGACTACTGTTGTGGTGACAACTTCACCTCCTAGTAATCCACAGGGACACACAAGAACTCTAGCTCAGATTAAAGCACAGAACAGGGCTAAGATGCAGGCCAGAACTACTCATATTGTTCATCCACCAGCAACTCCAGTATCAGCAACAATACAACAACCACAACAGCAGCAAGCTGCTACACAGCCGGTACAGAAGGTTGTCACAGTATCCACCCAGCCCACCTTTATAGTGACAACCACACAAAGTAAAAGCCCAAATCGCCCTGCTGATCGAGCCAGAGTGGTGACAATCAGTAATAAACTTATGAAACCAGATGAAATTGCATCAGGCCCAGGGGTTAACTTGGAGAGATCCTATGCAATATGTCAAGCTGTGTTACAGAAAAGCATGGTGTCAATTCTCAGTAAACCTGGTGATGATACACAACAGCAGCAACAACAGCACCCTGAAGATGACATGGCTGGGGAACAGTCCCGCCCTGAAACCCCAAGATCTGTAGTAGTTGTTACACAATCTGGTAAAATGGTGATGTCATCCTCGTCCACAGCAGATATACAGGGTGCTAATCACAACAAAGCTGCATCATTGTCATCACTGTCATCTTCATCATTATCAACATTAGCGTCATCGTTGTCAGCTTCAGCACAGGTGGGCGGCTCTCTGTCTCAGTCAACGACAACTCATGCGGGCGGAACTATAACCCTAGTGCAAAACTCTAAAGCGCAGCAGTTGAAGGCTACAGCTGTCCAAAAAACAACACCATTAATGCAGGCCACAAAGCCACAGCCTATGACAGTAGCCAAAATGTTGGAGCAGCAACAGCAACAAGGAGGGCAGCTTCAGCATAAAACTACAGTGTCTGGGAACAGTAACAATGGTGTAATATTAAAGCAGTTGAAAGGTATTCCATCTGGTGCTGTCATTACCAGTGGGAATGGTAATATTGACACCAAAGGAAATATCATTGTGACAAGTGTGGGTGGAACTAAGATTTTGTCTTTGGGGTCAAAACAGAACACCCTCAGTGCCTTACTGGCAGATTCTAAAAATCCCCAGATGCTGATTAAACCTGGAGGAAGTAATGGAAGTAAGGTGGCCACTACTCCCACTAGCAGTGCCACAACCACAAGTGCTCTCAGTGCACTTCTCAAATCACAACCAGCAAATCTCACTTTTGTGGCCTCAAAAAATGGGGGACAGTTAAGAGGGCCCTCTGGTAGTCAAATAACAGTAACTGGAAAAAGCCCAACAGGTGCAGCATCGCAGCTGCAGAACCTTGCGGCTTCTTCTAACTTGGCCAATGCCCAGGCTTTGTCTAATATAACAGGGTTTCAGGTTGCTGGGGGAGGCAATGGTTCCAACCTACCACACAGTCTTTTCATAGGTGGAAACAATGTACAGAGGACTAATACCACCCTGGCTGCTATTCCAGGAACAAATAATGTGGCTCTGATCACTAGCTCTAGCAATGGAACTGTTACATTTATCCCTAGCTCTACACCTGTTCAGATGCTGCTGCAGCAGGGTGGGACAGTATCATCCAGTGTACATCTGGCGGTGGAATCTCCAACTGTCTCTACTGTAGCTTCTACAAATGGAACCACAACTACGTCAAACTCATCTCAGCCATCTAAATGTGCATGCAACCTTAAAGCTATGGTCATGTGTCAAAAATGTGGTGCTTTCTGCCATGATGATTGCATAGGCCCATCCAAACTTTGTGTCACTTGTTTGATTACTACGTAACATGAGACTACATGGCATAGTATCACAATATTATTTTCAGTTATGTGTTGTTTGTTTTGACATGTTAACAGCACAGGGGTGCAAATAAAAAAGACGTTTTTCACGTCTTGTTTTCAAAGTATAAAATACATTTAACAGATTTCCAAATACCTTAATGTATCTTAGTAATGTATTGTGCAATTTGGAGAATTTTTTTTATGAAGGATGTTGACATGGGGAACCAACACATATCTTAATTGCTATTTGTTGGTTGGACAAGAATAATTTAACAATAATACCTTTGCATAATAATATTGGAATCAAACAACTAAAATACTTAATCACAGTCTACATACCTCACTGTCATTAGCAAAGGCATGCAGTCATTGCAATTAAAATTATGGTTATTCCCAGTTGGGGTGTGTAGATTATTTATTTATGATCATGGGGTTAAAATACCATCTGGTTTGAATCTTAGTCATGGGTAAGGTGGGAGTGATCTTACACCTATTTAAATTTTTGTTTGATTTGATTTTGGAGTTGATTTAAAGCCAGGTGCCCAGCCTTGACAGGTAAACCTGCATGTAAAATGAACTGATGATCTATTTTAGCAAGTATAAGTATCCAGGGTGTTTCTAGTATTCATTGTCTTTAGTTTCATTCAGTGTGATTATTTCACAGTTGAGAATAGCATTGTTTGTATGAAAATTCTCAAAATGTACTGGTAACGGAATTGGGTCATATGATTTTACATATAAGATATTGAAAAGTTAAATTAATGACAGTCATGTAATTGCACATTTATATTACTTACAATCTAAACGGATGCACTGTTGAAGCTGTCAACACTTCAATATTAAATTTGAATTTAAAATAACCTTTCAGAAAAAAGTAGAAAAATGTCAGCCAGAAATTGGGTATCTTAAACAGTATTTTCAAAAGTATCAACGTAACAAAGCAAAATTGTACTTGTCGTTTTGAGATTTTGTTTACAATTTACTGTGAACAAACAAAAAGACTTAGACACCCTGGATATGAGTAAAGCAATGTATAATATCGTGTAAATTTAACGTATTTATAATCCTGTTGAAACATTTGTTGTTAATAAACAAATTTGTAAATGAGTATTCTTTTCTTCTCTTTTGACCCCACAGATTGGAAAATAAATGACACTGTTGTTACAATTTAGTTGAAAAAATTATCAGACCAGTAGAATCGCTCTCATCTATCGCAACTCTGCAAACACCAAGGCCAACTTCTATTGCATGCAAGTGCGCCAGTAACCCTGTAGTCTCTCCTATGCTACCAATATTTTTTTATAGTTCGATGGGGACCCAGGTCAAATTTAGCATGGGTCCCATCTTGGGCAACGTGATAAATCCACGGTGTGCGCTAATTACCGCAGAAATATTGCATACAAGAGGCCTTTTATTTGGTTTCGGCCCATTCCGCTGTTGAAGCCGAAGTCTACACTAAGAACGTGTGTGTGTGAATCCCTTCAATGTTTGGAGTTGTTTTGATGTCATTTGACAACTCCGAAATGGCTATCAACAGCTAGACATATATTGCTTTTCACTGAAACTGATTAAAAATTTTGAATTGTTTCACTTTTCAGACACAAAATTAGAGATAACAACAAACTGAAACTGTTTAATTGCTTCAGATCTCAACACTAAAGTTATGTATGAGATTCTAGGCTATAAAAGGTTTTATAAGATGGCCGTCAATATTGCCCTGCTCTAAAATCGCCCACATTGTGATATTGCCATTACGTCCCCCTAAAAGTAAGACCTAGTGTACCCTTATATTTAGCTGTTTTGCTTTTCAAACATCATAAATTAAAAATTTATTTCGTCTACCGACCTTGTTTAAACAGAGTCCCCGCTCGATAACCAACTTATCAATTTTGTCTGGCCTTATAGTGTGGCTTATTACTTTTGTTGCGTTGCCTTTTACAAACAGTGTATGAGGCTCGACTTTGCATTCTTTAGTACATTTTGTGTGAAATAAATCAATCTTTTCCTTTGAATAATACAGAATGGAAATATAATTTGCTTTGCTACGAACATATGCTGCGTTTTCATATTACATCACCCTGACTTGGGTCGCTTGACATGGAGCTGTTGTCAACATGGCAATATATATATATATATATATATATATATATATAATGCTGAAACGAGAACGTTTTTTGAAGGGAAGTATGTGCATAGGAAAAAAGGTCGGAAAATGAACAATGTGGACTTTTTCATGGTGACTTAATGATACACGTAATGCTGAAAGGTTGAATAAAAGACGTGCCTGTTATCACGTCGTGGGTTTGTCGGGCTGCATTCATACCTACTGTCATCCTTTACATTGTTAGTTTGAAAAGCCATTCAGCTTAGTAAATCCTTGTAGATTAAAAAGAGTGTATTGCACTCCAGAAATACAATACCAGCCGATTGATTGATTTATCGTTTCTTAGTACCATTTTATGAATATATTTATAAAGATATGGTACTTCATTGGATTTTCCTTGTCTTTTCCTTTGAACGCGGAAGATGTCCTCCAGCGATCCATGATAGGGTAGTAGTTTGACACTGATTCGTAAAATGTGATATTTTGAATGAAATTGATTTCAGAATTGATTTGGTTGCCGTATCTTCAAACCAAGATAAGTTAGCGCGTAAAATGTTGAAATAACACAACCAGAGCCGAGGAAAAGCAAATTTCTTATGATAAGGCTTTGATCTTATTTTATCTTATTTTAAACCCAGTTCATGTAATACAGTTTGATAACAGTTCGATGAAGTGATCGCTAAAAGTCGTTGTTATCTTAGGCATGTTAAAAGCTATGTTGTTAGAACACCCGGGAAACCAGGCACTGTATCCTCCTGTTTGCATCCACACTTTACCGGCACAATACGGTCTTGGCCCTAGGGTCCTGTCTGTGGGGAACATCGAAAATAAAAGTTTGAACTTAATACCGGTTAGAATCACAAGCTGTCCGCTGCGTTTTCAATGTATTTAGTAGACCGTTCTACTATTTCTTATAATTACAATTCAAATTGAGATTTAATGATGTCTATGGGAGTCAATTTTGGGATTAGTTATCGAGAGCAAAAGGTCGATAGTTTCAATGTTTTCAGTGAAAACCCGATCCCTTTTGTCCACCGCTCCATTCCCCCAAGATCCCTGTTGACTTAGCGCAGATAAATGGACCGCAGATTACTGTCGATATTTATTGTGTGTTCGTTATTCACTGGTCGTAATTACTAGATATTATTACTTTAACAGATTTAAATTGTTGCTGGGGGCTGGAGACTTAAAAGGGAGTGAGCTATAATTGGTTTTCGTCTCTTTCTAAAATGTAAACGTATGGTGAAACAATTGTCCGAATTCGTTAAAATATTCTCTTAACTAAGCAGCAAAAACTTATCACCAATTTAAGTTTTGAGTTTGGAATCTAACAGATGGTGGTTGTTCTTTAAGACGTCATAAATAAGGAATACATGTCGTTTAACATTACGCACTCGTACGTTACTGGGAAATTGATCATTAAGAAAACTTGGAACTAATAATAAATCCGTTAAACAAATACATTCCTTGGATAATAATTGTGCGCTTTTAATATCGTGGTAACCTAACTGTGCCCTGTGTTCTAAATAAATCTTTAAAAGATTGGCTTGTTTCCTATACTACGGTAGCTTTCCGTACGTATCCATTAGGCCTTGGAATCTGTATATTCCATTTTCCGGAGTGTCGGTCTATTCTTCAGTTCTATTTTTTCAAAGGTGTACCTCAGCAATGCAATCGGAAATCGAGAGCCAGCAGAAAACCATTGCCTGTAAGAGATCAATAATTGTTGCTAAACAGGTAATTGGACCGGCGTTATGTTGACATGAAACTGTCCGACCAGAAAACGCTGGTGCGAGTTCGCTAACATTACAGAGTTCATTTGTTTGTTTGTTTTTTATCATATCATTCCGACTGTTTGCCGACTTTGGCGCACATGTCAAAGAGCAACACACAATAGTGAACTAGTAAAAGGTATTATATTCACGTAGTCTTTTTTACTCCGACATGGTGACCTCCGGTTGGCAAGGTAACTGTATACAACAATTCAGCCTTTACCCGGATCATTTTCCGGCCTATTTGTAGAATAGGGTCCACTGGGATAGACGTCTGTCGAGAATTATTCTTGGATCCACACTTGAACGGGTTGGTTACAACACTTGAAGACAGAGATATACAGCGCTTATATTTCAGATAAAGGGATGATTAATAAGAGATGAAGACAGCGGTGGATGGTGTAGCGGCGTCAAAACGACAAACAAGAACAAAATGATGATGGCAAATAGCCGAGAGACTACTGATGTTGGAGGAAGCGGTCTCGGTGATAGGACACGAGTAGCGTGGATTAAAGAGACGGTATGTAAAGAGGGAAGGAGACCATGTGTTGTGACATAGGAATGAGGGCTTTAATCAAAAACAGAGAGAGAGAGAGAGAGAGAGAGAGAGAGAGAGAGAGTACAGAAACAGCTGACACCCATAACTAACGTTAATGCGTGTTAAAAAAATTGTGTTTTTTCTATACGTTCTTCTGTGGGTGCAATAAAAAGACCAAAGATTAAGACATTGTACACGTTAAGTAACGGTTTCAAATTTTCAGTATACATAAGATAATTTTTGCCCATAAGGAGTGGTTGAGACATTATTTTTTGTTTGCAATGCACGGGTATAGTCCATGATATACAGTGCATTCTCATTCATTGGGGACATGTTAATGCCATATTGAGTTACTTGGTTAGAGTTTTATAAGTACCCATGGACTATCAATCCTTTATTTAATCAGTCGAATGTGAAGTCTCCCCATTGATAAGATGGCCTTGAGTTATGGCAACGCCGCACCTGTCGCCTTTTTTGATGAAATGGTGTATCAAACGAGGTCGTTTACAAATGTAGGTTGTCATCTCTATATGTTGTACAAGTTAGCTAAATTGCACATAGTTAAATCGATTTTATTAGTTTATGCATGGTGTGCCATCCTATCATCCCTTTTATTTCAACTTATTGTGGAACGATCCTTTTATGATCTAAACTGAACAAGATTTTTTCATTGTTTTTAATGAATAGTCAAATGTCTGACACATACAAAGTACGTAAAGACCCGACTTAACTCTAAAACATTCCTTTTGGCTTTTCAAACCTAAATATACTGTACGTGCATCATGTTTGCATTAGCTTGGCATCATTTAGCGTCTTAGGAGATCTTAGAGTTTATACTTGAACTAATAACCATCTCTTGGTTACAATGGTATACAGGGTGCTATGACCCACTCACACGATCTCACGTCTTAGCTGCAAAGCTATGGATTAGTTTTGATACATTTGAATTACCAGCAGTAGGCCTGTACTGTTGTGTTCTCCCCCTCCTAACTCTCCCAACTCTCTCTCTCTCTCTCTCTCTCTCTCTCTCTGTTGTAGATTATATCATTGCACGTTTACTGTTTAGTAACATTAGAAGCTGTACATTTAATACCGCAATCATTACGCTATTGATTATAAATCTGTTGGAATGCCTCACTTCAATGACTTTTCACAATTGAACCCCTCACAGATACCACATGCTAGTAACATAACTAAGATCTTAAGGGACATGGACCTTTTGAAAGCTTTTTTTACTTTATATAGAAATTCGTGGAGCATTGAAAGATTATACTGTAAACGAAAATAAAAAATAGCTATTGCTATGTGAAGTTTTGAAGAATTCATGACAATTTCGGTACACGAAAAATTGATAAATGAAAACCCACAAGAAGCAAAATCTAAGCACGAGTTCATGCCTTCTTGAAGTCCCGATCTGCCCTCCCTGACCCAATGCCACCCACTTTAAATCCCAAGTCTTTTGAATATTTGAGATTTTGACTTTTTGCAATGTGCCTTTTTCAAATTCACTGTCTAGTTGGAAAACATCGTTTTTTATTTACTAAAAGTAAAGTGTATTGAAGCATGCAACAGAGTATGGCATTCGGTTTATAAGTGAACATAATCAGTAGGCCTACAGGTCTTAAAAGACAAATTCCGTACGTCAGTAATTTTGACCTTTGAGTATAACTAAGACTGCTTATTTGATGGTGTCATTTAACATTACAGCACATTTCGCCCGTAGAACTAGGGCGTAAAGTTTTCGAAGATATTTTTATCAATATTATCATAAACAAATGTTGCACGTGCTGGTACTGGCCTACGTCTTGCCGCAGATATTTCCTTTTGCCTTTTTCAAGTATTTATTTCTGCTAGCCTTTTCCTAGTTGATCACATTTCCAATTGAACCCTTTTTTGGGAGGTGGGGGGGGGGGTGTTTATTTTTGTCCTGTGATGGTTTAGATCTTGATAAATGTATTCAATTTTTCATAAACTTAATTTATCCCTAATACGACAATACAGCTTAGGTATGGTTTGAGCTAACGCCGCATGTTTTTTCGCCTTCTTTATTCTTATAAGATGAATACAGCGGTAAACAATATAAATATTTGTAATCAAACATGTGAATATTTACCTTAAATTCACAGTGATCAACACATCTAAATAATCTATTGGACCCATATGAGAGAACTCATAAGTTCTCCAGAGCCGCAAGCCTATTGAACGTCGCGTACTATTAACATTTTGAAAGTGAACGACAAGATTTCGTGCATGACGAACATCCAATGGCTCAGAACTTGTTTGAAGAAATTCTGAAAGTATACGCTGAGTACATCTTATTGCGATACTATGTCTATAGACAATTGTAAAATCATGGGAACCTTGACGAGGTTCCTCATTGATCGAACAAGTTATCTACATTATCGATGTCAGAAAAGTCAATGTAAATGATTCGTACACATGGCTAATTTTTCTGAAGCTTTCCTTTTTCACAAGAGGTATCGGATATGACGATTGCTTTTTATGAATTTATTAAAGGCAAGATTAAACAAAGACAAGAAGTTTATACAGAGGCAAGGGAGAGTAATTTATCTGGTGCGACATTGTTGTTAGTGATGAGAAGTGTTTGGCATTGCGTTATCGAGTCACTATTGCCTCAGCAGCGTCGCGCCCAGTGTTTGATGAATTGGGATCACTCTCAATAATGAATTGCTTTTGGATGTTATAGCAATTTTCAAAGTCAAATATACAGAGTAATGTCAGGCTAGTGACTATGTTATGTTGAAATACTGTTTTATTCGCACGATCACATCCCCCAACTCTTGTCACTGTGACCGGCGTCTCCCCCTCTCTCATTCAGTAGGATGTAATATTTCTAGTTCAGCACTGGTTTATTATCATGAACTGAGAAAGGCTCAACAATCGCAATTCTTGGCCTGTTACAGAATTTTTTCATGAAAGAATAAGATTTGACATTATAAGACATAATCTCAGCTACAGGTGCAGCGGCGGGACGTTGTTTCATGTTGTTTTAACATTTGTCAGTGTATACTACGACTTGCGTGTGTGTATCATTGTGGTAGTTTCAACATCATTAGGGTTTAAAATAACAGTGGACATATTTTCATAAAAAGACGGCTAATTTACCTGAATGCGTTCTTAAACCGTGTGACGCGAGCACAACGAGCTTTAACTGTCCTGCATAAACATCGCATGTAAAGGTGACGCAAACAATTATTGTAAACATCGAACTATGAGCGGCCGCGGTGAAGGGTAATATTTACTAATGACTTGTCTAAGTGTTTGTACAGGAGTTCATAATACCGTCAAGCTCACCTCTCAGCCTGCCCATGGTAACAGGGATGCCCTTATACTCACCATGCATGCATCGTGGCGATATGTGGGTACCCGCAGTGGAGATTTTTTACAATACGGCTAACAATAGGCGACACGGAACAAAAACTTGACATTTTTAATTTAACACGTACTGGCCCTTCTTAACGACCCAAGACAAGAATGGATTATAAATCCAGTCAACGTGAAATATTCAATCACACCAAGGCGTGACTGGAATACGCTGATATGTGATATTGAGAAGAGCAGTTATGAAGGAAATATACGGTTAGAAGTTTGACAATGTTGTCCATGAAACAGAAAGCTTACTATATTCCTAGGAGGAAGGTTCAGCCTTTAAAGTTAAAGAGACTGAGTATAAATTATGATGTGACTAATGCGCGTGTTCGGAAATTAATACAGGTAAGCTACGTATTCCAGATTTAATAAAATAACTAGCTGCAATAATATGGATGTGTCATAACTGAAGATTACAATCGGCAAATTAAATGTTGAGTATGGTATTAGACACAAATTTAGACTTGATTTGAGGGACCATTAATTGCTTATTTGATATTGAAAGAGGTAAAAGCACAATTTGTTGGTAACTGAAATAGTTTACAGGCCTTTCATTTTATTTTCATAACACAACAGCCCATAAATAGAAAGGCAAATGGGAGCCTTTTCTCACGAAAGTTTACTGTGATTCCCAGCGCTGCAATCAAAATTTGCGATTTAAAGAAAGCAAGTTTTAATGATTACTTGTAGACTTGTAACACACAAGCAAATTCAGAAATTTACTGTTATCGACGGATCAAGTAACTCCATTAATTACATATTGAAAGAGATCGCCTCTCGCCTTGGACAATGTCCCTTTTGTCCCTGCTATCGAATCGAAAGCCCCTTGATAAACACAACGCTTGTTGGTAAGATATCGCTTTCTACCGCGCTTGGTTATGTGTAAATATTGGACCCGATGGGCTCAGTTTATCGGTCATTTGATAATCATATTGCTAAAGTAAACACAAAATTAGGGGATAGTGTTAAACAAGTCACCTAACAACTGACACAGTGAAGAAAAAACAGGTTAAATTATTGTTGGCTCCATAAAATGGAAATATCTGGAGATAGAGATAGATGGCTGCACGATTAAATACGGTAAGATGTAAATTTTTAATTGGTTTGATACTCTCTTTATTCATTTCTTTGCATCAGCAAATGGTACTGGCAAAATATTTGCCATACTCTTTATATTCGTTCATATTTTTCATCTATATGAGAAAATGTAGTCAACATGTAGAAAAATGAAATTGACAAGAAATGCACTAATTTCATCTGGACTGCAAACGATTAGATCTCTATATTTGTAATATATTCGTATTTATCAAAGTGAAAATAGCTTTATCCATTATTTCTTTGCTTAAAGTAAAGATTATACTTTAAGTTAAGGAGAGTCATTCAAAAATACATTAGGTTTAGACGTTGGTGCCACTACAATTAAATTAACATACCTTGGCTCGATTTTGTCATCTGAAATGTCACAATGTACAAAGACACAGACCAATAAATCATACAAATGCAATGCTGATCTTGACATTTTATCGCATTGTTTTTCCTTTCTGCATTTTCTTTCGAAACGATTTGAAATCAACCTCTCTCGATTTTTTTACTTATTGCTGTCACGAGTAGAACACAAGAGATTAATATGAAATAATTTCCCCCGCCCCCTTTGCTATTCTTCGCAAAACATTAGGCCAGTTTTTACGTGAATATAAAGTTTGTACATGTATATATTTGGGTTATCATATGTTCCAAGTAGGGGGTCCTGTATAAACACTGGGCTGCAATTTAAGAACATAATATAAGGAAAATGAGACTGCCAAATTACTAGGGTTTGGTAATTCGAGGCGCTCTGTCAAAGTATTAGGTTGTGGTAATTTTAGTCGTTGTACTAAGAACGTTAAGTAAGAAAAATACGTTTTACACGTTCTACAACACGTACGAACAAAATTTAAAATACGAAATACACGTAGGGCAGAGGTGCTGATTTAAAGCACTTCGTGGTAAACCAAAGGTAGATCGGAGTAAATTAGTGCGAATTGCCCCGAACATTGCATCATTTGAAACTTTTGCAACACCAGATATCCCAATATTGACGATTAAATCCACTTCTGATAAGGTCTGTCCGATAATCCCGTAAGGTCTCCACAGAATTTAAAAGCAAATAACGCATTCTTAAGGTCATAAAATTTGCCTTTGCCAAATATGTACACACTTCGTACGCAAATATGACTAAAAGCAATACTACACCAACTAAGTGGCAAAAACTTTTATCAAACAGTTACTGAATGTTTCTGAAATTATGTTTATTTGCACACACATTTTATTTGACATTGTTGTTAGGTAAGACAGAAAGACCCAAGGACTTATCATATGACAGAACATGCTGCTCTTAATTGGACATACGCCAGATTACATTTTTTTGCACCTGGGGCATATATATATAAAGCTCATTTGAAAACATCCGTTTGCCAATCAAACTTTTCCTAAGATGTATTGGCCTTACTTGGGGGCATGGGTTTAGGGGAAAGCAGAGTTGCTGTTGTCGTTGCTCGATAAACCATGTTTAGAATAAGTGGTTCGGTTTAGTCCATTAGAATTCTGTTTAAGAAATATTTGTTCCATATGTCAATTTGTTATATGAAACTAAAAGTTGGTTTAGTCAATACCTTTGTCTCGTCCCCCTGTTTATCACAACCGTAGGACATTGTGGTCTATTTGTACTCATACTGTTTGCCCCTGTTACGTTACTAAACGACAGAACTACAGTAACCATGGCCTGAATATACTAATCTCAGGGACGACATTTCTCCAGAAGGCAAATAGATCGTGATATAACTAGCTTTTCTTGGTTTTAGGGAGCAGAGGAAGGTCGAAGACGTCTCCCTCCATTTGTGGCAATGTCACGCGAATCTACCCTCTTGTCTGACAGAAGGCTGCCGTCTGTGCATTTCAACCGAGATAACGCCCATGCTTACCAGGGACCTTCTGAGGAGGCGAGTTATGATTTATAGTATAATTAACCTGTTGATGAAATCCCTTATTGGGTTTTTGAAATTAGGTTAAAATTGTGAATTTGGTTCATAGTGTTCCTATTTTAATGGACTCTTTCTCGAGTGCGATATATGTGTTAGTTGCTGCAAAAGTAATTTATTTGAACAAAGGGAAAATACCACCTAATTTTCAATCATTGTAATGGCATAGTTGCGTGAAAAGTACGCTTTTTTTATCTTAGGCGAATATAGCTTATTCTAGTGTTTTCTTTTTTTCAGTTGGAAACAAGCCATTGGCACGTGAACCATCGTCCGATCAAAAAACAGACTGATGTAAAAATAGTGAATCACCTCAGGGTAAGAGAAGCAATAACGGTTTAGCAATAAAGGTTCTGAATATAAAGATAACTTGTACAGTGCATATAAAAGAAACCTGATTTGTATGCCGAAAAATGTAAATGGACATATCTAATTTTAGAAGCGATTTAGAGAGAGGAGTGATGACTATTAAGACAAAAGGGCAAAGGAGTAGTTAACGTATTGATATCAGCATCTCTATTCAATAATCATACAACTGCCAACTCTATCTTGATAAAGATATGAAAACAAAACGATATTTTGTTTTATTTATTTTTGATCAGTTTGTTTATCAGTAATGTTGCGTTTTATAGAAAAGCTTAAATCGGCGCATAGAGAGAAGGTACAATAAGATTTATGAAGATGAACAGAGGGAAAACCTCCGCAAACAGGCAGAAGAGAGAAGGAGATTGCAACAGCAGAAAAAGAAGAAAACGGTGAGTTATCTTTGAAGCAGCACCATAATCTAGATATGTTAATGGTGGAACAGTGTGTGTGTGTGTGTGTGTGTGTGTGTGTGTGTGTTAAGCCCTCGAGTGACCTTCGTGAAAGATATAAGTTGACTGAATTATGAATTAAAACTTATATTAGTTCAAAAAAAAAAAAAAAAGTAGGAAAGTGTGATCTGTCACGAACGTGCAAAATGTATAAATACCGAACGTTTAAAAACAAGGAATGCAAAGGAGAAAGATAATTATCAAAATCGCAAGAAAATTCGTTTCAATTGAAATTTACTAACTTACCTATGTAAATTCATCAAAAATTACTAGTGATTCATCCACTTTAACTCAACAAATAGATATGGAATACCGTGAAATTGGTTACATATATGTAAATGCTAATGATATTTCATTTTAGGAACAATCTGAACATATAGACATTTTTCAAAAATACTCTGAATTCGGTGAAAAAATCAATGGATCCGCAGATCACAAACGGTCCCATTCCTCTAACAGTAGACTAGGACGGCCGTCCAGTTTTTCACCCAAACAGGTGACTGCCAGCAAAACAAGTGCTGGGAGGAGTAGATCCATGTCTCCTCGCAAACAACCATCATCAAACACAACGGCACAAATGGCGCCTGCAGCAGTGCCAGACGACAGCAAATCTCAAGTTAAACTTGAACATTTGGATGGAGTGAGGACATCTAGTGGAAAGAAAGCTGCAGAAACGTCAGAAATATTAGATATAATTGATAAACAAACTTCACCTGAGGACGTACCAACAGGGGGGATGTTGCAGAAAACGCCTCTTCCGGGAATAGGGGACTCCACCAGCAACAGCCAGGGTGGTGAAGGTGCGGTGACAGCCGACGACCAAAACAATTTACAAAGTACCCCTCAGAACAACGATGATAAATCTGAGCTGATAAACGATTCAAATAAAGAAAAGGAAAATACCCTCAGTATTGGTCCAGAGCGAGAACACAGTGTTTTCACATTAACTCGAACAAAAAACAACTCCCCAACTGAGTTAGAGGACCAAAATGATGATAGTTCTAACTTCAGAAAGCTTGCTGTTAGCCCAGTGCCAACCCCATCCATTTTAAGACCAATGACTAGGGAGAAGATCAGGGTGGACATGGAGGACCGCATTGACAGGATTCTCCAGGGACGACTAGACGTATTGGTGCCTCCAGACCACAGGATTATCAAAATATACATTAGTTCAGAGTTCACAGGTAGGGGTCATGTATTACTCGAAATACAATGAAATAACCTTTTTGATAACAATATTCATAATAAAATTCATAGAATAAAGTAAGGTGTTCGGATAGTTCGACCAGAGTTCCGTCCTTAATTCATTTCGATAAAACAAAGTTATTGGACAATTGTCTCGGGGAAAGAGACTGTTTTGTTTTCAGTTTTATTAATTTGATTTTTCTCTATGGTGTTGTGAATAATGTCGCTCGATTAAGACAGATTACAATAATTCTTCATGTCATTATTATGCAACACTATGTTCGTCATCAGTACCCTCGATAGATTCTTCATTCTTTACCGCAAATCAAATTACAACAATTTGCTGTTTCCTATTTAGACACAGAGGCTGAGCGATCAGCACTAATAGAGAAGGTTTACCCAAAGCTAAGGCAATACAGCAGAGAGCACGGTGTAGAACTTCATGTATTCGACCTCCACTGGGGACTCCGAGACACTGTCATAGACAACCATTCTCTACCGGAGATATTTCTCAAAACATTGGAATCTTGTCAAGAGCAGAACCATGGTATCACATTTGTGGTAAGGCGAATGGTTAATTTGTAAATACCTGTTTTAAATTAAATAAATATTCATATTCATTGGGGCCTATAGGCTTATCTATTGCAAATATTTTTCAGATAACTTTATGTTTTAACATATTCAAAATAGATTATTTAGACAAAGATGGTCATACGCCACCTGGTGGACAGTGTTGCCTTTGTATGCCCCCAAAACAGCAGTAGGCCAAGCTATTTCGACTGACATCTTTTTCTCCCTTTCAGTCATTTCTGTGCCAGAAATATGGACTTCCTATTCTACCATTGGTCATACCAGCCGACGAATTTAACGCTATTTTAGAAGCTGCAGAGCGGGATAAACAAATGAGAGATGCCATAGCACAAGCGAAACAGAGGGCTCTTAAAGAAGCAAGAGAAGCGGCTGAGAGAATTCAAGAAGAAGAAGAAAACGAAGAAGAGGTCGAGGGTAATGATGACGAAAGAACTTCTCCACAAAACCTCACTACAGAAAAAAAATCTATCAATCAAAAGAAACGCGAGGCAGATTCTGGGGTATCTGTAGCGAGTGACAAAACAACGGACAATGAACAGTCTTCATCCAACAAGATAAAAATTACCAAAGGTGCTGATGAAAATGCTGCTAAACCAAATAATCCAAATGAAAGTAAACAGAGTCCAAGGAAAGGGAAGCAGTCCAATTCAGTCCAAAAGCAACACAATAATGGAAAAGTCAGCCAGTCCTCGAAGGAAGGTAAACTTGACTCTATGGAACAGGAACCCCCAGCAAGGGCAATGCAAAGGAGAGACACCATCTTAATTCACAATGCTCTCAGAGAAGCGGAATCAGACCCAAATCTGGATCCAAGTCTGCTGAAAAACTGGTATAAATACGATACTAACTCTAGTCCACCAATGTACGTGCTGCAGTCTATCAGGTAAGTGGCTATCGTCGTTTCAGATCTAGATTTGCTGTTGTCTTAAATAACTCTAAATCCCCATATTACAGAAATTTATTACATTTTACATAGAAGTTATTTTCTGAAGTGGAAACCAAAATGAAATATTATGTTATTCGCAGTTCTGACTGTTGTCGTCAGTTTCTATTTTCAAATGCTCATTCAATACAAGGAAACACACTTTGCATAAAATAGCGCCGTTTAGTGAAATTCAAGCTTTGGTTTGGTATCAATAATAAGACAACATTTACTTAATATCAATATAAAAGCTGTCTGTATGACGCATTTCCCCCTTAATTTCACAGTTCCCATGATGAAGATATTAACAAAACGGATGCGTTCAAGCGAAAGCAGGCCAAAGCTAAGTGGCTGACTACGTGCAGACGCATTCAAATAATGCTTCAGAAGTATTCATCGGACATTTTCGGCGATGAAAGCTCTTCTCGCAGGTTCTTCATGTCCAGTAAGTTTAATTACTTTTCATGTTCTTATTTATATTTCTTCATCAATGCAGCAGACCTGGTTGAAGGATACAAGTAACGATATGTACATACATATAGTTGCGGGCTGGAGTCTTCAAAGGCATAGCCATATACATCACAGAACTTCCAAGTCAACAGACAATGTAGAATTATAGTTTTTTTATTTTATAAATGTAAACTATTTCCTTTTACTTCAGTCCAAGATCTGGAACTTGACCAAGCTCTTCTTGGTACTGAAGAACCGGAGCGCCAATGTGTTTGGTTCCACAGAACGCTAAATGGCCTAGAGCACAATCTTGACGATGACAATGCTAAGAAATATATAGATCTCCACCCGTTCAAGGCAGAAATAGATTCTTCATTGCAAGAGAAATTAAAGAACATTGTCCACAATCGTCTCAAGGCAGAGGTAAGTTAAAAGTGACATGTGAACATCACAGTTTCTGAATCGTTTCCTACGTCCTTAGAGTAATATAGGAACCATGGCTATCCATTTTAATTGGATTTCTGTGATTTCTGTACTTATTCGTGAGCATTATAGTGTTATCTGTAAACCTTTCTAAAATATCGATAGAACATGCATATTTCATTCAATAAAGTTTCGTTCTTTTTAGTTGCCACAATCGAGCATACACAAGTACAAGATACAGTGGACTCGTAACGGGGTTGATCCGAATATACGCAGCCACGCCGTGTATATTGACAAAATGTGTCAGGACTTTGAGAAAACGATAAAACAAGGACTGGAGGATTACTTTGAGGACTGCCAATACTGGCACGAATCGCAACGGCGACTTTTGTACGATGAAGTCTCTGAGCATGTCAAGTTCTGTCAAGCCAGGTAGGATTTATTTACCAAAATATTATTGAAGAAGAGTGGTTCATCACAAAGTTAAATTAATTTATGTCTCAAAATCGCGCCTCAAAAGTGTGTGTGAAAAAAAACAAAAAACAATTGTGTTCAAAATATGTTTTTATTGAATAATAACAATAACACGCATTTATCCTGCGTAATAATGTATCTACGGTATTTATAAGTCCTATTGTGTTATAAAAAAATTTTAAAAAACCTTATTCATTATCTTCAGGGCGCATAATTTCCATGGCAGAAAAGACCACTTGTCTATGATCAAAAGTTACATCCGTTCAACATCGTCAGTGCCTCTGCTTATCTACGGCAGTGCCGGGTGCGGGAAAACTTCTCTTATAGCCAAGGCCGCAAGGGAGTGTCACAAGTGGTTTCACGAGTAGGTCCCTAGTTGATATGTAACGTTAACTGTATATTGTATATTGTGCATTAAGAATAAACATGCTAAAATTGGAGTTTCTTTGAAAATGTACCGCGAACATAATTGAGTCCTCATAAATATGTTAACTAAGTAAAGCATAGGTCAAACTATTGAATAGCTCAAATTTCATGCCTGTTGATTTGATAGTTTTGTCTCTGTGTAATATTCTTCTTCATTCTTTTCGCTGTTTTAGGTCTGTTGGAGAAGAAGTCGCAGTGGTTGCCAGGTTTATCGGTGTTACAGGTCTTTCCAGGAGCATCCGTCTTCTGTTACAAGGCATCTGTCGCCAGTTGTGTGAGATTTATCACAATGACCCCGATGAGGTGCCAGAGGTGAGAATGAAGCGAACTGTTAAAATTTGTAAAACGTTTCTTTCAAGTCCACATCCATATTAGTACATGTACAACAGTTACTTCGTAATTCGTGTGTGTGTGCGGGCGTGCGTGCGTGCGTGTGTGTGTGTGTGTGTGTGTGTTTGTGTGTGTGTTCTTCAGACATATATGTAAACATAAATATTCGTTTATTTTCCTTTTAGGACTATAAAGGTACAGTCAATGACTTTGGCCATCGACTGTCATACGCCACAGAAAACAAACCCCTGGTGATATTCATTGATTGTCTTGACCAGCTTACTGGTAAGAAACTGGTGCTTGACTGTGAATTTAGCTGCTGTAAAGCTGTGCAACTCGACATTCATAATTTTCCGACTACTTTTATAGGTTGCTACTTTTAACCTCAATCTGAGAGCTCTTTTTGTGGTGTAATGATCATTAAGAAAATCACCATTAAGGCCTACTCATTATATATTGTGCAAGGCCCTTTTTGTTGGTTTGATTATACATACCGCTGACGTTTACATCTTTCATATTTTTTCATTGCAGACGAAAACTCTGCTCGAAAACTAGCATGGCTTCCAAAAGAGCTTCCACCAAATGTTCACATGGTTGTCTCCACTCTCCCAAACGAAAGTTATGGCTGCAAGAATGCATTTACAAACAATTACCCTAACAGCAAGGATAATATCATAGAGATAACCGAGCTTCCAGTTACTGATGCTGAAGTCATTTTAAAGCATTGGTTAAACCAGTCCAACAGAACTCTCACACAGGAACAACTGGACTTACTCCTAGATAGCTACTGCGCCTGCCCAGTTCCACTGTATCTTTACGTCGCTTTCAAGGAGGCATTACGGTGGCAGTCGTACACCCCCATTGCCAACTGCAAGCTGGGAAAACAAGTCAAAAATCTTGCTGTCATTTTGTTTGGAAGGCTGGAAAAAGAGCACGGTGAGCCGCTGGTGCGACGAGCACTGGGATATATCACAGCGGCAAAGAATGGCGTCACCCATTGTGAGATGGAAGATTTGCTGTCCCTCGACGAAGCCGTTATGGATGATGTGACAGGCCACTATTCACTTCAGCTGCGAAGGTTCCCGCCCATTCTGTGGGCACGCCTTCGAAATAGCCTCGGTAGTTACCTTAGCGAGTCAAGTGCAGATGGCAGCCGGACTCTAGTTTGGTTTAACGTGCAGTTTCGTGAGGCAGCGACAGAACGTTACTTAAATGCACGAGACAAAGCTCCCTCTTATCACAAAGCCTTGGCTGAGTATTTCTCCGGAAAGTGGGCTTCCGTGCCTAAACCACATGGGTCAAACAAAATTGGTGCTTTAAGATGGGTAGCAGATCAACCTCTAAAGTTCCAACGTGTCCAAAGCGACAGTTCAGAGCCACCTTTGTATAACACCAGGAAACTGAACGAGCTACCACACCACTTCCTTCAGTCACAGCAGTTTGACACCCTGAAGTCCGAGTGCCTGTGTAATTTTGAATGGGTATCGGCCAAGTTGTTGGCGACATCATTTCGAGCAGTACTTGATGACTTTCATTCCGCCCTTGAAGTAGAGCCAAAAGATAAAGACATTAAGTTGCTCACTGATACTTTCCAGCTTTCGGGGAAAGTTTTGTCCGCGAACCCTATTCAGCTGGCCTCACAATGGTCGGTCGCCTTCACAATCTCATAGCCGCGGACGTGCCTATGGCTCCACAAGACCCCGTGAAATACCCTTACATTCGAGGGTTTTTACGAGACGCTCGTAACTCCTCTGTCCCAAGTCTCATACCATCGGCCACGTGCCTGACTCCCCCTGGCGGAATGCTGTTTGATATTCTCTCCGGGCATACTGAACCGATCACAGCCGTTACAACCACTACTGACGGTATGAGGGCAGTGACTACGTCCAAAGACAACACCATGAAGTTGTGGGATCTTCGCACAGGGCGAGTGACAAAAACTATCGATGGCGTCGGAAAGGAAACGGTCTACATTAGACTTGGCAATTCAAACCGATTGGCCATCTCGTCTGAGCTCCGGTGCATTCGCATCTATGATCTGAATACAAGTTTGTGTCAGACTACAATAAATGGACACGAAGACATTGCCATAATTGCAACAGTAGGAAATGGGGTACTACTAGTGGCCTTCTTTGACGGTGCTAACAAAATGCGATCTTGGGACCTCCAGAACAACTTTCAGTTGATTCAAGATGTGGCAATAGAGGGGACTGCGCTTCACAAAGACCGATCAGTGGTCGTTGCCAGCAATCCATTCTCTGACAAGGTACTGTATGCCCACCGTGGCAGACGATCAGCCAAGGTTGTGAACGCTCGGACGGGCGCGCACGTGCATACACTGAAGTGTCAGNTGGTGCTTTAAGATGGGTAGCAGATCAACCTCTAAAGTTCCAACGTGTCCAAAGCGACAGTTCAGAGCCACCTTTGTATAACACCAGGAAACTGAACGAGCTACCACACCACTTCCTTCAGTCACAGCAGTTTGACACCCTGAAGTCCGAGTGCCTGTGTAATTTTGAATGGGTATCGGCCAAGTTGTTGGCGACATCATTTCGAGCAGTACTTGATGACTTTCATTCCGCCCTTGAAGTAGAGCCAAAAGATAAAGACATTAAGTTGCTCACTGATACTTTCCAGCTTTCGGGGAAAGTTTTGTCCGCGAACCCTATTCAGCTGGCCTCACAAATGGTCGGTCGCCTTCACAATCTCATAGCCGCGGACGTGCCTATGGCTCCACAAGACCCCGTGAAATACCCTTACATTCGAGGGTTTTTACGAGACGCTCGTAACTCCTCTGTTCCAAGTCTCATACCATCGGCCACGTGCCTGACTCCCCCTGGCGGAATGCTGTTTGATATTCTCTCCGGGCATACTGAACCGATCACAGCCGTTACAACCACTACTGACGGTATGAGGGCAGTGACTACGTCCAAAGACAACACCATGAAGTTGTGGGATCTTCGCACAGGGCGAGTGACAAAAACTATCGATGGCGTCGGAAAGGAAACGGTCTACATTAGACTTGGCAATTCAAACCGATTGGCCATCTCGTCTGAGCTCCGGTGCATTCGCATCTACGATCTGAATACAAGTTTGTGTCAGACTGCAATAAATGGACACGAAGACATTGCCATAATTGCAACAGTAGGAAATGGGGTACTACTAGTGGCCTTCTTTGACGGTGCTAACAAAATGCGATCTTGGGACCTCCAGAACAACTTTCAGTTGATTCAAGATGTGGCAATAGAGGGGACTGCCCTTCACAAAGACCGATCAGTGGTCGTTGCCAGCAATCCATTCTCTGACAAGGTACTGTATGCTCACCGTGGCAGACGATCTGCCAAAATTGTGAACGCTCGGACGGGGGCGCACGTGCACACACTAAAGTGTCAAGCCAGTGACTCGGCATCCATTCAAGCGGTTGCCGTCACAGGGGAGTACTATGTGGTAGCCACACGCAACCAGTATATGAAATTACACGAAATCCATTACATGGAACTGTTTGACACAAACAACGGCAAATACATCAGGGCAGTGCGAGGCTGCACGCTTGATTTCGTTGAGGAATTGTATGTTAATCAGATGGGGTCCCATACATTCTCTATATGCAGATCTGAAGCCAATAACACTTCTAACATCGCAGTGTGGAACTTGGAAACTGAAGACCATAAACATCTGGCACATCACGCTGGGGCTTCTACGATAGGCGCATGCTGTGACTTTCGATTCTGCTTGACTGCTGCGGCAAACGACAACGCCATGCGAATTTGGAACCTTAGTCTAACCATAAACAAACAAGCCCCGAAACTTAAAAGAATTGATGGAATAGGGGAGCTAGTTCCAATGCAAGATCATCCACGTTACGTTGTCGCAAAAGCGCTGAATAACGGTCCAGTCACAGTATGGAACGTGGCCAAAGGGAAGAGCAAAGGAACGGCCGTGAGAATCGAGCGCGGACTGTCAGAAAGTAGCGACATCATGCTTCTCCGCAATACACGAGTTTGTATTCTCACTGATCTAGTTGTATCTGCTGAAACGGGCAGCGAAGTCTACCGGACAGTTCTCATATACGATCTTAGAACAAAGAAATATGTGAACAAAGTGCATTCCTTTATGCCGCCTTTCCCTGCCCATGAATATTTACTCATGAACGACAACCTTCTGCTTAGTCCGTCGGACAACCGGTCCCACTTCGTCGTGTGGAGTTTAGAGCATGGAAAACCAGAGTTCAGAATAAAGCCAAATTTCAAGGACAGAACAAAATTGGACATGAGTTTCTCAAAGCAAGAGTTTGTATCAAAACGAAAGCGAAACACAACTGCAAAAATGACACCTTGGGAACGGCGTTCAGAGAGCCCTACCTCCAGACGCAAACGTAGAGAAAAAGAGGTTGAAGAAGAACGACGGCAGCATGAGGGACTTTTACGCGAGAAGGAAAATAGCATTGAGCAATTCGTTATCAGTGGCAACCAAAAGATAATTGTCGCGTCTTTCTACGCCCACCATCTTTGTGTGTTTGACATCGAGCAGAGAGCGCATATTCAAACACTGGAGAACGAAAACTCAATGCTGCTTTTGCACACCGCGGCCATTTCTTACGATGGAAGTCATCTTGTCCATGCCAATTATGACGAAGAAAAGAAAACCAGCTACGTAACACTGTGGGACTGTATGTCTGGTCACGTTCGAAAAAGATTGAAGAATGAGAGAAACGTGTGCGCCATAGCCATATCTGACGCAGCAGATCGTGTGGTATTCGCGAAAACAACAGGTGAACTCCGAATCTGGGATCCATTGGAACACAACATACGCAGAGTAAAAGGATACCCCGGGCTACAATTTACAGTGAACACGAAGATCCTTCTGTTGGAGAGAGGCGCGAGAGCCGTTGTGCACGCTGGAGATATTTCTGTGTGGGACCTCAACAAAGGGAGCGTGTTGGCGGTTTTCACTCCAGATAAAGCAATCATTTGCGTCAACGTAGCAATGGACGATAAACTGATTGTCTTCGGTGTCCGTGATTCCACAGACGTCGTGATACTGAAACTGATGTCAAAGGACATTCAGGAAGTTGAGCACACAGGAGAGAACATATTTGACGAGGGATCTAGCAGTAGTTCAGAAGATGACGAGGATGATGATGAGGAAAATGCTAGTCGTAAAAGTTGAAAAAAAAAAAAAAAAGTTCACTAGCTTGGTAATGAATTAGATTTTTGATACTTACTGATACGTGTTTGAAAATGAAGCGCAATCTGTAAGTATCAAAAAAGATTAGAATGTAAAAGACCATTTGTAACCTAGCTACCAATACTACCATACCGGTAGTGGCAAAAATTACAAATGTTATTGTTAGACAAAGTTGGGCTACTTGAAAAATTAACTCTATATCAGTAGCTAAAGTGATATTGTTCTCTACAGTTAAATGTGATATTGCAAAGGGTATAACAACCATCGTTTGAGACATACAGTAAATATCTCTATGTGCAATGTGATACCATGCTACATTTGCTCAACGAGCTTTATGGACACACTTTGACCAAACCTTGAGGAACATGTGGTCTTATGTTTGATGTTGAAAACGATATATTGTCAAAGTTAACCAGTTTTGAATGATTCCATTCACAGAAATAAATTTATATTTTTCAAAATAAATATTGCTTTATTTCATTCAATATTTTGTCAATAACAATATTTGTAAAATAATAACTGTTAATATTTGTGATCCAAACAAAATAATGTTTTAAATAAAATAGGAGAGAATAAAGAATAATCAATTAAACCATTAATACAACCTTGACAAGTATTTGGTATTATAATCATTCATTTAAATAGCAAATATAACTATATACATTTGTAAAATCGGAGCTTTTTCAGGGTTTTTGAATGACCAGTTTCCACTGGTCTAAACTAAATTAATACCAGTTACTGCCACAAAAAAAAAAAAAAAAAAAAAAAAAAAAAAAGTTTTCATAATTCCATCAAGCACAACCCCAAAAAGTTCTAATTCTAATTCAGTGTATGTAAAATATACTTAAATAAAAAAAATCAAAATTAATCCAAAACATGTCTGTACACAATGTCTCAAATAAAAACATTATAGATAATATACAACTGTAGAGTATGAAAAATATGTTTTTTACTGCTTTTAAATGAGAAGCAAAGGTCTATCATAATTGGTCTGTACATTGTTCATCAATTCCTGTTCACCTTGATTATCATAGTTATGCCGTCTTTTCTTTAAATCATCAAAGTTTGATATGAGAAAATATACCATAAATGATAATTGTAGAATATTCTGTAATCATGTTCTTGGTTTTTTAAACAGCTACTCTTTTTTAAATCAAAAATTCTTTGGTTCAAACAGATAAGGACGGCAATGAAAATATCAAAAAGATTTTTTCAAAAACACAGAAATACCCAAAGAGAACATATATCCTTAGATTAACACTCTAGATCTAGTTGAAAAAAAAAAACTTAACAGATATAAAAGTCATTCTCTGGCCACAAGAAAATAACCCTGCCTTAAAAAGAGTTGTAAGAAAGACATGAAGATATGTAAAATATAACAAGTTGATTGTATGCTGCATAAAATATTGAATAATATTTTCTCATTTTGAACATAAATATCCAATAAATTAAGTTAAAATACCTTAATTTAAAATGAGTGATTTGAATTGTTCTAAACATACATGAAAATATCAATTTTTATGGAAGAAGTTGTTCTGGTTGACCAAGCAACAGCAGTTGTCCCTTCTATTAATCCATTCACAACCAAACCATCACAAGTGAATTTACTCTTATACATAACTACTTGAGATCTGCCAAGTGAGCCTCACCAAGCAGTTTTGCTCCATTTATGCCCCTAACAGTCACCTTGCTGGGTCTCACCAGTAACCCATGATTCATTTTACAGTGAAAATATCTTTTTCCATTGACAACTCCATCATTCTTGCCCTTGGGTGTTCTTAGTTCAACGCCAAGCCAGACACCATCAGCAAAATCTGTTGGACCAATGTAGCGAATGATGCCTGAAACAAAAGTTAAGACCAATAAATGTAACCAGTGTTAAAAAGTCTTTCAGCATATCATATCATATCTTATCATATCATATCATATCATATCATAGCACATCATATCATATCTTCAAACATGATTTTGGATTCAGCTTTTTAGTTAATATCATGTCAAATCTATTCCGTGATCACAAAGAATAATGAAAAATGTATATGACTAATGAAATATTTTGACATCAATAAACACAAATCCTATTGCTAAATGAAAATACCTAGTTCATTGTTGCAGAAGACGCTCATTCCTTCTGTCAGGCGAAATTCCCCTGTTGTTGCGTTGTTTAGAGATACTCTCTTTTGTGTACCTGCACTTCGGGGACTAAATAAAAAATAAACATTGACATAATCTTCACTTTAAAATTAAACCATATATCTTAAAGTATCCATTTTATCCTAAGTGTTTGAAAATGTAACATCCTTCAATGTTCTTTATTCTTTATGTCACAAAGCTAAATTAATTACAGCAATATTTTCTTTTTAATTAAAATTTTTCATAACAGCAGCATTAAAAAATGTCTCAGAGAGCAATTTAACTGCCAAGTGATTTCTGAAGTCTATCTCAAATGTGTACTCAGTTGACTGAAACAGATGCTAAATAACCATTATCAGCTAAATAAGTGCCTCCAATCTAAATACACCAAGCTTTATAAATGCTTTATTAAAAATCAAATTCTGTTATGGTTATATGAAATGGGTTATCTCACAACATTACTAAGAAGTGCACTCAACAAGGTGTCAATTGTTAGTGTGTTTAACTGCTGGGCTCATGGGAAAAGAATGTGGATGAAATATTGCCCTGAATGTGATCAGTTTTGCCTTCTGATCAGTAAGCAATATCTGTAGAAATAATGACAGAGTTGTCCATGTCAACCTATATTCAATTTGAACCTAGCCTAATAAAACTATTATTCAATAACCACACCAAAATAACTTGCAAAAACAAAACAAACTTATATGAGGAATGCAAAACAATATAACAAAACAAACCACACCATCACTGAAAGAAATGGAATATTGAACTTATAAAGTTTGTGTATAAGAACGGCTGCAAATGCACTAATGATGACCTCCTGTGCTGGTCTTACCGCTGATACCGAGGACTAAACTTTGATCTAGATGACCTTGATGACCTTGAAGACCTAGCTGGACTGGACATGCTTTTGTGAGATGAAATAATGAGTATAGGAGGCAGCACAATACAAGCATAACATGTGGCAGGTTAGTTGTGACACAACAAATGGCAAAGGGGAAGTAATGAAGATGCTTTTGCAAATAGCATTTCATATCTGCACCATTCAGTGATTCATTTAACTTAAAGCAGTCAAAATTTGGTGAATTAAAGACACTGGACATACAAAAGCTAATAAATTTTTCAAAGCTGTAGCATTTAGCAGTGTGTCAGCAACACACTGACTTTTACTTTAAGAAACAGCACTGTTAACAATGTCATGGTAAGAGTAAAATGCTCTGTCTGCAAAACAGACTGCCAACTATTATGACGGACATTTATCTATATATTTATTAATATTAAGTTTTTCCTTTTTCACAAAATGAGAAAAGAAACAAAGATATGTATTTCACACAATACTATGTACTAAAGAGAACACAATGACTTTTACTTTTACAATATTTAGAAAAAGTGCATCGGCACAAGCACCATACTTTGTAAATTAGTATCTATGCAAAGCAAAACATCTTAGACAAGCAAAATGTGACTAAAGACAGAACTATATAGTCTTACCGACTAACTGGTGTTCTAGACCTGGGAGTCCCAATACTTGCTATGCTAGACTGGCTGCCACTGCGACTACGTTGACCCTCTTAAAGAAATATTTTCTCAATATAAATCTGAGGATACACTGTACGTCAACTGAACTTAAACAAAACAAATACATAATCAAATAAAATAACAAAATAGAAATAATGAAAAATAACTTCCATTTATTATCACTTACACAAAATACCATATGCTTAAGATTTAATCCATAGCACAACTTAATCAATCCAAGAAATAAAATTTCATTGCATCTAAACGCATTTAATTTGAAATTACAGCCAGTTATCTATTTGTCAAATGTATTTCTAAGTTACTAGCAATTATGCTTTCAGACCATATAGAAAGATGCTCACCATTCAGTGCAAAAGCTCCCCCTAAGGAATCCAGTGATTCTGTGGAACCCATGTAGGCTGGAACTCTGAAATAGAAAAATTAAACATAAACCATTTCACATATCCAATTTCTTTTTTTTTTTAACTCGGGATGGGTGAATTTTTTGTATCAAAGGATGCCAAAATTTATCATTAATTATCATTATGACTTAAAGATACCAATGATAACAGTGCAGATTTACATACATAAGTATAAATTTCAGATAATACATGCAGATTCATAATTTTTACAGAAAGATAATAATAAATGCTCTAGATATATCTAAATGAATGAATGACTGAAAAAGGTGCAGTTCACATGGAGCATTAAGGGAAAGTATTGAATTTTGTATAAAGGTTTTTGTATAAAAAACTCAGCCCTTTGTTTATAAGTGCACTACTGATACAGCATATGACTTATTGTGCAGTTTGACTTTTTTTTTACTATTTTGTCAGAAAAAAGTTCATGGCCTACTTTTGGACCCTGCTACTTGGGGCAAAGACTCCATGCTTTGGCTTGCAAGTGAAGTATCTGTCCCCATTCACCGACCCATCATTCTTCCCTGCTGGCCTGTCCAGTTCTATTCCATACCAGGTCCCTAAAATACATGACCATGCAAGTGATGGACTGGGCCTGCACAAATGTGTAAATGTTTCTTTATTATACAAAAAAGGTTTAAATAGCTGGACATGCCTTGTCAGTTCATCTGTTTCTCATGGCATTCATATGTACATACATGGGCATCAGCAATTAAAATAAGAATGAAAATCAGTTCTGGCTAATTTTCAAGTACTTTTATCTGTTAACAATGCTGCATTCCATATGTAACACCTATATCACAGTATCAAACTTTTATCCACACCAACATGCAAGCCTGTTTATGGTTTATAAACATCTGTGCAGTAGAAAACACAAGAAGCCACTGACACCAGATGCAGTCTGCAATGACCTGCAGAAAATCTCTCACCCTGCTACAATATTAACCAATGAACATCACATTTACTACTGCCACAACAGAGGGACCATGGCAATGCACACTAACAAAATCAGGAGAATGGCATAATCATAGGTACTGTCCACCATGTACAACAGGCATGCTGTGCACACAACTGATGTGATAAAATTCTATGAAGCAAAATGCATGTGGTATACAGTTTCCATTTCCTCTATCACTTCCCATGCAAAAAGACATAGTTTATATCCAACAATATTTATGTATGTATGAACAATGTGAGGCACAATTGGTATCTCTACTCCAATGTACAGACACATAAAATTACCTTTTGGTTCTGTTCGTTTACTTTCATTTGGTTCACCTATATCTATATCTACTGCATACCACACTACAAATGAGTCAATGCATGTAAAATTGCTACATTGCCCACAAAATAATCACAAAAGATTGAAAATATCAAAACATAGAAATGAAAATGAAATGTCAAGTCTTCTTTCAGTATACTGAAGTTTAACAGTAGATGTAAAAAAATGAAAAAATCCACTCATTACATAAAGATATAGTTCAGATAAATGTTAGTGTAAGCAAAAGCTGAGGTTAATAAGTGTTCCTGTGGAAACATGAGTCTCAGAATATAAATAATTTGCATTCAACAACAAATTTCTAACTTCACAAAGAAGAGATTGAATACAACTACCAAAGGCAAGTATGTAACTCTTCTGCAAGGTACAAACCAACTGCTTCTTGGTGTTTACTTGTTGAGGTACATTGCCAAGGAAAATTATATACATTTACCTGGTGCAAACTTGGTTTCTCCAACATATCTGACAGTGCCCTTTCTCTGTCCTGCCACTATCACCCTGTCATCTAACTCTGCTTCACCTCCTTCTGATGGTGTTCCAGATCTGGACTTGGTCTTTAAGCCTGTAAATACATTATAATAAGAGCTTAGTCAATTTGTAATGTTAATAAGACCGTGTCTAGGAATGATGCACATAATAGATACATCAAAGCATTGTGAACCAGCTTCTGCAGTGTGCCCAACATCAACTGTTACCCGTCATGTCAGACTTACCTGGGTCAAAGTCAGCTGTAACAGTAACACAAGACAATTTGTAAGAGTTGGAAATTCATAATGTGTACGTGCATCAATGTATGTATGTATGTATGTATGTATGTATGTATGTATGTATGTATGTATGTATGTATGTATGTATGTATGTATGTATGTATGTATGTATGTATGTATGTATGTATGTATGCATGAGTAAACAAACTTAACCTACATTACACGAGATATTTATCAACAGTATCTTATGATAAGTCTGGTTTATATAGTTCATAATTACCTGTATCAATCTTAGATGTTACCCTTGACAGATCTGGAGTACCATAGTTGATATTTTTCTTGCCTGGTGTAAGGCGACCACTTCTTGGAGTGGTAACTCCTGGTTTTGAGATTTTTGAAATTGGTGCAAATATACCTAGTAAAAAAAATAATAGAATTTTCAATCTTGTATAACCATCCAGTTTTTTCTCAGCTAGATTAAAGTACCAAATAAACTTCCAACCAAAAATACATACATACTGCAATAGGAGTAATTATCCAAAAATATCTAACAGAAATATTTACCATGCTTAGGTGAACACTTGAAATATGAGATTCCTCCTACACTTCCATCATTCTTTCCCTCTGCCTCCTCTAACTCAATACCAGCCCAAATCCCTGTGGCAAACTCTGCTGGACCGCAGTATCTTAGGAAGCCAGTCTGAAATCATCAGGCAAAAAACAAAAATTGAAAAGATATAAGGAACTTGGCCTGCATTTTAAGACAATAAATAATCTTGGTGGATTTAAAGTAAGTGACAACACTGCTTCCCAGTTACTGTGGCTACGGTGCAAAAGGTTCAGTTTCCATTCCCACACCACAAATATAGATGATGGAAATCTGTAAAGGATTTACTGTATTTGTATATAAAAACTGGACAATATACAAGTGGTGGACTCTGTAGACCACTGTATCTGAGATAGCTAGTTTGAACTTTTTACTGAAATTCCAGTCAAAACCCAAGTGGCATATCCTACTTGACTGGTGCCTAGAGGTAATTTATGATGAATAATAAATCATGAAATATTAAAAAATACACCACTAACTTGTCCCATCTTAAATCACAACAGGACTGCAGTGCCACCTATTGTCTATCTCACCTTGACTCCTCCTACTACAATCTTATCCCCAATCTTCAATCCCATTGCTTGCAAAGTAACTTTGCTCTGTATGCTGTCATAGTTTGGAGGTGGTAGTTTGGGTAATGTGGGCTCTGCCTCCATCAACATCTTCCTTAGCTTCAGTGCTTTCTTCCCTAACTCTTGGTTGCCATCCAGAGAGCTCAGTTCAGGGATACAATCTAGACATACAGTTATATAGTTTAAGTTGGGATGTTACATAGATATGATAATTTTTAGCAAAAAAAAAAACTTTGCAATTAACTTTTTGATACTTGCACGAGGAAAAATGGTCAGATTATGGGCAATTTCAAACTATTTCTCCCACTGTAATATACTGAAATATATTTTTCTTAATCAAAACTTTTATTAATACATATTCCTGCCAATTTACTTTGAGAGAGTTAAAAAGATGTGTAATTTTGGGGGGATACACTGCATAATGGTCCTCACCAGTATTTTCACTCTAATTTTCAACTTTCAGTGATTGATTGTAATGAACTCTAAACAGCAGTTTAAAGATTAGGTAAAAAAGTGGGTGTAACAAAGTTCAAGTTTCTTCAAAAATAGACAAACAGAGTAATTTGCACTCTAATATTCCATTGTAACTCTGAGTGCACAACACAGCTAACAAGATTCTTTGATGGTTTACCAACAAATATTTTCCTTGAAAACTAGGTGCACATATTGCTACAGAACAAGGTTGCCCTCAGGTGTCCCTACCAATGGCTGTCCTCCCCAGACTGTCCTTAGCCTGAGGATTGGCTCCATGCTCCAGGAGAACACCAGCAGAGTCCAGGGACAGGTTGGTGGCCGCAATGTGCAGAGGTGTGCCCTGCTCAAACTCTGCACAAAGGTTGTCCACATCTGGAATATGTACGGTAATGACTTTAAAATTTCAAACACCACATTTATTCTAACATCTTATTTAGTTTACAAAGATTTATTGTTTTTATTCACTATAATAAAATGCATTTTCTGGTACAGAGCCAACTTACTTTTATGGTGATGTCTCTTTATTTTGGACTGTTTTAGGTGAATATGTCTGAGTTAAGCAAACACAAGACTGCAAGTATCGGTAATCCATGCTTGGAGAAAAAAAAAAAAAAACACGCACACATACACACACACACACACACATTACCCAAAGCCTTTGATGCCTCCAGTAATATTTTCACTACAGGTGCCACATCAAAGTAGACTGCATAGTGTAAAGCTGTCATAGCTGTCCAGCGACATCTAATGTTTGTATCTGCCCCTTTGTCCAGCAGGTAGTTGACCACACTGCAGGCTACCTTGACGTCCCCTATGCCACTTGTCCCTGACTTGGCAGCATAATGAAGCAGGGTCATATCAGTCAAGCCATCATGGTCATTAATGTTGGCTCCCCTTTTTATAATCTGGAAAAAAAATTTTTTTTACATTATTTAAGGTTTATTTTATACAGACAAATAATAATAATAATAATTCAGTTACACTGTATCTCTGTAGTGAAGCATAATCTTACAAACTGAAATACATGCATACTATCTGTCATTATCAAAGAATTCCATACGTATTATGCCTAAATCTTAAAGAAATTCTATGGATCGAGGTTGTGAGAACCAAACCAACACCTTGAAGTGACTCACAGCATCCATAATTCAAGATATCACCAGCTGATTTCTTATTTCTCCATTTGTAACTAGAAATATTGATATCCATTGTAATACATGTCAGTTTCTATACAGATTTATGTATATGCAAATCTTGATGGTATTCTTTTAACATTTTGCTTATAAAATATCTGCTCATTTACATATATGTTTTGTACATTTATACTGTACATGCATGCTACATACACAGAAATACATGTAGGTCTGTATGTACAAGGAATTTGCATCCAGTTCATACAATAATCATACTTTTTTATTAAGAAAATTAGAAAAAATTGACACTCTGAACATAATACAATGTTACCAACTTTATTTGTCTGTTTAAAAGTAAGTTCTAGCTACTATACAGAGCACCATACAGTGTATATGGTTATGCTTAGATGTCCTTTCTTTACACCTTTTTTGATGTGTACTAGTAAGTCAAACCCTACTTGTTGAAACAACTTGACACTTTTGATACCATTGCAAAGCAGTCAACCATCATAAAATAGAGTGGATTATGCACTTCAAAAAAGTAGGTACATTTTAATAATCATATCATGTACAAGAATGCATACAAATGTAGGTATAGTGTTCTAGTATTATACTGCACCTCTTTGATAAACAACTCCACATTCTGTTGTGTTTGCGGAGTCCATTGTCTGAGAATAGCAAATATCTCTGCTATAGTTGTTGCTGGGTTCATCACCACATCCAGGCACCCTGGACAACTGGGGTCAAAGAATACCATTTCCTGCTTCTGGCATGCCTCACAGAGTGGGGGCTCCACAGCAGGATGGATCATTGGCTTTTCCCGTGGTGAAATGCAGAAATCATTGTTATTGTCGTTGTCAGTATCAGCACCATTATCACTGTGCTGGTCTTCGTCTTCAAGGGCCATCTCTAGAAAACAAAAAGAAAGAAATATTTAAGAATCAGGTTCACTCATATGGTAATGCTACTCATAAGAGTTTAGGACCTAGCATTTTCAAACACGGAAGACACGTAATGCTCAGCAAAACCGTTGAGTTTGAAAAAGATTGGCGCATAACTTACACTCACACGTTAGGTTAAAGTTGATCTAGTTTTGTTGTTTTGCCCATCAGAGTAGATCGACTAACTGTACACTGTTTACAGTACTAGTACTGTACATGTACTAGTAGATACATGGACCTACCACTGCCACTAACATCACTGAGGCTTGAATAGATCATCTTTGCACATTAATTAAGTTTCGTGAAATTGGTTTACAAATAAAAAGACAATTCATAATAATACTTACACTACTCAAATATAGAAAATACGTTTATATTTCAACGGAACACACCTGTCGCACATATCAATACATTTCAGCCTCGTTATGAATTTCAAAATGGCTGCGCCCATGCAAAGTTTGCGGCCGTCAAAACAGGTATATTTTTCATATTTTTAACGTAAATTAAGAAACAGTAAATATCTAACAATATATATCATAATAATAAATTGTCTTTGTGGATATGAAAAAGTCCAATCAATGTGTTTTTATACTCAGTAACCCACGAAAACGAATACGGTTACTCTCAAGGACAACCGATAACGTTAACATACTGTATAATTTGATAGTAAATGTAAATATAAATGGTTTGTCTTCTGTTGCAGGTTGCATTCAAGATTAATGGGCATCAAACAGATATTTCATGCACAGACTTTCAGAACAGATTGTTTCTTGTTATCACACAGTTACAGAAAATCGGCACTTTGGTGTGTGGCTTGATTATGTACTGTACATTATTTGTTTAATTATCTTTTATGAATTAGAATGTATATTAAAATAACCTAGTGGTAAATCAGCATTAAAAGTTTGAAATATGTTGTTTTAATTATATAATTTTGTCGTATTATACATAACAGTTATATTTATAATTGTATTTCTGGTTTGTTGATTTCAGATCCATCTTTCCAAGGATGTGGTGATGGAGCAGGGTCCCACCCATGTGTACACAACCAAAGTGCTGCTAGGAAAGGATGAGGTATACATCAGTACACACAATTCCAATGCTATTCACAGTATCTTCTTCTAAAAATAATAATAAATGAATAAAATTGATATATAATAATAGGCTAAAAAGATAATAAAAATAAATGTGATAAATAGACAAAAATGTTGTTTTAATACTGTTTAAAATACTTTTTGTAATCTAATTTAACTTTACTTTTTTTTTAAAATACATGCACAGAAAAAGTTTGCTAACTGCAATGCCATATGAATAATTGTATTGATTTATTAATTTTCTAGGAACATTTAAATCTCCTTGCCAGGCGACTTGCAGAGAGGATCCCTATAAACAAACCAATCCTGCTTTCCTTAGCACTTAAAGACACTTCAATCATCACACTAAAAGCTATAGAACAACTCATTGTAGACAATCAAATGTGGGAAGTCAGGTGATAGCTGCTTAGCTTAGCTTGGTGTCAGCCAATGGTAGAGTGCTACTTCAAAAGGAGTTGGATGTAACATAGGACTTCTATCCATATTTCCAAAAATCCAAAACATCCTGTCAGTAAAGGCATTGCTTATTACTTGCAGTGGAGAGGGGCCTTAGAAAGAGGGCAGGGCAGATAAGACCAATGAGATTGCAAAAATTGTCAGCAGTAGAAGTACCATATTGTTGTGGTAGGGATGACTGATCTTGTGTGGACTTGGCCATGTGTAAAAATCTCAATACACACAACTGTCAGTGGTCATAATAGTCATGCTACCTGTATGTAGAAACTACATAGAATCAGGTTATCGTCAATAGTAAACAAGAGACACTCCTTACAGGTCCCCGAAGGCTATCTGGGATTTTTGAGCCAAATCAAATTTTCCTGGCAAAAAAGTAATTTTCTCCTGCTCCCAAATCAAATCTCTATCCATCCCTGCACTTGGGTTCATGTTTTAGGCCACAATTTGAATGTTTGGCCAGACATCAATACTCTCATGCCTGCCTAAACATTTTAGGAAGTATTGTAACCAGATACTTCTGTAAGAGGGGTTTTATTGTTTTTAAGATCTGAATTTGGAATGACAAGTAGCTTTGCAGGATATATAAACAAGCGAGGTCTTTGGAACTTTTTCAGATACTTATAGAATACCTTTAAGTGAATAATTGTGTCAGAAAGAACTGATCCATTTGAAAAGGTATGAAAATAGAACTTTATGGTAGTTTGCCTTTACATTATCAAAACTACCCTGATGCCATGGAAACTCGAAGGGCATGCATTTTAAGGTTATATCCAAGTTATGAGAAAAATAAACGAGAGGTACCACTTTTATGATATCTTTTTATTGAAATGGTTAAGTAGAAATAGCTCTATAATGCAATGTATAATGGGTTGCAGATCACATATGGGACTTCAAAATCTAACAAGACAAACAAACAATGGGTAAGGGACTTGATAAACTAACACAAACAAAGAACAAAGACTGGCAAAACAAACAAATATGTAAAAAATGATAATGATGAACAAGGAGTATTTACAGAAATTAAATTTGATTTTTGAAAATGGTAAGTTGGAGATCAGGGCCTGGTTCCAAGTAATTCCCCACACAGCTTTATCACAAATCTTTCATGTACTGTACTTGAAACCAAATTAAGCATTTTACAACAAAGAACATGTGGCTATTCAAACTGAATATTTTTTTGCCATTTCATATATGGCTTTAAGTAACAACTTATAAAGTTGTCCAAAATACTTTCAAACTGATAAGGTTAACCCCAAAACATGTACAACAGTAACATAATATTTAGTTATGTGGAACTTTAATGTTTTAACTTTTACATTATATTAAAACCTGAATATCACGTATTTCTATGTACATGGCTATATAAAAGTTGTCAAATAGTGCTAAACTGTAAATGCCACACCACAGTTAACTTTCCTAGTATGGGCTCTGAATTACATAAATACATATAACAGTCTCTGAGTTGGTCTTTGAAAACAACCAAGTTGTACTACATTCAAAATATCCATATGTAAGTTTTCATGTTGGCATGTTGACATTGTTATTACAAAACTTGCCACACCTTCCATTATGAGCAGTTAGCAGGTTGTGGCTATCTACATATGATTGTCAAATTCTTGAGGTATATTTTCATGGTTGGGAATGCAAAGGTCAGGTCAAACAATCCTATCAAGTGAGACAACTTTCACCAAGATAAGTTACATGTGTCATATAACCATAATGCATTTTTTTGGCATATTTTGATAGCAAAAATGGCACTGGGATGATCATCTTAAACAAGGCAGCAAAGCTGTCAAATGTACAGACAAAGAACAGNAAATATCAATAGAACAGTGTCAAATGTCCAATTTCCTCCATTCTGAGTTTCTGAACATAGTGAATGATTGAATCTTACAAACTGCAATAATATGAGTTTATTTCCATTTTTGAAACTTTATTACACAATACACGATAACAAGTTTACCATCATTTTTACAAAATCAACTAACAATGTTGTAAAGATGCAGGAAATGTCAAACAAACACTTTTACGTATCTTATTAGTTCAATAATGAGACTGTTAACATGCCTAAGAATTGAATCTGAGGAAATGTGAAGAAACAGCATAACTTATAAAATAATGGTCCGATCATGCCGATTTTCGAACTTGATCTGCGTTTTAGTAAGATTGATTACTCCTGTGAGCTTCATGACAACAGGCCTATGGGTTTTCCTTGAAATGTGTTAACAGTGTTGCATATATGCTGAAAAGTGAAAAAACAGCATAAATTCTACAATAATGGCCCGATCATGCTGATTTTCGAACTTGACCTGCGTTTTATGAATATTCATCAGCTATGTAAATATAAAGCCAAAAAGTAAAATTGTCTTCCACTTATGGTGTTAACGCTGAAAGTGCACGGCGACATGATCGGCGACGGCGACGGCGACGGCGACGACAGACGCAGGTGATGGCAATATGTACAGACACATCTGTGTCTGTACATAAAAATGATAATGATTAACAAGGAGTATTTACAGAAATTAAATTTGATTTTTGAAAATGGTAAGTTGGAGATCAGGGCCTGGTTCCAAGTAATTCCCCACACAGCTTTATCACAAATCTTTCATGTACTGTACTTGAAACCAAATTAAGCATTTTACAACAAAGAACATGTGGCTATTCAAACTCAATATTTTTTTGCCATTTCATATATGGTTTTAAGTAACAACTTATAAAGTTGTCCAAAATACTTTCAAACTGATAAGGTTAACCCCAAAACATGTACAACATAATATTTAGTTATGTGGAACTTTAATGTTTTAACTTTTACATTATATTAAAACCTGAATATCACGTATTTCTATGTACATGGCTATATAAAAGTTGTCAAATAGAGCTAAACTGTAAATGCCACACCACAGTTAACTTTCCTAGTATGGGCTCTGAATTACATAAATACATATAACAGTCTCTGAGTTGGTCTTTGAAAACAACCAAGTTGTACTACATTCAAAATATCCATATGTAAGTTTTCTTGTTGGCATGTTGACATTGTTATTACAAAACTTGCCACACCTTCCATTATGAGCAGTTAGCAGGTTGTGGCTATCTACATATGATTGTCAAATTCTTGAGGTATATTTTCATGGTTGGGAATGCAAAGGTCAGGTCAAACAATCCTATCAAGCGAGACTACTTTCACCAAGATAAGTTACACGTGTCATATAACCATAATGCATTTTTTTGGCATATTTTGATAGCAAAAATGGCACTGGGATGATCATCTTAAAAAACATCAGTTACTATTATGGAAGACCTGACAAAAATATCAAAGGGCTTAGGACTAACATATTAAATATTAAGTTATTATTCATTGATTCTGACATGACATTCAAGATGATATTATGGTTATGGGAGGTGTGTAATTTGTCTGTTATGGAAGACAACTAAATGTCATATTTGTGGGTGTATGAGATAAATACACAAATATCAACTTTATAAAAACATGAAAAACATATGATATGACTGATTGTGGTAACAAGTATGACACCATTATAATTGGACAAACAGCTCATGGTCAATATGGTTATAGTGAACAAACAGCCTAAACAGCAAATAATTCAGATTGATGCATGGAACTTCATGAGATTCTGATTTAAAATATTCATAAAAATGGTGGTAATGCATTTGTAAAATTATCAAAAATGATTTGCTATCAAACAATGAATATGTACAAAGAAAAAATTTGAAAACATGATTAGGGACAGCAGTCAAAATTTTACATTTTGCTGCAGAAAAAAATTACAAACATATATACAGACAAATAGACATTTTTTCATGCTCAAGATTTTTTTTTACAAAAAAGTGAAAAATTGAGAAATTTATGCTGTCTTTAAAGCAGTCTTTGATGATATGCTGTCGATATGTTTTCAAAACCAAACAATCTAAACATGCAATTCTTACATCTTCCACACACATACAATTACGTGATACAGGTGAAACAAGCCATTATGAACTCTTTTCCAGGGTGTGGCCACTCTTTCACAGCAGCCAAACAATATGTTAATATGTAGGTCCCTTCAAGTGGTGGAATGTCTGTATTGCAGCAAAGCTTAAGGTACACTGCAGAATATTTACCACCAATCTCTTATGTTTGGCAATTGCATGATGAATGACTATCCTTACTATACTCAGGGTAGATGGCCACACGTCTGTTGTCATAACCTGTCAACTTTTTTCATGTTGCTTAGATTGTTCTGCAGAATGCAAATGGACCTAAAGAGACTTGGAAACAAAGGTCGGACATCGGGTTTCTTGCTCCAGCACATCTTCATAATCTCATATACCTCTGCAGGTGTGTTGTCAGGACATGACAAGATTTTCCCTGCTTTTACATACTGCACCACTTCTTCATGTGTCATACCATAATATGGCTGTAATGCGAATGAGAAAATTTCCCAGAGCACCACTCCAAAGGACCAGATATCTGATCTTAGTGAAAACTGATTGTACAATATAGTCTCCAGTGGCATCCAACGAATTGGTATTGCATCACTCTCGTCACCTTTATAGAAATCTATTACAGAATCAATCTGCCTTGCTAATCCAAAATCTGCTATTTTCACAACCATTTCATTCCCCACAAGGCAGTTTCTTGTGGCCAAGTCTCTGTGAACAAAGTTCCTCTCAGATAAGTACACCATTCCAGCTGCTATCTGTTTAGCAATCTCAAGCTGTTGTATATGGTCTAACTTGGGAACATCATTTGTCATAGCTTCGTTGCTCCTTCGCCTAACAATGAAATGATCCGGACTACACGTGCGTAAAAAGTCATTCAGGTCCCCTCTTGCCATATATTCAAACAGTAAACACATAGGCTGGCCTATTGCACACACTCCAATTAATCTTACTATGTTTGGATGGTCAAAGTCTACCATCAGGGATGCTTCTCTTTCAAAATCCCTCCTCATATCATCAGTAGCATCTTCCTTTAACATTTTTACAGCTATCAAAGTCAACTCTTCTCCTTTAACTATATGAGGCGCTTTAGCCTGGAAGACCCGTCCAAATGCTCCTTGGCCAATGTCTTTCATATAAAGTATATTGTTCCTGGGATACTCTAGTGTTTCAAGGTGTGGGTGAAGCATTTCAATAGGACTTCGTCGATGATATGAAATGTTAGCAGGTATATCATTTAGATCTATTTCCACATCTTCTTGTGGAGGTGTATGGTATTTCTGATCCATCCTACGCACAGCAACACAGAAATAGGTGGCCACAAACACGACTAGTATCAGGACAACTCCACCACACAAAGCTCCTATGATGTAGATTGTACTAATGGGCAGAGCAGGCTCCATGACAGGAGACTGGGCACCTTCACTGGCTGGGGAGGTAGCATTCTCTGAAAATGTGAGATAACATTACATTAAACTGTAATAGAACTAATTTAAGATCATAACTTCAAATTAACTGCCACAGAACCCATTTACAATATCAAGCATAAAAGGAGGGAGCATTCTCGGAAAATATGTGATCACATAACTTGACATTAACCATAAAAGATGTACAGCCCCAGAACCCTCACCAAGTCTACAAAAGTATATCTTCTTCAGTCACTCAGAAATATTCTTGTTTAAAGTTTGAAGAAAAACAGAATGTCTGTGTTCTGGATATCCCAAGAGTAATATTACAAAAGGTTAATACTTGCAAGAAAATAAAATCTACAACATTTTGCCTTCCCAAAAGGTACACATTTCAGAAACAACAGTGATGTTTGGGTAATGTTACAGCATCCCTTACCATCACACACAGGAATATCACAGTAATCCCATCGCAATGTCTTATTAACAGTATAGCACCATGGATGTTCCACCTCTCCACCAGGATTGCGACAGTAGTTCTCAGCATTCTGCAACTCCTCAAAGACCTCAGGGACCCTGTTGTGAGTATGTGGTAGCTGAGATGACCACTTCTGACAAATTTTTCCAGATTTTGTAATATTTTTTGTGCCATTGTAGTATTGTCCATTGCCAAAGTAGCAATTACCTGGAAATGCAATGTTCACCATTACTTGATTTACAATAAGTGCAATCGATTCCATTAGAAGAAACTAATAGCTGTAAATTACACTGACATTTATGCATATTAAAACCCCAAGTCCTATAAGTTGTCATTTAAGAATGACAACAGATCCACAATTTCATACCACATAAATAATTCAATTAATGACAAGTAAAGAATGATAGGACTTACTAGTAAATTTTTTATTTTTCTTTTCAAACCACTGGATTCTTATGCAGGACTGATTGTTTTTGTGGTATTGAGGCAGGGCAGTGCAGTTTGGAAGACGGAAATGGCCGCGGTTGTGGTAAAAAATGCCCTTCTGCTTATGATCTTCTATCATTTTCCACTCGGTAAAACAGTAGAGATCCTGTACAGCCAGGCAGGTTTCCCTAGAAGAATATGCATGGAAAGAGATATTTGACATGACCAAATTAGATCACTGTAGTGCATAATCTTCTGAATATAAGAATAGAGATAAGATCAATATGCGTGCAGTTTGGACTTGGGTTCCTTTAGGAAAATGGGCAAACGGCCAGAGTTGTGATTAATTTTGATAAAATTTTGATTTGAAAATAACTTTTAAGATTCCCTTTAAAAATGAGTCAAAGAAAACTTTATTATTGTCAAATATACGAAATATATATATTTATTTTTTTGCAGACATAGTTTAAAGTTATTATATTCCAAGCATAAAAACCTACATGCAGAGTGGCTTGGGCATGTCAAATTCTTGAGATGTATCACAGTCTGGGAAAGCATAATGGCAGAGCATCTTTTCTGCTGGTCCACGACACAACTTGTCAAAGGGCTCAATCATTTCAAGCCACAGGCCTTTAACAATTTTTTCATTGGTTTCTTCTGGATTCTCAAAGGAAGTGTTAAAAAAGACAGATCTACTTCCGATGTACTTCTTACAAATGGTTCCATTATAATTTGAACAGTAGCCAGGTGGTCTGAAATATGGAAAGATGTGACATCATTATCAATACCAACAGATACAATGAATTGTTGATGTATTTAAAGGTCAACATGATAAATGATTTTCATACAACTGAATTAACAGGACTAAGACTTCGAAATAGTTGACTTGAGCTATTATGTTCATATTTTATCTTTATTGATTTTTTAGGGGGGGGGGATTCTTGTTCAAAGAATACCAGATGGACTGATAAATGAAGAAGCAGGTGGGATTAAAATAGACCACAAAGGTAAATTATAAAGAGTGCCAGAAAAAAAGTTATTGTTATTTGCTTATCTACAAAAAACTAATCAATATGAGATATAAGTGCACTGCATATGTGATCATGTACATAATGCATGAAATTAAATGAAGTGCACACTAAATGCTACTTAGGTTGTCAAGCCCAAGAAAGGTGTCAATACATCCTATTGTAAGTAGCAATATTTGGAAAAAATGGTCAAAATAAAATAATTAGGTTGCCCTACAAGCAGCTAGGTAACAAATAAAGCCATCTCAATGTCAACTTACCTTGCTGGTTCTAATTGTGGTTAAAAAAATAAAGACAAAGAACACAATTACAAGCATTAGGCAATGTGTGATATTACAAACATTAATAGTTCTTCCTATTTACATATAGCAATTGTTACACTTACAAAATGAGCCATGCTTTACAGTACACGAAAAGCCAATTCATTTATTAATATTCATACAACAGTTACATTCTTTTAACATTAAGTTTATTCCATCATTAATATGCATATCATATATTACCATACGTCATACACATAATATCAAGTTCATGTATTTTGAATACAGAACCAATCAAACATACCAATTCGTAAAAAGAAAAAAAAGAAGAAGAAAAAACTCACATACTTTGTCTCAACTAAATAGATATTACTGTGCATTTTATTAAATATAGTGACACAGAGTTTATGTATAAACAACTGTTAGAACAGAATAATACTTACCGACTACTGTCACAGTAGCAATCTGTCTCCTCCTTGTGATGCCACCTACATGTTTGTTGAAGGCCTCACACTCAAATGTAGCAGTCTCTGTTGCATTGTATAGGATGTAAGACTTGGTGTATGTATCCCCAGTGTCTTCATCAATGACCTTTATAAAAATAAACATGAATAAATTTATACAAGAAAAACTACTAATGCCAACACTTTACATCGTTCTTAAGAAAAGTCTTTCTCTTTAATCACCAATGTAAACTGCTGAGAGATTTTTCATAATCTAAAATCAAAATTTGTTTTTCATTGAAAATGAAAAGAGAACTAACTTACTGTTGATAAAAAATGTTAAACATTAAAAAAAAATTTTGTCTACTTAGCCAAGATGCAAGTTTAAACCATAAGATACTGACTTCTGCATGTCACAAATTGTAGGGGGAAAAAATCACCCTGAGGTCTAACAGTTTGACTTACAGAAAAATGTGGTTGTTGGACATCAAAATCCTAGTCACGTCAGTAAGTAATATGTCATCATCATGCAATTATTGATAAAGCCAATCATTAAATTGTAAGTACATGAAGAAAAATAGTATTATTGTGGGTCACAAAAGAAAGAAGAAAAAAATTTATCACAGATCTTCCTTTGGAGACCTAGTAACAGAACTAGTGGATTTAAGAGATACATTTTTTTCCTGATGAAAAAAAATTCAAATCAGTCAATGCCATTGCAGTCATAACTGTTTAAGGCGACATGTTTTCCTAAGGGCATCAGAATTAACCTTGTTTAACATAGCTGAAATGAATGAAAGCACAAGGTCAGCAGATGTATAATGCAGGGATCTACAGCAGAGAGGAAAAAACGATGATAGCCTACAACATGCAGACTAAGTGCTGGCTTATTCAGCAAACTGATCTGCAGAACAATATGGAAGTTCTTGCATTATATGATGCTGAGTTTTTATTTCACAATAATTACCATCTTTCTTTAAGTTTTTTTTTATCCTACAGACAAAAAGTTAATAGTTAAACAATCAGTCAGAAATTTTCATTATCTCTGCTACAAAAAAAAAACTGCAATTTTGAATTCAACTCAGGGGAGTTGTCCATTCACCTGTTAAACTGACCGCACACACATTAAATACCCATCCCCTTAACCATCATGCCTACAAAAATAACCTTTGAAAATACAGACTTCATCAGTAGCTTCTTGTAATAACAAGTATCTGGGAGGAATTTATCTCTACTAATATTATTATGACACACATATGCTAACTAACTGGTCTGCTTGACATCAAAAAACACAATAGAATTATTTACCTTGTAAATAATCTACTCAGCTATATTAACATTCACAGCCATTAGGCACTCAACCTTTCATTTTCACGCACATGTGCAAGCAAGGGGCAGGCTCAAGGATGAATATTTCCAGATGACAGCAAAACATCTTGAGGAAAACCCACATTTTAGGGAACTTCATTTTTAGCATTAAACAGAAAGGAAGTTTGAATTGGGAACCACACAAAGGAGGTATGGCTCTTCAATAAGTGCCACACCCTTTCCTCATATGTATAAAACAGTGAAAAACAGATATGTCAAAGATGCACTAAGTGCAACTGGGTCTCTTTATTCTGCACTTAACAATCTTATCATACTGTACTTTGATAGAATTGCAATGAAAGTTAATTTATCCCAAATTTCAATGCTAAAAGAAATGTTCTAGAATCCCCAGTCGTGACATAAACAAGGCAAATTAATATTAAGCAATATATTTATATATATAATAGTGAATACTTACTGGTATACCATTCTTTTGCCACAGAATGTGAGGCATTGGATTACCCACAGTACGGCACTGCAATCGCACAACAGTTCCCCACCACACCTTACGATCCTTTGGTCCATCAACGATTTCAGCTGGGGCTGAAAATTATATCAATTTATGCGCTAATATTCAACATTTACACACTGACAGTATGTTTATCATATATGCAATTGTTTATCCTTAGGGAGAGTTACAGAAAAGTTCCATCACTGGTAACAACATTCCAAATCAGGCCTTCAAAACAGTTACGACACACACAACTAGGGAACATTGATAACAACTAAAAAACCACAATATAACCAGAAAATAAAATAGTTTTTGAGTTCATGTCAATGTCCCCTGGTTGTGTACTGTAACTGTTTGGGAAGCCTGTTAAGAGTATATCATATAAGAGAATGATTACAAACATTTTTGAAGTGCTGATTAACAACAAGAAAGACTCAGTAACAGGCTATTTTTGTTGCATAGAATTACTGTACAATATATATCACACTCACATGCACGCACAAAGACACTGCAGAATATGTTATATCTTATGCAATCTCTATCTATCTAATATGCCTAAAATAATTTTCATTTTGGTCAAGTGGATTTTTTTTCAGTCAATTAAATTTGAGGACAGAAGTACTCCATGTTTTTTCTTTTTCTTTCAAAAAAGTCTTGCGCATATATGGAAAACACCTTTCACTCATAGTCACTAAATAGAGCTCTGCAAAAGGGTTCTCCAACAAAAGTGGCCAAGAATTAAATAGCTCAAAAACTGAAAATGCATGTACTCCAAAATGCTTCACCCCTACAGATCAGGGAAGAGCTTACTTAAGAGGAACAAGGTTGCATTGTTTAATAAGCAGAGCCATCGGGATCCAGGGAGAGTCTTGACCTGACTGGAACAAGTCCTGGGGTAATCTAGGCCTCTGTTTACCTAACTGCATGCACTCAATCCCAGCCCTAGTGTACTTCTCCTCTCCCATTGTTGCTTCCTTTCACTGTTCTTGGCAGGTAAATAAATGCTTACATTAACGGGTTTGAGGGAGGTGCTATTAATTAATCTAATGCTTTAACATGTTTTATATGCTTGGTTTAGAGAGACTGGGATGAAACCTTTTACACCTCAATAATATTAGCAAAAAGGCTACTCATTATGCATCACAGTCATGTAGAAAGGGAAGAAGTGGGGTAGGGAAGGGTGGAAGCAGGCAGCTATTGGGCAATGGTTCAGTTGACAATGATGCAAATGTAACTTCTAGTTCAACTGTGAACAAATTTACACCTCTCTTAATATTTTTGCACACTGCTGGATTTGATTGAATTAAAAAATACATATCTTCATTTTTGTCTCAAAACTTTAATTTTTAATTTTAATTATAAGTCAACAAGGATTTTCTTCTAGCTTGAAATTAAGGAATTTCTTTTTGAAAGGAATAAATTTATAAATTTTTGTGAATTGAACATTTTGGTTTTGATAATCTTGACTTTGCGAATTAATGATCACCAAAAGATAAAAATCACATGTAATGTATTAATGACATTCACACAACACTTTTTCGGTAATATTGAAATTTCAATTTCTTACTTGGCGAGATAGTAATCTTGCATAGTCGAGTTATAGTTGGCCAAGGATGATTCAAAATCTGAATTGATTTTAATTTGGTCTAAGCCGATTTAAAATCTGATTGGATTTCAATATTGATTGCGACATGTATACGTGTATTTTTTGGTGATTTTAATCACAGGAATCATGTAAGACAATATGAATTGATATTTCAGGAAGATTTGTAACAGTATACACTACCTGGGGTACCAAGTGCTTGAACAGAACTATTTACTGACAGAGTCTTCATATTTGAGAATTCTTGAGCTTTATTCTATTGCTATAAGTATTCAGAAATATAAGCAATTTGTACAAATTATTTTCTGTTGTGTAGATTTGATGTGACCATGTCTCATCAAAACCTTACCTTGAACCAACACGAGAACATATGGAGAGTAAACCTCTCCTTGTCTGTTGGAGGCCAAGCATCTATACCAGCCACTATCACGGAGGGAGAGATGGCGGATTTTGAGTGTTCCTGATGGCAGGATCCTATATTTGGAGCCAAAGTTGTAAAGAAAAGTTCCATTTTTCTGCCATGAGTAGCGTACTGTAGAGTTCCCTGTAGCAGCACAGTGAAGGGTGAGCTGGGAGACAGAGGTGATCAAAACAGTTCTGTTCTGGGGTGAGGTAGTTATCACTGGACCTAAAATTGGAGCAAAATCAAAATTATTAGTTCACGCCACTTACTCATTGGTACATTTTAAGTTTTACACCCAACTTGTTTAACTGCCTGGTTATGTGAAGCAAAATGTTTTAATGATTAAAAAATGATAATAATAAAACAAATCAAAATAAAATTCATAAATTAAAGGCAAAATTTACATAATTACAAACAGCAGATTCCACGATGTAAAAGAAGTCAACGCAGGCCTGTAAAACACCAATGTTACATTATAACCAAACTTAAAGCAGCAATCTTACAGACCATACAGAGAGAAATTATGCATGCAACATGAACACTGGCAACACTGAGCACCTAATGAGCACTTATTGAGATAAAATCTGCCATTTTGCAACAGTTTAATGATCAATAATTGTTTTGATTTTAAAAAATAGAAAATAAAGAAAGGTGCATCAAATTGTGTTAACTACACAAAGGAAAACAAGGCAGCAAAGCTGTCAAATGTACAGACAAAAAAGAGGAAATAACTATGCACAAAATAGGCTACTGTCAATTCTGATGCAAAAGTACATTCCTTAAAATGTGTTTAGGGTGTTGCATATATGCTGAAAAGTGAAAAAACAGCATATCTTCTACAATAATGGCCCAATCATGCTGATTTTCGAACTTGACCTGCGTATTAGGAATATTCACCAGTTCTGTAAGTTTCAAGCCAAAAGCAGAAACGGTGTTCCACTTATCGTGTTATCGGTAAAAGTGCACGACGTCGGCAACGGCGACGACGGCGACGACAGACGCAGGTGATGGCAATATGTACAGACACATCTGTACATATTTACTGTACTGTTTGAGAACAGTAAGTGACATGGTTTTTCTTAAATGGTCATCATGGGAGCAGTGCCCAAAATAGGTTTTTTTCAAATTTTGATGCAATATTACATAATGTTTAACAGCATAATGACCATCAATTTTTAATAATAAAATATTAGTATCATGGATATTCAGAAAATGTGACTAGCAAAGGTCTTCAGGCCCATGGAACTTCAAAGTCACAACTTGAAAATGCCAAAATGTAAACAAGACAGCACTGTTCTGAAATGTTTTTTTTTCCATTTTTAACAATTTTTAACATAAAACAAAATTAACAGTTTACTGCCATTTTTATATGATCAACTAAGAAAATTGATGAGATGGGAAAAATATCAATAGAACAGTGTTAAATGTCCAATTTCCTCCATTCTGAGATTCTGAACATAGTGAATGATTGAATCTGACAAACTGCAATGATATGAGTTTATTTCCATTTTTGACACTTTATTACACAATACATGATAACAAGTTTACCATCATTTTTACATAATCAACTAACAATGTTGTAAAGATGCAGGAAATGTCAAACAAACACTTTTACGTATCTTATTAGTTAAATAATGAGACTGTTAACATGCCTAAGAATTGAATCTGAGGAAATGTGAAAAAACAGCATAACTTCTAAAATAATGGCCCGATTATGCTGATTTTCGAACTCAACCTGCGTTTTAGTAAGATTGACCACTCCTGTGAGTTTAATGACAATTGGCCCATCTGTTTTTCTTATATTGTGTTTACGGTGTTGCATATATGCTGAAAAATGAAAAAACAGCATAACTACTAAAATAGTGGCCCGATCATGCCGATTTTCGAACTTGACCTGCGTTTTAGTAAGATTGATTACTTCTGTGAGTTTCATGACAACAGGCCTAACGGTTTGCCTTAAAATGTGTTTACAGGGTTGCATATATGCTGAAAAGTGAAAAAACAGCATAACTTATACAATAATGGCCCGAACATGCTGATTTTCGAACTTGACCTGCGTTTTATGAATATTCATCAGCTCTGTAAATATAAAGCCAAAAAGTAAAACTGCCCTCCACTTATCGTGTTTACAAGGAAAGTGCACGGCGCCGGCATCGGCATCGGCGACGGCGACGGCGACGACAGACGCAGGTGATGGCAATATGTACAGACACATCTGTGTCTGTACATAAAAAAAGGACTGATTTCTTTTTTTTGATAAACTACATTTCACTTCATAATTCTCAATATTTCTTGAAGCATTCATCTAAGATCTGGAAAGGATGTTATTGCCTTTTTTCTTCTTTTTTCATTTTTTTGTACCAGCAATTGACGTCGACAGCATGCTGACAGCATGATGCAAAAAAATAGCAATCATTATACTCTTGTGAGCTTGGCGTCACTCACACTGGTAATAAACTTCAAACTGATATCCTTGTTGCCCTGTAAACAAGTGACATTTGCTCTGAGCACTGACCCCCCCTCAAATCTATTTAGCTGCTTATAACCTTAGGGATAATATAATACAAAACATGACATACACAAGTTGCCAGCCCTCATCTCTACCATAAATACTAATTACTATTACTTGATCCATGACAAACTTTCCACCACTTAAGAAGACTCTCAAAAGAATTATCTAGTTCAAGACTGCTGACTCTTTTGTGACTGTAACTGGCAAAGTTTTTTTAGTGAATAGGAGCAGCATTTTATGGCAATACATAAGGGTCATCTGTCTCACTCATCTTAATTTGTAAAAAAAAAAAAAAAAAAAAAAAAAAAAATTCTGACTGGCCATGGGGCACTTGGCAACACGTCCACCCTTGTGCCAACTGGCCTCAGACAATTTTCTTTGTTATAAATCTTAAATTATAAAGAAGAAAAAAAAAGAGGCAACAAAAATTCAAAAGAATTTTACAGCAGACATTTTTTATAACAAAACATGGTTAGACCACTGGTCTACCTTTAACTCTAAGCAAAATATAATTTTCTGAAGTATTCATGAAAATTGTCAAATTGCTTGATGAACATTTTACTAATCTACATTTATTTCAAGAATACAAAAATTATTTTAAAATTGAGATAACGTGATCAGACTAAATATAAAACTTGAAAAGACAAGTTATACATGGATAGATTTCTATGGACACTTACACCATCATCGAGGTGCCTTATTTTTTTTAATTCAACTTAAATTTAGAAATTTAATTTTAATCATATGGTCAGTCAGGATCTCTGGACAAGTTTTAAGTTTTATTTCAACAGCTGCTTCTGATTACAACCAAAGTTACATATCAGTTATCTATCAATTACCATACTTGTTAGGTCACAATCATTCAAAATAATGTACTAAAATAAATGGATAAATTATCCAAAAGACTAAAGTATTCCATGGTGAGATTTGACAGAAATTCTTTGTAACACTTCTTTATTTAAACAAAAAGCTATAAAATGGATTTTTTACATGAAATAAAATTTACACTTAACGGGCAATAACACCTCTCTCTAAAGTCTTCACACATATTTACAATAATATCTCTCACATAACCTGCAGTGTAGAAAGACAATTGTTCCACCTAAACAACTTGAATATACAAGAAACAAAAAAAGAATACCAAAAAGTGTATTTTTGCTCCCTTGCTTAGATAAATAGGAGTGTCAGGAATGACAGTACAATTCAATGCCAGAGGATAATACACCACTCCTGGGTATTCCATTTTGATTGGTAATATTCAAAGCCTCTCTTCCTAATGATCTGTCTGAGTAATCACTTGTCAACTAAATCAACACAACCAGATGTTGGAAATGCTAAACGAGCCCTTCTATTTCTTTCTTTTTTAACCACATCTCTTATTTCTGCTGATTTTATAAACGTTCCCAAATGAACAAGTGGTATTCCAAGCTAACAATAACAACTCTTTTTCTTCTTTAGTGAAAAAGCACAACAGTGTTCTTAACACAAAGTGTGAAACCCTTCAGGACATCTCATGCTAGCTTAATGCAAAGGAGAGACTGAAACCAAAAAGTGTAGTCTGGCATAACAATACCACACTTGTACATAATCCTGAACTACATAAGAGCTCTTTTTTCAAAGCTGAAATCCATGTAGATCCTTTGAACTTGATGAAAAAAATTGTAGGCTAAGAAATCTATGTGGGTCTTCTAGCCCTTTTCCCTCCTTCAAAACTGACTGGGATTTCTAATTCTCTGGTGGGTCAGATTTTAATGACTCAAGCTTGGTGGTCTAGATGATCTAGAATTAGGAGCCTGATGTGCGTGTATTAAAAGCTAATATAAGCTTATTAACTCCTAGACTCACAGTCCCCAGATATAGTGAAATAGAGATATTTTACCAAATTTACCTGGAAATTGGTTTATACAATCAAATTTTGGGAGATACCTTTGGTGGCAAGAAAAACAAGCTTTGCTAAGGCAGTTGATGTTATAGATCAATATCTTAACAGTTTCTGTATGTTACTTCCATAATTCCTTTTCAATCTCCTGTGCCAGAGTATAATGCTGAAGAGATATCTACAAACACCTGATATCTTGCATACACATACACCTGACAGATTGAAAGCTGCTTTTCATTTTCTCCTACACTACACAAAATTTGTTTACTTCATGGGTTTCCAACTTTGCACACCCTGTACAGATAAAATTACATCAGTACTAGTGTTTTCAAAACTCTAGTTCTAAACCAGTATTTTCACAAAGGTGGAGCATGATTTAACCTGGTGACAAACATCCCTGTGGTTTTCCTTCCTGCATTCAGTAGCTGTCACTCACTCACTTGGTGACAAACAATGGTTAGCTGTTCTATGGAGGGGACACCCACACACATATTTGTCACAATAACAGGGGCAGTTCTGAGTGTGTATTGATCGATCATTTAATGAACAAGTACACATTTGGCCATGGGATATAATATCAAGTCACTTAAACTGTTTTTCTTCAACCAAGCCAATGTAGTTAAGATCCTGATTAATGCAGAAAGCAGATGTATGCTACCACATCAAATCATTCAGAAGTGCATTTGCTTGCATTTATTCTTTGGATAAGCTTCTTTTTCTGATATTCTTTTTTTTTTCTTCAAAAATGTTGGCAGTTTTGTGCCACAGAAGATTTTCTACATAATATAGCAACTGCCTCATAAATACACACAAAGGGAGCTATTTTGCTCTATCTCATTCAGGAACGTATAATTTTGCACAATATACTTTCATTTAAGATGATGTCTTTCTTCTTTCTCTCCTTTCTAGAACAAACTCAACAGTTTCTTGCAGTTCAATGTTTTATAATGAGGTAAAATTAACCCTCTTAAGTAATCCAGGATTACCAATTTGCAAGGTAATTTTCTTTTGTTTCTCCAATATCAATTCACAACTTACATAATTGCAATTTAAGGTAAAAAAAGAATTTATGAAATATATACAAATGTTTACCATTTGTTAATTTGCACATGTACTATAAAAGATATTTCATTCACCTAAAGGAAATCAAGTTTTAAATAAAATAAACAATAAAATGACTTCAAGTATCTAGTCATAAGTTTCCATCTGAATTTCTAGCAGAGTGATGCAGATTGTTTCAAATTTACACATAATAACTGAAAAGAAAATCTTTCATCCATACAGATGTACATTTATAATCTCATAAAAAACATAAACATGATGTGTATTAAATTTGACCATAAATTTGAAATGGAATGGAACTGGAACCATAAAAGGGAGGTGCCTAAATGGGAAGGGAGGGACCCAGGTGAGAGTACTGCAGTTAACGATTACAGGTTGTAGCATAACAGAAAAACCAGAAAAGTCTGAACAAACGTACATCACATGATTCAAAGTTGCTGCCTTACCGTAAAATTACATGTTACAGAGACACGGCTAATTACTTATTTTTTACAAAATAGTTTTGAATAATGAGCTAATTAGCTCTACCATTGCACCGAATGACCTGCTACTACTGTACTTGTGCCATGTTGAAGCAGTGCCAATGGCTGACAAGTAACTCTCAAATGATAAAAAAAATAACATTAAGTTTAAGGCAAACATATACATACCGACATTCTGGCTTGCAACAATCTTCATACAAATGAAGAATAAGATCAGTTGCTTCATTTTTCCATCACTGAATATGTGACCCAGATTTCATGCCCCGCCATCATCTTTAGTTGTCAATTTCTCCCTGAGAGCTCTCGGAGTCGACTGCGTCTGATCTATATACGTTGGAAGACAAAGCGTATGCCAAACAATGCATCTGCGGTGTGTTACTTGCTACATGAGTCTATTTTCAAAATACTTGACTAAAGTGTATTTGCTTCATGTTTCCCACTGTAACTTAGCTAACAGCAGATACGCGCTCCTACTCAAGTTTGAGTGATGTCTGATCTGCGCAGAAATGCTTCGTTTCACCGTCACACTGCGCATAACAAATGCACATGGCGGGCTCCAACGTGAGCATACGCACTGCGTTGTAAGCTCACTTACTGTAAGACATGGGAGACATGAGCCGTGATCGGGTGGCATTTTTCGCCCTGAAGTTAGATTTTTTTTAAATTAAAAATTAAAAATGTATTAAAATATTCGTGTTTACATTTAAAACGATTTATGAGACAAAAAGGATTTATAATTTCATTGTGTGCGAAGATGCAGACTTGTTAAAAAAACAAGGTACCGGTACTGTGTCAAAGATTATTTTCCAACGTCGTCAATGATTTAACAAATATTCCACTTCTGCATATTTGCCTTCATTCACTGTTCATTAATTGTCAATAAGTTAAACAAGTGCTTAAGCTAGCTTAAGTTTGCAGTATATGATCTTGCAAATTTGCTGCTACTTTGCCAGAATATGCTTTCTTGCAAACCTGCTGCAAACTTCAGTTGTTATTGCAAATTTGCAGAAATACACATTTTTCTTGCAAACTACACTTGCCGTAAAATTTTTAGTTTTCAGCAAATTTGCTGCAATTGTGCCGCAGTATTGCTGCAATCTTTTGCTAAGGGTATTCATTATCAACATATTGTTATGTACCTTTACATATACATATGAGATGAATGTCCTAAACTTATATAATTTTGTACACTTAATTCAAGCGTGGGCTCGAAATAGGACATTACGTTTTAGACTTACTTAGTGGATAACGCGATCCAAAGATTCCACAGTTCGTGTCAGATTTACGTAAGGTCGCGCAAAGAAAACCACATAATCCACATAATGACCAGTTTAATGGTTTATTAGTTGGCGATCCCTAACTACATGTTCTACGTGAAGCCTCCAACTTCTAAGCCGTCTCCCATGGCTCCGTCGAGCGGTCACCTCCGAGTCTTCTGCAGTCTCACCTCCAATATTATTTCTAGACATCTTTTATACGTATTTCTTATCTATAGGTGGATTCTGTGCTGCAGTATTTGGCGGTACATACTAATTTTAATTATTCAAATTGCACACGTCCACTTAAGTTACATGACTACAGGTAAGGCCATAAAACGAGTCGAGTGCACAAGCAATCGACTCTAATCAAATTAATTTACATGTCTGGGAATTATATTTGTGAACACTACAATATGGAAAATGAGGTTTTTCCTGCATCTTAATATTCAATAATGCATCTATCTTTGTGCTGATTTAAAACAATAAATACCTATGAAAATATAAAATATAGACGTTTATATTTGTACCACCAGCGCGGCGCTGGCACTACACATGGTTTTGATCTGGACCCGTCTCGTCTGCGATATATGCCGCCATGTCACAGTTATGGGTTCTCCTCCTAGATTACAACAGCCTTTGTACCCACTTTGCAAATTAAAATTAAATGCTATTTCTGCCAAACCAAAGGAATTATGGGAAAAATTACTGCAAATGGCTAACTGAAGGTCATAATCTTACTGCAATCTTAGGTTTGACCTTTTACTTTTCCCCACGCTTTTGTTATAAATTGTAATTAAAAAAAATTGAGAACTTTTGTTTACATGCTTTTTGCAGAGCTTGTCAAAAACAACACTGGAGGTGGTATCCCCCCCCTTTTTTTTTTTTGGTTTTCCATACCTGTGTGCTTACTCTAGCTGGTGGTACCATACCTGGAGGCGGTATCACCTCTCTGATCCTCTAGTTCTCATTGCAATGTATAAGCGTAGACAACTCTAGGGTTTAATCATCATTTTAACACTTTCTATTTTGAAATGAGACAGCAATCAGAATGGGGTGTAACTTCATCCCTGAACAAGATTTTACCTCGAAAATTGGTGGAGTTGACCATGAGTGAATGGGCTGCAATCCAATGCCATCATTTTGGTTTAAATGTTTTTGTTATGGAGTTATGAGCCCCTCATTACAGACTTTCATTACACCAAGGCATTATTTTGCTTTATCAACTATGAAATCTGAACTAAGACTTTTAGAAAAATCACTGGTAGGGGTTTGGAATACTAAATGGTGTCATTAAATCAGCATTCAAACAGTGATTGTGGGTGCTCAGGTAAAAGAGAAATTTGGAGAACTGATTTTTCAGTTTTTCCTCCAAAATGGCAATAATGACTTCACCTGTAAGATGACAGATGTAAATATTAATTAATTTAGTCACTGGACACTGAAGATTTATCTATTTCCCAAATGGATGTATATGTATGTAGGGCAGTAAATAGAGTTTTGGGGGAAGGGTGACAATATTCTTAAGGAAGATGAATTTCCCATTCCTTTAAAGACAAATGCCAACTTCACCCCTTCTTTAGTTCAAAAACTGTATACATTTTTTCTAAATCAAAATTTAATTGGTAAGATGTTTCATGCCATCACTCACAAATATGGGCCTTCACTTATCAACATATATTCAATTTCTGAGAGCTGCTGACTACATCCACAAACTGACCCTTGGTAATAGATCTATAATTTTTCATAAGAGGCATAAAACATTTTACTAGGTATCTAAATGGCAGTTGACAAAATAGGTTTTGTAATCCCTTCCTTGCACACACAAGGGCATGAAAATAATGACAAAAAGAAGTGAAAGGTGGAATACGAAAACGTTTAATGTATGAGTTTGAGCAAGCAAAGCAATTTTACCTTTGCTTGTAATTAAAAAAAAGTGATTGGCATTTATTAGTTCATCTTTAATTTGTTAGTGCACATGGGCATACTGAGCAGCATCAAATACTTCAACACTTTATCAATTATGTAATTAAAAAAATAGAAAAAGACCTAAAACACATATCAAATTTATACAGAAAAGAAGAGGCAAAAGGACAAACCTCTATTTAGTAGGGTTTATTTCACAAGCAATTGGCAGTGTTGTGGCCATAGTCTCACCCTGCAAGGTCTGGTAGAGTAAATATTAAATCTACGGAAAGATTGCTATTGGAATAACCAAAATTGATTGGAAACCGCAAGGTATAAATAATATTCTGGGTCGTATTCGTATGTATAATTAGGTTTCCACTAAACGTATGGCTGTAAGATATATATATCAATTATAACTGCAATGTGTAATAAAGACAGTGTATAGCTTCTGTTAAAAAATTCTTTTTGCAATCTTTTATAAAGACAGTGTATAGCTTCTGTTAAAAAATTCTTTTTGCAAACTTCGAATCAAAATGCATTGATTTACAAAATAGTGATGCCACAGTCACATAAAGATCTTAAAACTGGAATGCTGTGGTTTCCGTATAAGTGTAGTTATATAAAAGTCATTATTGTATGCACACTTCGCTGACAGTTGAGAGCTATGGAAATTTGATACCTATTCCAAACTGAAGCCCTGGATTCACACTGGAAAGAAAACCATTTATTATTAGTAACAAATTATCTACAGAAAAGTTGACATGGAATTCTAATAAAGGATAAAAGTCCAAACACACAAATTCAATATCTGTAATCTTTGATAAAACTTACTGAAATGTCATTTCCACTGGAAAAGGAGTTAAAACCCAAAATATGAAGAGCCACTTTTATCCCTTAAGAAGTTTTCACAATTTTCAACAAGGCTTGATCTATGAAGTCATCATATACCTGTAAATTAGCTATCAATTTTCCAAAACAGTCAAATAACTAAGATCTTTAAAGTAGTCTTTAAACCACTAAAAAGTATCCTTTGAATCTTTTTAAGAGCTTATAATTTTTTCAAATGAAAATAAAGNTCGAAATTCATGGCACTTTACCGTATGTATCCGATTTGAAATACACAATAATCATATCTCCGATTTTTAATACACCCACACACATCAACCCAACATACACTTTTGCATCTTGTATATACACATACATATACAGATGTATATATATGGTTTAAGTACTATATCCCTTCAAAAAAAAGGTTTTCCACGTGTCCAACTTTTTTCAATTTTTTTTTAAAAAGGTTTTCCACGTGTCCAACTTTTTTCAATTTTTTTTAAAATCTAAAGTATTCTGAGTAATATTTCTTTCTGCCATTAATTTTTCATTCATATACAAGCTTAGAGAGTGCAAGTTTGTTGCTTCGGCTCTTTTTGATTTGCAATAAATGTAGAATTTGGTTACATATATAATAAAGCTGATTAGGTTAAAACCACTGGAAGTATAGCCAAAGATAACATTTTTTGATTAAATAATACTTAGCCTTTGTTCACATGGAAAGTCTATTTTCTAAAAATCTATTTTCTATTCACGATATCTTATGATCACGGTCTGTGCCCTGAATATCCCGCGGCGTAATTACTGGCAGCGCGAGCCAGTTACTTATACAAAGCTGTAATTAATTCTCAGCTGTGCTCGCATCCTATAAAATCTCATCCTCCGTTGCCGCATCGCTTGCCATCGGATCATGATGGTTGCACTTGTATCTGTCGTGTGTATAGCTTCTTCATCTTCTTTGTCTTGTTGTTGCACAAAATCGACAAACACATTTTTCAAAGCAACCGTGATCGCCATTAACTTTCTAACTTCCTACTGCGCATGCGTCAAGGTATCAGAATCTCCTCCGAGCACTGCCGAGAATTAATTACAGCTTTGGAAGTAACTAGCTCGCGCTGCCAGTAATTATGCCGCGGGATATTCAGGGCACAGACCGTGATCACAAGATATACCGCGAATAGAAAATAGATTTTTAGAAAATAGACTTTCCATGTGAACGAAGCCTTAGTTACAGTCTTTGCAAAAATTAATTGTTCTAATTTAATCCACAGATATCTTACTATGTGGCAAAAATATAAAATATGCTCCATTTCTTCCCTCTCTTCTCCACAAAAAAAAACATACGTCATTTTCTATAACAGATATTCTTTAAAGGTAAGCTTTCACAGGTAAACTTTAATAGATAAATTAATGTGGCTTGCAGAGTTAATGACCCAAGTGCAGCGGATATGTGGTGTACTCATACCTTCTACCAGGGCGACTCTGTTACATTAGGCCAGGAGAAAATGATTAACTGCAGGAGCTCGGTGAGAGCTGGGCTTTGTGCCAATGTAATTAACGCTTGTTACACAACCTGCCTTGTCTTGTCTGTCTGCTAAAGGGCTGTTTTATTGTCACAGATTAACAATAAACTATCTTGATTACTGTCAAAGGGACTTGGCAGGGACTTGCTAAGTGACTGTGCCTGAGTAGTTATGCAAACAATTACAAGCCATGTAATCATCTTTGAGATTTCAGAACAGGGTCACAGTGCAGATATTAGCCATCTATTTAACCAGAGACATATCTAGTGTCTATGTATATCATGTCTAGTGAAAAATCAATCTGTGGCCCTGGTAGAGGGTAGTGTACTTGCATGCTTTCTGTTGGCTTGTTGTTAATAATACATACTGAAATCCACATTGACTAATCCTCCTGCATTAACAAAACAGTGTGTCTTGATATGTTTCCCAATCCCTCCAAGGTTGGGGAGGAATGGCAGTGGTGTGTACAAATGCAACCCTCCTAACCAATATGAATTAGCACCAAGTGAATTCCCTGTAAAAAATCAGATTTATAATTTAAATACAATTCTGAGACTTTTGTACTGGAACTATCAAACTAGTTAAGTTTCAATATACTTATTGTGTGACATCAATATATGTCAAATTGTATATAAGTACAGTAATGTCTATTCACTTGGTCTAATATGAACAAGAAAGCATTCACAGAATAGTTTTTACCATCACTAGTTGGTCCCACGCCGTTGATTTTAAATCCTCGTAAACTGAGTGGTCCTCCCAAGAAGTACTTGTCACTAACTTTGACTGCTGTGCCATTTAACGACCTTAACACACCACTACCAATATTTAGCTGTAAACTCTGAAATTTGGATTAAAAGTTGTAGTTTCTATTTGTAATAACCTTCTATTGAAAAAAAATTGGTACATTAATTTATATTAAATATAGTGCCACATAATAAATCCATAAAGACAAAAGCATATTTTAGTTACTTTGTCAGAGATGTATTTACAACATACAACATTTTCAGCCATTTTCAAGATTTTTTCCAATTTTTATGAAACAATATTTATTTTGAAAGTGAATCATGTACTGCTTCACAAAATCATAAAACCATTGTTAAGATACAAAGTGCTCAAGTAAATGAAGAAATAACTTACTGCGCCAAATGGAAGAGATTTGTTCATTTCTAGTTCTAGGTCATTCTTTAAAAACTTGACATCACCCCCAACTCCTGCATATTCCTAAATTTGAAAAGTTCGATAAAATTAAAATAAATATTGCCAATTCATACTTTAAACAATTACGCGAGTGGAGAATTCTTAACTTCAAATGAGGCAGAGAGGGAGAATATTAACAACACACACCAAAACAAACACACACACACACACATGCATGCATACCTGTGTTGTTTTCAGTCTGTAACCACTTTTTGGAAAAGGTGTTGTTCCCCTTCTGTCTCTAATGAGTGTATGCTACAAATAAAAAGAAAAAACTACATCCAAACACAATTTATGTGCCCATGAAATGGATGTGGCAAAACCTGCCAAGTCATATATACAAGCTTTCAGAGATCAGCTCTCTACAACAGTAATTTCTTGACCTAAGTGACAGTACAAATTGTCTTTATTACACCTTTGCACAAACCATAGTGGGGTATTTATACTGAACAAAAATATAAACGCACGAAAGAATATGTTGATTTATTTTCGTGCATCGAACTTAAATATATAGCCAACAATAACAACATATTTTCCTCAACAAATAGACATCACTTTGAGAGCATTACGGGAAGTTTAAATGCATAGTCCAAGAGTTAGGGCATAAACTTCACCATGGGGGTCAAAATCCAAGTTCACAGACACTAATAACGAGTATGGCCACCATTAGCTTCAAGCAGAGCAGCACACCGATGACGCATGGACATCACTAGGTTGTCAATAGTGGCCTGAGGGATATTATCCCATTCCTCCTGGAGTGTTATTCGCAGTTGGCAGCATTCTCGGGAACTGGAACATGACGGCGTACACGCTGATCCAGAACATCCCACAGGTGTTCAATGGGCAACATATCAGGCGAATACGGCGGCCAGTTGAGGACAGGAATATTCATTAGAGTGCCACAAATGTGCCACAAATGGTGCAATGATGGGTTGCAATATCTCATCGCTGTATCGTTGGCCATTCAAGTTGCCAACAATAAAATGCAAGCGTGTGCGCTGTCCATAGCAAATACCGGCCCATACCATTACACTACCTCCACCATGAGCCACCCGTCGAAGGATATTAGCATCGGCAAAATGCTCACCAACACGGTGTCTGCCATCAGCGTGGTGCAGCTGGAACCGGGATTCATCACTGAAGAGCACTGTCCTCCACCGTGCAAGTGTCCAGCGCACTTGAACATTGGCCCAATTCAATCGGGTCTGACGTCGGACCGCAGTGAGGTCGAGGCCCCGGTGTGGACGACGTGCTTGAAGTCCAGCCTCCCGCAGACGGTTCCTTACTGTCTGGGCTGAAAGACGCCTGTTTTGACGACTTACAGTCCTGGTTGCTGGTCGGAGCCGAAGTCGTAGGTGCAGATCCTGAGCGGGTGTGGTAACACGCGGTCGGCGGGCATGTGGGCGGTTCCTAGTGCTACCAGTGTCTCTGAAGCGTGTTCTCAGACGGCTGACAGTGGAATGGTGCACATTCAGGTGTGCTGCAACTTCTGTTACCGACAAACCAGCATTGAGCATGCCAATGGCTCGCTCCCTCATGATTTCAGACATCTGTGGCATGTTGACAAGTGACAGAAATGCACATTTTGGTTTGCCCTTTTATTGCCTGGACTGTAAGGAGTGGCTGTGTATTGGTCAAGCAGATTGACCACCACTCCTTCATGCTCCATTAGTCTTGTGGGTGGAAAAACTGAACCTTTGAGTATACTCATGGGGAGCAGCCAAGTGGAACCAGACCACTATACTTGATTAAAACAAATCCATCAATTCACAAATAAACCATCAACCTGAGCATATTTCATGATTATCAATTTCAACTCACCATTTTAGTTTCATGTGTTTATATTTTTGTTCAGTATATATGTCACTCATAAACCTTTAGTAAGCATAAGTAAACATTGCAGCATACTTGTCAGTAGAAAAAATCTCTTAAATATCAGACACTTTCAGTCATTCAGATTTTCCCATTATTATTTTTTTTTTAGAAAATGAACACCTACTGATATGGAACTTTTCATGGAATGTCCCATACTTTCTCGTATAGGGAAAGAAGTTTTGTGATTCAGGCAATTGGCTTCCCTCCAAAATCCATTCCACTGCAATGTGTGTGTACCAAATGCACTTGGGAACTAAAAATACCATGTTGTTTGTTGAAATGACTTTAAAATTTTTTTTTTAAATATCAAGATGCAAAATGCACAAATAAATAAATGCCAAAGACTATTTAATTTGTGAAACTGATGAGCAACATTATGCAATTTGATTTACATTATGATTTACTAAACACATATCAAATATTTTTTAAGTACCATTAAACCGGAATAAATCCCTCTGTCAATCTGCTTAAAACCTGCCCATTCTTGTGTTCCTCTGTATTGCTGAATACCCAAAGAATATCTGAGAAAAAAAAAGCATCAGGTCAATAGTTATAACTTCCAAATCTCAACAATCTGACAATTTATGAATTAACAACATTTAGAGTACAGTAAGTCATTCAGTTTGCACATGAGAAAATATTCACTTACAAAACATCAGGATCCCCTCCCAGAGGTTTGGTAAATTTGAGGTTAATCCTAGAAGTTGTAGCACCATAAGAATAGAACTGGTAGTCAAGCATGGTCTTCTCTGCTCGGCCAAAAAGGTTGCGAAAGTGAATCTGCATGTCCTGGTTTACATAGACAGATAAACAAACCATTATGAAAAAATACTGTTAATGTCAAGTCAGTGGGCATGTATATTTAATTTAAAACTGGAAACAGTCAACGTATCTTGGATATGCTGACAGGACCTACAGGTCAACTTGAAATTCATATTAAAGTCTTATATATTGATTAACACTTGAATAAAAATATCAAATTTTTGCTAGCATATACTGACTGGGGTAATATTTCCATTGAGATCTGAATTCATGTGCATTCCTCCATTCATTGTACGCCCCTCCTTTACATTAACAATCAAGGAATAACTATCTGGCTTACTACTGTCTGAAAAGAAAAACAACTTTTCTTGAGATGCATATGTGTGGACATGTGGATCCACATAGGTGATTATATAGATTTATTTGTGATAGCACTACAACTCGTAAGGATTTCATATTACTTATCTTTATTAACTTCTATCACATGTGTGAAATTATACTTAATGGATAGTCACTTTAACTCCAACTCTTACTTATCTAGTGTGATTTACAAAATAATACCATTGGCAGTATCCAGTTCAACTTTAGTAGCACTGAAGATATCCAGTCTTAAAAGTCTCTCACGGGCTTCCTCGGCTTTCCTGTACACCTATAATACAGTAACATGTTATGATATTGTAATTTAATCCATAACTATACTTTCCACTTAGGTTTATTCTCATTAACAAGATGAAAATATAGAGTTCAAATATTTCTGTTCAAATACATTGAGGTGTAAAGCTACATAGCCTTACATCTGTCTATAAGGCATACAGGCACATTTACCTCATACAAGTTCTCTGCTGTGAAAACACCTGGAAACTGTTTGAGGACAATATCATCTTTTGTTTTATTTAATCCCTTTACCATCACCTTCTCAATCCGGGCCTGAAAAATAAATGACTATATTTGACAAGGAGACTGACATAAAATTTCTATTTTGTTATCAAGAAGCAAAAATGAAATTCCATTCAATAACCTTTTCTACTAAGCAGTTTTAAAATACCAAACTACATGTACATATCTGTGCTACATTATTTAAACTGATTGAAAAATACCTTTTTAGACATAAAAGTTTTGTTTATTGGCAAGTAAACGTTTCCTTCCATATCCATCATGATGTTCATTTGGTCCTCCTAAATAGAAATGTTTCATAATTAGAGCTTAATTATTAATGTTAATACTTGCATTGCATGTACTATAGCTGCTATGAAAAACTTAACACTGATCTAGTCTGTTTAAAAGTTTCAATGTTCACAATGAACTGTTATGGTAAAAGTAAAAGAAATAAAGCATCATACTGCTACCGAGTCTGAGAAGGCCTTGCCACATAAAACACTAATTAAACAAAAAATTGTCTGTCTCCTTGGCCAATATGTAATGTGTGTGGAGGGGAATGTGTGTGTGTGTATGCATGAGAGCATACGTTTGAGCGTACATGCATCCGGGGGACGGGCATCTTATGCCATGATACTGTACGACTTGCAAGCACATGTTACATGTACATACAGCACTTGCCTCAGGTTTCGGCCTTACAAGCTCACGGTACCCTTACCGCTGGTAAGGCCTCATAGCAGTATGTACAAAAACCTTGAGACACTTAAGTACCTCGAAATGTCCACGTTCTGACAATCTCTGTGGGTCCTCCGTTGTACCTTGTAGTATGTAAATCCAATTAAAAGTTTTTTCGTGTACCTTCAGGCACGATGTTCATAAAGTTTTGGTCATTTTATTTCAGCTTCCTACTGCACTGACACAACAGCACGCCATATTGTGGTACACTTGCGGAAAGGACGACCACCTTTTCAAGGTCGACCTCGAAATGGAGTTGACCTGTTTCATGTTTCCAATGTAAACTTTTAGCGCCCTCGGGTGACGAGTTGTGAAAAATGGTGTTTGATCCATGTAGGTGACCTAGCTCCAGTTTATAATGTTTTACAAGCATTTGGCCATCCATTTACGCTTCTGTCGAATTTGGCCTACCATTGCTTTAAAAACTACATGAAAAAAATATTTCAGAAATTTTATAATGATAGTATTTTATAGCAATAAAATATATTTAAAAATCACGTTTTGTTTTTTTTTTATTATAAGTAGTATTATATTTTCGCCCTTAATCAAAATACATACATGAATTACATTAAAAGGAAAAAACGTTTTACTTATTTTTTTAGGAAGCTGAAATAAAATGACCAAAACTTTATGAACATCGTGCCTGAAGGTACACGAAAAAACTTTTAATTGGATTTACATACTACAAGGTACAACGGAGGACCCACAGAGATTGTCAGAACGTGGACATTTCGAGGTACTTAAGTGTCTCAAGGTTTTTGTACATACTGCTATGAGGCCTTACCAGCGGTAAGGGTACCGTGAGCTTGTAAGGCCGAAACCTGAGGCAAATACAGCACGTACAATTTATCATTATTTACCAATCAAAGACAATAAGCATGCAATTACTGTATAAATCGAAATGAATACCAGTCGTATTGACTCACATCTGCTGAGTTTGAATTGGATGTCATCTTTTGAATTCTTCAAAAAACATGCAAATGAAATGTGTTCTACCGGTTTTCCACACGTTCACCCTCTGTCTCCTCCTTGGAGAAGAATGAGTACCTTTATGTGATATGTCGTTATAATATTTTTTGAAACTATGTTACATGTAAATCAGTAAATTGATGCTCAACGTATAAATATAAGTCTATTTTATATTATTTTAAATTATTGAATATGTACACATATATTCAATAAGTGTTGCATTATCAAAACATTGCCACAGCTACACTTCACGTACCCACAATCGATACTTAGTAATAACATGCCGTCTTGGTGTGTGGAAAGTTCTTGATTGTTCTACAGTTACTTCCGCAGTTTCATTGTGTGCACAAAAATCTGGTCGAAAGAAGTGATATTGAGTTCGTTACAAGCATGTCTGGAGAAGGTTTTGATCGAAATATATACCCCACGGATCTGAGGCATCTTTTGAAAATTTGCCTAGAACAAACGAAAGAAGAAGATGCGACTGGACCTTCTAAATATGAGGAGATGTCGGAAGAGGTATAAGTTCCATTTTGTCGTTGTCTTTTATCGATTTGGTCTGTTACTATCCACTGTTCCTGCTTTAGGTCAGTAGAACTTTTGGCACTGTTGACCCAAAGGTCCGATCTAGGCTAAAAAGTGTTTAGCCCGGACTGGAAAGGGGGGGGGGGGGGGGGGGATGTTTACAACCGGTTTAATCGACTCTGTAGATTAATGAGGTGACACCAAGGTGTTCCCATAAAGTGTTGGTGGATATGATGTTACAGTCAAATATTGGTCATTAGGTATGTTTAAAAAAAGCTGTTTTAGTATTTTCAAATTGTGTGCACATGCTTTCATCAGATATTCAATTTGTATAATTTAATCAGATATACTGAAACTGTTGGTCCGATCGGTCATGACCAGGAAAATTTGTCTGGACCGGTAAAAAATTGGACATGGAGAGTTTTAAGAGCCACGCTTTTGAATTTAGAGTCATCATTTGACATACTTCCCTAATAAAATTATATAAAACCCAAAGTGTTTTTTCTCTTCCATTTCTAACCTATCACATTCACAAACAAAGTAAGCTACCCTAATCGTACTGGTAGTATATGTCTCAAACAAATAGGGTAATTTTTGGTCCGACAAAAATCCAATCGGTCTGGCAAATTTTTCACTACTGTCGGTCCAAATGTCCGGCCATTCTGAAAAGTTTTCAGCATGTCTGATTAAATTTATGAAATATACTTGTGTGCACCAGTTTTGTGGGACCACAACACATACATATTGTCATATATGCTGTTTAGGAAACCACAAAATCTGTACAGAAAGTTTTTGTCATTTTAGAGAAGAAAATGGCTCGAGGAAGCTATGAAAGCAGCAACAGAAGATCCAGTTGTAGAGATGAAAGAATGCATTAGAATCTTGATTGAAAAGGGGGACAGTGAAGATGAAATAGAAGAAAAAGAAGAAGCTCTAGAAAAGTTGTGCTTTTTATGTGAAGATATGGACCTGTCACAAGGTAGAAGGATCTAATCTGAAACTGAGATATTTGATCAAAATTTTTAAAAAAATCTCCTTAAAAGATCTCCTTAAAAGGAAAAAGAAACATTCATCTTTTGGACTAGAGCAATATTAAAATGAGTAAGCTTTTTAAAAAGATAATATAGCGAAGTTAAAAATAGTAATTGTTTTCATGATTATTTTGATTCCAGATTTTCATAAAATTGGTGGTTATGCCCTTTTGCCACATCTTCTTCACAATGACTCCTCAGACATCCGTTGGAGAGGTGCAGAATTGATAGCAAACCTTTGCCAGAACAACCCTTACTGCCAGAGAGCAGCACTTGAGGACAATCTTTTACCACTCCTCATAGACGCATTGGAAAAAGATAACGTGGTGCTAGTAAAAGTGAAAGCTCTATATGCTATGTCATGTAAATATCAGCTTTCAGAATTTGGATTTTGATTTAAAAAATATGGTGTTCAAAGGGCCATTCTGTGCAGAGATTTTCAGTGATGGTTTAGCCAGTAATTACCTTTATAATTGGATATACACATTTGTTTGCTTATTTTTCAATTAATTTATTTTGCAAAATTAAAAGTGCATATGCTTGAAATGAAAATATGTTGAAATTAAAAGTGACCATTAAGTGACTTTTTTTTTTATTAAAAACAAATTTACATTGAAATTTGAATGCACTTCAATTAATGCTTTATGTCAATAGCACTATATTGAGAGAATCTTAGTTCTCACATTATATCAACTCAGCAAGTGGATGATGTTTAAAGCCATTTAATTATTATTTATTTTTTGTGAGAAACCTTAACCCTTTGTGTTTTTGTGCAGGTTTTGTTCGTGGTTTCACAGATGGAGAAGCTGCCTTCATGAAAAGTAATGGACTGTCTGTGCTAATGAGAGCCATGCAGGATGGAGATGACAAATTAAAAGTGAAAGCCACATTTCTCTTAAAGTGTTTATTTTCACAAAACCGTCTTATAAAAGGTATATCATTACATTAAATTTTATTTCTGCACATTGTATAGAAAATTTAAACATTACAGTTGATCAGGTGTTGTAATTATAACCAACCAATGAAGAGGGTAAAATATGACATGTATTTGACACGAAATCTTGTAGATCAGAAGACAGTTAAAATTATAATCCTTTTCTATTTCATAGATACACTGTGTGATATGGGTATGGTGGAACAGTTAGTGGGACTATTAAGTGAACAGCACAATAATAACCATGAACATTTTATGAATGCCTTGTTAAGCTTGGCAACTGAGCATCAGAGAACTATAGAGGAATGTCAGAGACCAGAGTTGCATATGAAAGAATTGTTAAAAAACAGGATCGAATATCTTACAGGAAAAGAAGAGTTTTTGGTGAGTAGATAAATATCAATAAAAAATCAATTCTGTAACAGTGTAGTAACATATTGGTTGACAAAGTTGAAGGCATTATCGTATTAAAATTGCTTTTTTATGTACAGACACAGATGTGTCTGTACATATTGCCATCACCTGCGTCTGTCGTTGCCGTCCCTGTCGCCGTCGATGTCGCCGTGCACTTTCATCGTTAACACGATAAGTGGAAGACAGTTTTACTTTTTGGCTTTATATTTACAGAGCTGATAAGTATTTATAAAAATTCATTATGGGTAAACCATGTTACTTATGATTGTCAAACTTTCAAAAAAGAAACACAGGACTAAATTGCAGCCGAGTTGGAAAAGCAGTCTAATTTGCTTCTTTTTCTTGTAGTTATACATTTTAGTGAAATATTCATTTTTATGTACAGACACAGATGTGTCTGTACATAATGCCATCACCTGCGTCTGTCGTCGCTGATGCCGATGCCGATGCCGGTGCCGTGCACTTTCCTTGTAAACACGANCTGCCTTGTTACTCAGATGAAATGGCTTGTGTTGCTCATTTTAGCCTAAGCCTCTTTAGTACAAGTCAAATTAGTAAAGTATTTTGAAGGGTGAAAATTGGTGAAAAAATTGTATTTAAAATCTTTAAACTTGCAAATCTCCTAGTTATTGAATCAACAAGCAGACAATATATGCATATATTTTTTCAGGAGGAAAAGGAATATGCGGAACAGCTAAAGAAAATGTGTTTTGGATCTCAAAATAAAGAGACTGGAGAGACTCCTGTGAACAGATAGGAACTTACCTTGATGCTCATTCTGTTATTGAGAATTATTGAGTACTGACTGTAGATCCACACTGCATTTTGCAACTGAAGAAAAACATGAAAATGCATTTTTCAACCACGTCATATTTTACTATCATTTTTTTTAAGGTACTGAAATGGTACTTTCAGTGAATTGGCATCCCTTTCCCGTATATTATTTTCCTGCCCAATGTAGACACCAAATGGATTTAAGTTTTCAAGGGAAATTTTTTATGTCACTAGTCAAAGCTTAAGGCAGGATTTTAGAAGGCCACTTGATATGTTTTATTCAATTTTTCTTATTTAATTTTGCTATCAAGGGTCTTGTGGATCCTCTCTACCCTTCTTTGTGATTGGATACGGTTCTTTCTTTCTAAGGCCTAGATGTGACCTTGTCCCAATAGATAAGGCTACTCTATGCCTATCTGTTCTCCAACTTGTTCTGTTATTTTTCTCTTGCAGTTTAGTATCTTTCATTAAATCTAAGTAACTGTAACGGTTGCCAGCTAGTCCTCATCTTCTCCATCTTATAGTATCTGTAATGTTTGAGATATCAGCATAGAGCTCCTGCTTTTGTGCTGTTCTCAATAGGCTAATGTAGCTTCCTTGCTGATGTTTGGAAGTTGCTCTGTTAAGTGCCCAAGTGTCACATAGGAAATTTTTTACAGTTGTTGTGCAAATATATATCGATTACTTGAATGTATCTTAGGAGAATCTAATACTTTTTTCTCATTTTATTTGTGCCGTTACGTTTGTGCTTCCCTTTCTGCAATATCTTTGTGCGTACTCTCTTTGTGTGATCTAAAGTTGGTGAAGTCAGCTTATCACCATGATTAAGTTTAATAATAATTGTAATTATAAACAGAATTTTCACAATTAAATCAAAATTTAAATCAACTGCTGACAGTGATAGAATCTGATGTCTTGTATTAGAGGATTCTGTTAACTGGTAGTATTCTACAAGAATGTGTGTGAGACTTTCGCTGACTTCAGGATTCTCTGGCTGTTGAATTTGTTGTCTCAAATTATTCTCCTGGCTAGGAGCTAAGCAGTCCAACACAAGGTTCACTCCATCCCTTATCTTACGTGTGTATATAGCCTCTTGATACAAGGTGTCACTTTTTCAAGAGGGGGGAAAACGGGTTTCTCTGAATAGGTTCCAAATCACCCTTTCTCAAAAACTGATTGAATGCAGACAGCTTCATTTTTACAGCTGGGGTTGGAGCCTAGGATGACCAATGAAAATGAGAATTGTGTGGTATTTTTTGCACATTTTATGGTATCTTTTTGTGTCAAATCTAGGTGGCCTCTAAGTGCATCTTGAAGGTTTTCTCCTCACTGACTGACAATCTTCAGAATGTCTTTTTAGTTCTGCTAAGTGTTCTGATGAGTGTATGTATTCTGAATGAGGAATAGGCTAAATATCATTATGCACTGCCCATCTTTCTTATCAGAGTGTGTAGTATAAAATGTTATTTACAGTGCAGTTCATTTTTGGAAACCTGGTTGAGCCTCATTTATGACATCATTTAACTCAGTTCGTCAATCTATTACATTATATTCCAGAAGATCTTACCTGTTACCTGGCAGTGTAAAACCCCAATAATAATTTGGGTCCCTTCTCTTTTTTTTTCATGGGGAAAACAGTCTAGCTGGTAGCCTATGGCTTAGGGCTTTGCCTTTAAGGGGAAATTAAAGCTACATCGACTGGGGACATCTAAAAAAAATTGGAAAGGGGGGTTTTGGGGGGCCCATACCTTGCTTGAACTTCAATCTGATTCTTTTCATCCAAAGCCTGGGAAGTGTCAGTAGCAAATTATAGTTTTTTTTTGTTGTTGAATTCTGGGGGAGGGGAACTATGAAGGAAATGAAAAAACCCATAACAAGAAATTATGAGGAGGCACTGTCATAATTTGGGAGTAATCTAGTTATCTCCCTTCGATAAATGTAACATCTGCTAAAAGAATGTCTCCCATGACATTAAAGGCTCCTTCTACTTGTGGCCCATGAAAGCAAGCCATGAGAGACAAGGCCATCTTGCTTAGTGCAGGGTATCTCTTTGTATCCCTGACTGAAACCCACCAGATATCAGCTATGTCAGTATCAGAATACTGAGGAAAGGAATTGTCAACCTGAAAGATGTAATGTTACAAGCAGAGGAGCGAACACCAGACAACACGTTGTTAATAATTACTCAACTGCAGCACACAGCTGCGCTTTATTCTAATTGGATAATATTACACAATGTGCATGACGCACCACTATGTGACATCCCCCCCCCTTTTAAAGGAAAAAAACATACAGACAATCACTTACCAATTACTTATATGTCTAGCTACAAAATTTGATACACATGCTTATCTTAAACATTGTATTACCACCTTAGTTAAAGTAATAAAATACAAATAAAAGTAAAAGTTCTGTTATGATTGTCTCTGATCAGCAAAATGCATTTTATAATTAGTGCAATAACATTAAACACAACATGTCTCCTCTAGTAAACAGTCAATATTAATCTTCCTGAGTGCATAAAGTCAATGCAGTACTTTTCAACAGTACCTTTCTTACACACAGACATTTAAATGGGTTACAGGCACTGTGTGCAATCAACAAGTTTTTTTTTTTTTTTGAAATGTAACAACAAATAAACATGCAGTCACTTCATTTCATAATCTGCTTGCCACCTAGGCGGATGTCTCTCCCGAGTACTACGCCTACACATTTGTGGCTGAGCAATTTGTTTTCCAGTTTCATTGTTCTGGTGCACTGTTTTACTCATTCTAGTATCTGATGGTTCAGTATCCATAACATGCGACTCAGGCACCGAGTCAGGAGACTTGTTTATCATGCGTTGGTTTCTACAATATGAATGTCCATCCGGAGTAGTCACCTCATATGACCTCGGCGTATTATGAATATCTGTCACTCTGGCATGTTCCCAATTTTGTCCTAAATTCACAAACACTATCTCCCACATTAAATGACTGGTGATATGTAGCACTTCTATCATAATAGAATGTCTGCTTTTGCTGACGCTTGTGCAGCTTTGACTGTGCATCATTTACCACCTTTGGTTGCAGCAAGTTGTTTGTAGTAGGCATTTTATCTTTTAACCTCCTACTCATTAACAATTGAGCTGGTGATGAACAGCTAAAGGTGTATTTCTGTATTCTAACAACGATATGTGAGGATCTGTACCCTCTGCTTGTGCTTTCTTAAGCATTCCTTTAATTGACTGCACAAATCGCTCACTTTGACCATTAGACAGAGCATAAGTGGGACTAGTATAAACACAAGTGAATCCCCACTCTTTCGCAAACTGCACTCTTATGCAAAAGGCATATTATCACTAACTAAGGTATCTGGAATACCATGCCTTGAAAACTGGTTTCATTGCTGCAATAACACCAGCTGCTGTTTTGTTTTGCAGCTTGACAACTTCAGGAAACTTTGAATAATAATCAACTATCAACAAGTAATTATGGCCTGCAAACTCAAATATATCTGAACCCAGCTTTGACCATGGACGAGTTGGCAAAGAATGTGGAATCATTGGTTCCTTGGGATTCTGACGTGCATATGTGGCACATACTGGGTAATCAGCAATCTTGGTCTCTATGTCTTTGTTGATATTAGGCCAATACATAATTTCAGAGGCTCGTGCTTTGCACTTTTCACTGCCAGCATGTCCTTCATGAAGTGTAACAAGCATTTCTTGTCTCATGGCAACAGGAATTACAAGTCGCTCTCCAGCATATATCAGTCCTTCCTCCACATGCATTTGTCCTCTTAAATTCCAATATGCCTGAATTTCTGGTGCTAGGGAAGACTTATGCTGAGGCCAACCATTCACAATATGGTTATGGACCAGCTGGAGGCTGTGGTCACTCTGAGTAGCATCTGGAAGTTCCTGAATCCTGTGCGTGGATGCTGGCAAAAACTGAGTAACAGTATGAATCCTGTACAGTCCCTCTTCTAACTGAGAATCTATGCTCTCCTTAGATGTGTCATCAACATACGCATGTGACAGCGTGTCTGCAATGTACAACTTTGAACCTGGTACATATGTCACGCATAGATTGTATTTCATCAATTTTAACAACATCATTTGCATTCGAGGAGACACCTGGTGTAGTGGTTTCCTTATAATTGCCTCTAGAGGTTTGTGATCACTCTCCACCATAACCTCATTGCCATAAATATAATGGTGAAACTTTGTTGCTGCATACATAATAGCTAAAAGTTCCTTCTCGATCTGTGTGTATCTCATCTCTGTATCAGTTAATGCACGTGAGGCATAAGCAATAGGTTGACCATCTTGTAATAGACATGCACCTAATCCCGTAGATGACGTGTCTGCTTGTATTGTCACTGGCTTGGATGGCTCAAACAACTTCAGCACTGGTTCTTCTGAGAGTACACAGATCTTTTATTTGTTGCATGGCAGCTTTCTGCTCTGGTCCCCAATTCCAAGGTACTCCAGCTTTCAACAAACTGCTGATTGGACTCATGGTAGAAGACTTATTTGGAATAAATGGTGATAGGAAATTCAACATTCCTGTTAAACGCTTCACTGCCTCAGTATCAGTTGGGTCTGGCATTTCCAGAATTGAGCGAATCTTCTCTGGGTCTGGTCGGATTCCTTGTGCTCCAACAATCATCCCAAAATATGATACACTGTTTTGTTTCAACTGCGTTTTCTTGGCATTAAAACGAACATTCTTCTCCATGGGGATGTCACATAGTGGTGCGTCATCTACATTGGATAATATTACACAATGTGCATGACGCACCACTATGTGACAAAAGAGGTTCAGCTTGCGAGAAAACTGTTCCTTTTCCTCCTCAGTTAGGACGTTTGTGACATAACGAAGAAGCTTCTTCATGTATTTGCTGGTGACACTGTGGCCCCTTGCTACTGGATCTAATGATGACACTGCCTGCAGCAATGAATTCCCAATACTGTATATTCTGTATGCTTGCAATTTTGGTCGCATCTATACAATTCTCCATTCATGTGAAGTCTGTCTCTTACCAGATGTGCATAGTGTCCATTCTATTTTTCCTGCTTCAAAACTGGGTGCTTTCTATATCACACCACCTTTTTACCTACTTTGCAAATTTAGGCCCCTTAAACCTCCCATTTCAGCTACAGCCTTAGGCAATTTTCATCATGCAATTTCAGTGTAGTAGAAAGTCTCTTTAGTTCACCATTGGCTTAAAACACCTGCTAAATACATCATTACAAAATGCTTATTTACATTTTTCTTCCTTTGCAAAATGCAGTGTGGTTGCAAAATAGTCTTGCAACTCGTACAACAGGCCACATTGAAGGTGGAATCAAGTCATTAGCACAGTTTGAGTATCAGAATCATGTGATAGTCAACATGACGGTGAACTTTTTTAGAAGACATTTTCATGGAAATTGAATTGTAGAAGCAATCTCAGCTTTCTGCCTCTTAGAGAGCAAGGAAGCACTACAGCACTATTCCATTAGACTGCCAAGTTGAACAATGCAGTTGGTGTTTTTTCTTTGACCATCTTTTTGTGGGATTGTATATTTAGTGACAAAGTAGAGTTGTGAAGTTGTGAACCCTTTTACTTACTTTTTTTACAGAACAGACATCTGTATGGAATTACTGGCTTTAAAGAGCATCTTATTGCCAGTTCTATTTATGCAAATATTTTTGAACTAAAAGGGTTATTGACATTGTGGAGAAGTCTTATTAATTATCTCAGCCAAAAAAAACAAACAAGTGCCATTTTTTCTAAGTTTTATTATTTTAAAGCTCTAAATGTACATGCAGAATTGCATCATAATGTATATTAACTAAAATGAAGCAAGAGACTGTTGTCACAAATTATTTTAATAACAACCTGTGTGAAGCTGGAATGAGTTAGCATGGTAATGTTAAACATCTGAACAATAATAATAAACTTGTTATTATCCACTAAGCAGTACTTTGTGGATGAAACCAATCTGGAAAATAAAGGAATGCGAAATTTTAACATAAATAATAAAATGCCTCTAACACCCACAAATGATATAAAAAATATACTGTAAATGGAATAATGTCTTTGTAAACATATTTTGAATAAACAATTATACATAGAAATTATATATAAAAACCAGACTAATTCCCTGCACATTATGCCTTAGTGCAGTTTATGTTACAGTTACCTGTGTACTCCGAACATTTTTGTGTACTGTGAGTGCTCAGATGAATAATATAGGTTCGGAAAGAATGGACTATGTACACAACGTGTTAGAGGTGTAATAGTGAAGAGCCACTCCTTGTGATGTCCTGGCACTACAAAAACAGGTGGTAAGCATGCACTTTGCTTTGGAGATTCTTTTACAGATTCTGAACAATGAAGCTATACAGCAAGGCTGGTAATATACAGACAGTTGAAAAAAAAAAAAAAAGAATTAAAATTGATAATGGGCGTGTGTGTGCAACCAATATACATACATATAGTATTAATTCTGATAATGCTGACTTAAATAAAATAAAATATAACCAGCATTTAACCAAACCAATATTACATGTGAACATAAAGTAAAATGAGACTTGTTTGGCAGTTATGATATAGAAAAAAAATGCATTTGAGTGACAATGCACAGGGGATCAGAATACATGCAGACACTTTCATTGTCTGTGTATAAAATATTAACAGCAACTTATCCATTAACTGCATCAACTTCAACTGTGAAATTGGCAATTTCCTATCTAAAACTTTACTTCTATCAGTATTCCACTTATGGTAGTCAATTTGTAAATTAATTATAAAGTTTGAACACCACAGCAGAAGTAGCTGTAGTCATACATATATATACATGTGTACACTTGCAACCATTTTCTAATACATACATTCTTAACAATCTGATTATATGTTTATCATAATACAGAAAATATTATTTTCTTGAAGAATTGCATTTCTTTTAAGGATTGTTAACACATTCAAAATGCACTGTCAATAAGCAAGAACAGCAACTTGTATATTGCACATTCATATTCATAGCTACAAATATCAGTTATGATAAAACATCACCCTACACAAAGTATTAACAACCATTTTACATACAAATCATATCAAGTTGTTTTAATTGCCCTTAATTTTTATAGCATTCCTTCTTCTACTGCAGAAACAAAAATTATAATCGATGAAGAATGATGTTTACGATATATATATATTTTTTTTACTGAAAACACTGTCAGTATTAACACCTGTCATCTGTCCACCACACATAATCACTGATTATAATTGCTATATTATTCTATCATTCTTTTAATTTTTTTCTGTCATAACAGGTCTATGATTATATTATTCAATTGCACATTAATGAAACTATAAACACTAACTGTCTCATGACCCAACATTCCTTTACCAGAAAGGGTATGATGGCATTTGGGATTTCTACATTGAATTTTCATCAACAGATTATTTACAAAACCTCTGACCTGTGGTTAACAAGTCTTCATAATAGCTAACCTGGTTTTATATTCCTTGCATGCAATTTACATATTAGTAATTTTTTGAAAATACAAACAACCAAATTTAGCAAACCATAACAAAACATTGCAAATCAACAATTAAATCATATAGCCGTATGTATAATCATAATTTTTGTAAATTTATTATAAATTGATAAATCACCATAGTCACTGACAAAACCATGCTAAGAAGCAGTAGGACAGTAAATGTACATGGTTTCAGTAAAGTTGGGTATGACTATCTTACTCATAAACATAATATATAAGGTCCCGAGATGTAAACGGGAAGGTGAGCTTATTAGTTTATTCATAGGATTTCCTCAGTTCAACCACTCCAATTCTTCTAAGAACTAATGATTGAGGACCATCTAGTATTTTTCTCCTAAAATCAAAACAAGATTTTACTAATAAAAAAGGAGAAAGAGTGTGAGAGCCACCAAGACGAATAGATATCCTTATTGCCTTCTGATATAAGCACCATCCATCACTAGCTTTCCTTGGTAAGTCTGCCATCCTTTGGTGCTGCCATTGCAGTAGGTGATTAGCTGCATCAGACAGAGATTGTGTTAGTTGTGACTCTATTTAACTCAACCAGTCACTGGCAGTTCTCTCTGCAGTATATAATCTGGTTGTTGACTGTCGCTTGAAGGACGTTTTGAATGCATGCTTTCTCTTGTAGATTCTCTCTGTTGTTTTTGTGGCTGTTTTTGTTGCTGTTGCTGCTGTTGTTCCATTCCAGCAGCCACGTAAGAAAATACACACAACACAGCATAGCAGATGTCATCAGCCTGAAATAAGACATGGTATGAAAAATAAAACCAACAATTGCTTTAAAATTTTGAATTCTGTTTACTTGTTTAGATCACTGTCATGTCATTCATAAGCCAAGGAAAAGCATCCACATAAAAAGCTCATATCAAACGTGCAGTATTAAAAACACTCATGCGCTTCAACATTGTTAACACAAGCAAAATAATACTGTGTGACAATTTGTCATAAAATCAGTAATTTAGATGTAAAAATTACAGTTAAAAATTTCTTAAATTATATTTCTTAATTAAAACTGTTGATGAAATATGGTAATCATTATTGTCTAAAATAAACCTTCCCAGTTAGCATAGCAAATAAAGAAGTTAAGTTGGTGCTTCTTATTACTTATAACATTTAAAATTCGGTGTGTTAAGAGCACTTCATAAATATTGAAGCCAAGTGAAAAATTCCTAGGATATTAGTTATTGAATAGTATAATCTCTAACAAGTATCCACTGCATTAAATCATGTGCTGTGCTGCAGATTTTACCATTCAAAATGGTGCTAAGTCATCTTTTAATTACCACATATTGTTCAAAGGCACCAATTTAATATGGACACTAAAACCCTAATACTCGAAGTTCATACCCATATACTTAGATATTTTTGTTTCGTCAAAAAACCTTCTCAAACCATACTTGCAACACTTTGGGCTTTCATTTTACTTACAACAAATAAAAACATAAATGTAAAATCATATATCAGTTTGATCAATAAATCAAAAATAACTTTGATTTACTTGAAATGGTTGCACGCCATATATTATGGTGTTATTATTGTGTGCACGCAGGGCAACTGTTTCAAACTCTCAATCCTGGATAATTATAAGCAGCTTTTGTCCTGAATGCAATATTTGCTTGAGGGGGAGAGTTTGTGATAAATCAATTGTCCTTCATACATGAATGCAAAATGGCGCTGGAAATTGGATTAACCCAAATCATGCTTTCAACCTCATAAATCAAACAGCTCAAAAGATGAAAGCACATAAATCTGCTGGTTAACAAGTGCACTGATTAATTCACCTCTTAAACTCTGATTTAGTTATATAAAAGGCACACAAAAAATAAAACATGCCAAGACACCAGTTGAACAGCAGCCTCTAACAGTTGTGAGATCTGCAGCCTGTTAATAAAACAAAGGAAATGTGAATATGTAAGTAAAGTAATTGCCATGCCATACAACACTAGTCTCCATACATCTAAAAAGGAAAGATTCGCCTCTAGTATTGTTGCTTCCCAACACTGCTGCTTTTGAGTTTCATTCTGACAATGCAGCAATAAGCAAAAACCAAACAGAGATGCATAAAAATTTCCATGTAAGAAATCTGTATGTCCAGGCCTTATGAAACAAATAAGACTTTTACTAAAACAACCCGCAGATCTCTTAGCACTAACACCCATATTAACCACATAACCCACAAATTAACCAGTGCTACCAGAGGGGATGACTGTTAGTGCCAGGTATCACTTTGTTGGTGCTAAATAATTGTGCACTGTGTTGATTAATACATAGGTTTGGTAGTTAATAAGGTCATTAGGGATAAAAAATCTGCAAGTAGTCTTAGCAAACACCTAATCGGTTTATAGGACCTGATGTCTAAACACAGCCAGATATCTCAGTGTTGCTGTTCAAATGTTCAAAAGATAGAAAAAGATTCAAAAGTGATGGCTTTATCTTTAATGTCCCTGGGATGGCTTCTTACATTTATTCAGGTAATCTTTCTATATGTAACAGAATTACAGAAGCTTACAAAAGTTCAACTGCCCAAAGAAAACGTTTTTTTTTTTAAATAATAATGATTAAATTTGTGGGATTTAATTTTCTTATAGATGAAATCCTGTCATCCAATTGAAGTATGGAGACTACTGTCTGGGTTACAATAAACCTTGCATGCAGGCAGTGCTGGACTGTTATCATACGCTACTACTGTTACAAATACTGTGCTACTAACACATGCAACTATGGTAGCAAGATGACATCAGTCATGAAGTCTAAAATATATATATATAGCAAGTACAAATGGAAAGAAGGCATACTGTGTTGCAAATAACCATTGGGCACGGTGCCGTTCTTGCGCAGGCTGCTGTCTGGATGCTGCAGACGGTGTGTTTGAGGGAAAGTATAAAGTGCAGGTTGTACTGAGATTGTCCGATGAACTGCGTGAATAATTTGGGCAGCCTGTCAGGGAGAAAAAATCACTACATCAACTTAAACATTCATAAAATATAACCACACTAAAAATGACATTACACACTTCCAAGTTTCTAGCTGATCTGAGGGAATGATTACATTTGACATTCACCATTGCTGATCTTTGAATGTTGACCAAATAACATGCAAGCTATAGGAAGAATGCACTTCAATCACGTATAAATGTAGTGCAAAATGTGGTTTCACTCAGGTCACTTGTGATATAACAAAGAGAAATAGATATAACACATCTACTCTATACTAAGCAACAGAATTAGATGTTCAACAAAGAAAATACTGTCAAACATGATAAAAACATAAAGTGTTACATGGCAAGGCAATTTGTCCACACCATGAAGCACTTCCACCCTTTCCATGCTGTATGCCTACTATAAACAAATGTACAGTTCTGTATATGTGTATTTTGGTTATCAAATAAATATGATGCAGAGGAAGTTGGACTCCATAGGAGAAAGTCAGTAGTCACAAGCTAATCATAAATGCCTATTTAAACTGCTAAAGTGGTTTAAGTAACTTTTATATAAGCATTCAAGCTAAGTAAAGGAAAAATATTCATGCAATGCCCTCATGAATTTGCATGTTTGCTTTTTAAGTCTGTCTTTTGTAGACTTATTCATGCATGTAAGTATTTTCAAAGTGAAGAAAAAAAATAAGGACTGATCTCGAGCAACAGTCTACCTAGAGCAATACTTCTTATCTAAGTTTAAATCTGTTTTATTAGAAAAAGAAAAACACTTACCATGCTGGACTTGTATTTTCTCTGGATTACTTTTTTATTCTTGGCATCTGAAAGAAAGTAGATTTTGGGATGTACACCTTGGCTTGTGGACTGACTGCCATCATGTTCCATGCAATAATTTTGTTAAATTCTCAACAGTTGCAGGTATTCATGCCTTCTTAATTCTTTTTGCAATGATAAGCTTGATAAAAAATTCTGAAATTTTTTCTATATAAACAATATCACATTAGCAGGTTGGATTTTGTAAACCCCCCAACTGGGTAGTTATATTGAGGTGAGGGTTCCTAAAAAGTAGGAAATTTTTGTTTATGAAATCAAAATTTTAACTTCTCATATCTTCCATAACATAAAAAGTTTGCAAATGCAAAGTTACATGACTATACTACTGCAGTGCCATCTATGTCACAACAGCCAAGACAGGCCAAGGTGGCAACAAACAGAAAGAAAACAAGACGGACGGATGGTTGGATGCAGATAATGACAGTCATAGGGCTTACCAAATTCTTCAAGGACAAAAATGCCGCCTTTCTGTGTGAAACATTTCCTCACACGATTTAGCTCAACAAAGAACTGAAAATAAGAAAAAATAAACACATTGAGCAAGAGAAACTAAACAGAAAATTTACAACCACAGGATATCTGGTGGGTGGTGCTACCACTTGGAATACGAGTTACACAATTATACCAAGTGTATGGCAAACACTTTACTGACATTTTGAATTGTAAGGATACTGAATTTCAAGCTAGGATTAGTACCATAGATAATACTTGTTAGTGTTCATCAAAATAAATTTGAAAATAGTCTTAATGAATTTCCATCCATGCCAACGTTTTATGAATTCATTGAAAAAAAAAAAAGAACAAAAATTACAATAGCATTCCAAATATAAATAACGCCACAGAGTACAAACAGCTACATATAATATATATAAATATATATAAAGAATCACAATTTGGTACATATGACATTACTGTATTTCAAGTGGTAGCTTGATCAACATAAAGGACACAGCAAGAAATAGCCACAACAGAAGCCAATAAGCAAAAGCCAACTGAGGGACAGGCTTTGTCTATCTAGTAGTTGGCATGCAACACGCAAGAGATTTGCACGCTGCTTCATACCTCAAAGTCCTGATGCCCCAGAATGGTATGATGAGGGAAAGAAAAATAGAAAAGCACAGTTAGGCAATTTTATAAAGTTAAATTAGTTGATACCAGAAATTATCAAAATGGATACCACGTGTAACATCATGTATCTTCTCCCTGTAAAATACATCCCATTCCCAGTCAAAAAAATAAACAACATGAAATCCCGAAAATTTTCGAAAGCCAATTTGACACGAAAAAATCAAATAATGTTCAACCTCACATCACTGTTTTTTCTTTCTCAACAATTACTCATGCAAGAATAGGAACTATGGTGACTTGCACGTTCATATGGTGCATGCATGACGTGGTGCCATCTAGTGTGCTGTATGCCCATATGACTCATGCAAGACCCATTGTCATCTTATGTCTTGAATGTCCATTTGGCACATGCAAGTACAGGTACCATCTTGTATCTGGTATGTCCACATACTGCAAGAAAGACAACCATGCCCATCGGAATGAATATGATATATAAAACACATGCAGCAAGCAGAGGGAGCTCTAGAGAGGTGCAGACAAGCTGATAATAGACTTAATCTTCAGTATTCTTCAAAGGACATTCATTTTCAATTGAAAACCTGTAAAATGATTAAAAAAAGCAGTGAATGTCACAGAAGATAACACTGAAAGAAAGGTTAGTTTCTCTATTGTTATGACACTCTGGGTCATGTTTAAGAACTTACTTTTCAAGTCTGTCAATGCTACTATTCACAATAATAGATGATGCAGCTCTCCCTCAACAAATACAGTTAATTATGATCTGGGATCCTTCCAGTTCTATATTTGTCCCATTGCAAAAATATGTCTGACACAGTGTCATAACTTATCTCCTTAAGCTTTTCGAACATTAAATATTTCAACCCAAGGCTTAAACCATTTTGCACAGTTATGATGTTTTTCTAGATAACATTTTAGAAATGAATTTGATGAATTATGGAATTTTCATGGATTATTCAGTTATAATGTTAAGTAATAACCAAAAAGAAAAAAAATTCTGTTAACAAAGTTATGTCAGTACCGCAAGGCAATATCTGTTATAGAAAGCCATATCAATATACATTTTCACAAAAACAGATCCCTTAAAAACGTCAGTGGATGTGACACCCCTAGAAAAGCATAAAGTGTTCAATGATCTTTGCTTGAAGCAAATAGATTCCATATAAATGTTAAAAAATAGCACTTTAAATCAAACAATCACTAAAAGGTAGTCCTACGAAGAAAACATTCAAAAATGTATAATATTAGAATCGCAAATATTTTAACAACCAGACAGCTAAGAAACCATTCACTACAACAGACAGCCCGCAAGCAGCAGTGCCCTATAAATATAGATCCAATGAATGACAGTATAGGTGGCAGCACTGACCTTGCTGCTTTCCAAGAGAAGCCCAATGCCTTCCATGCAAACCTGAAGCAGTCCACCTTGGCCCGTCTTGAGATCTTGCACAGGGAATTCTCCACCAAGTTCAGGTCCTGCCAAAGCAATGTCAAATTAAGAGATTTAACCACACTACACCTACATTATTCACTGTTAACAGCATCTTTTCCAGTCTTTTTTGAAAAATAAAAATATAAGGAAAGGAATACTGCTGTTCTTTAATTTTAGATAAGACAGCTTGAAAAAATAAATATCATCAAAACTATACTGAAATCATTTCTTCTTTTAGATAAATAGTAAAAACTAGATATGACTCAAGAGAAGCAGCATTTTCAAAGGACCATAAAATTTAAAATACAGGCAAACTAATTTAAATTAAAATTTTATAAATCTTAGTATTACCTGGTATTTTCCCATTATTCCTTAAAGCAGCCTTTTCCATTGATTCTCTTACACAGAAATAGAGCTCTTTGCACTGAAAATATAATTTTCTCAACATATCAAAAGCACAATCCATTCCATATTTTATATCTTAAGATTGATATGATCTTATGTTATTGTTACATCACCACATGCTGTGCTCACTTAGGATATAACAAAATACAAATATATTATGAACTGGCAATATACAATGTCCAATATAGGCAACATTAAAGAGATCATCCTTTTATACCTTCTTGGTGTAGAACTTATTGAGCTGTGTCTGGTCCCCGTTTTTTCTCCAGAGACAGAGAACCTTGGTTTTTGGACAGTAAGTCATGTTGACCAGCTTCTCATACCACCAGCGGTCACAAATAATCCCCATCACACTACGCAGCACTATACAGTCATCACACACCTGAAACATTGAAGTAGCTGTGTGACAACTATCAAAACACCCCTTTTCAATCAGCTCCTTTTCTTAATCCACTGCTAGTATAATAAAATAATCATGTCTTCTTTTCTGTCCAGTCAGAATTCAATTGCAAGTTGTGAAGTTACATCATTTTCACACATTAACAGAATGTATCACAAATAAACATGACGACCTGAAGCTTCATACATAATACAAACCTTCATTCTACTGTGTGTTAAAATAGCAAACTATTACCTCCATGAAGAGCATATCTCCAGTGTTGTCTGGTCCCCAGTGCACTGTGAAAGATTGCTTTTGCATCATGCGACTACCAAGGGGTTTCAGATCAATGTCATTACCATGCTAAAACAGGGGAAATAAAGGTTAATATCTTATTTTGGTGAAAGTAGAACATTCACTCTGAGGCAATTAAAAATCACTTTCTGAAAAATGACATTCTTAACACTCTTCAATGATAAAACTGATTTAACTGTTACTGCATCATACGTATATTCACCATAGTTCAAATTCTTTACATGGGACTGATACAAAAGGATCAATTATATATGGTACCTAGGCATATCTCCAATCTTAAGTGTAATCACAAATGAACACACAACCACCTACCAGGTTGGTCAAATTATCTAACAGTTCATTGATTTCTTGACTGTAGTGCAGCCCAATGTGACATTTTCCCAACATTCTTCTGGCTTTGCGTCGTATCTCTTGTTTATTCACTTTCATCATGACCATGAAAGCTATCAGGTTGTAGAGCATGTTGGCCAAAAGTCGGTCTTCATCTTGTTCCAGACGTTTCTTCTCAGCAGCACCCAAGTCTTTGTACCTAAAATCACGAAAATACCAGTATCACAAATACCTTAACCATATGTTTCAATACATCTATGTATTTGCCTACCTGTATGTTTATATGCCAATGAATAAACAATCAGCAAAATAGGAACAGTTGATGAATAGCCTCCCTAATCACTCTTTTTTTGTATAAAAATATCTTACCAAGCCATGTGTCTTGTAGGGAAATACAACCCCGTCTTAAAATTATAACATGACAACATAATCTCTAAGACTGGATGGGATATACTCCTGAGCCTCATTTACCTGTCCATCATTTCAGCAGGTCCCTGATCCATGCCAATAATATCCCTTTCCTGGGCCACTGCATCTAGGAACACATCTTCCCAAAACTGCATCTGGTCCCACAGCCGGCTTCGATCTTTGTCTGCAAATGAACAGTTGAAAACAAAATAAACAAGCAGAAAACAACTCCCGTAATCTCCACCATGGACTAATGTAGGGCAAATACCTATTTCATTCAAAATCATGTTATAAGGGATGTGAACCACATTTCAGGATAAAAAGCTAAAAAGAAATGTGCACTAACCCTCAATCAAATAAATTAAAAAATAAATTGTAATCTTGATAAAAACATCACAGCTGGTTCATGTTTGTAAACTATTTTTTTCCACTGAGCCAACTACTCAAGCTGGTTTAACAGAGGCAAGAAAATAGTTATTGTCCTCACCTATGAGATGTTGAAACAAATACAACCTGGTGGTTGTTGGACTGAGAGGGCCGACATGAACCAGTTTTCCATCTCTGAATCTGAATCCACCACTCAAAGTGGATTTGTTGCTCCATATACTTGCAGTACGTGATAACCGCGTTCCTACCAGCTGTAAAATTGGATGATACATAAGAACAGTAGTAACAGAATAAACTTTGTTAGTAAACAGTTGCTTCTTGTATCAATGTATAGGAGTACAATGAAACTTAAAAGATGTAATCCTTTTGTGCTAGCATTCAAATCTGAGAAACACAGTATGGTATATCAAGACACCATTTTCTTTTGTACAGAAATTTGAAGAATAATTAAGATAGTTGTAACAAAGCACAATTCCCATTAACCAGATAGTTGATGTGAATATAATATGTAAAATCACACTTCAGGTGGATACAGCTGCAGACATATGAATGCTCAACTTTCTAAAAAGTGAAAAGAAATGCATCACAGCCATAATCCAATACCAAATATTTTAGTGATCATGCATGGAATGGTTCTCATGTGAAGGTAAAAAAGCCCAATTACATAATTGAAATCCCTGTTAGTCTGTAATGAAGTAAGAAAGTTAGGTTGGTGTTAATAATTTTGTTAAAATAAATTGTGAGGAAGAAACCAAATATACCACAAAGATGCAAGGAAATGGTCAAGTGCATGGTCGATTAAAATATATACTATTAAAGAAAGGTTATTTAGAGCACAATTAATGAATTGGGACTATGTTTGGTATGCAGAGAGCAAAAGTTTGGAAAGAACCCTGGGTGCCAGTCACAAGAATATTAGTACTATGCTTTTATCATTGTGACTTACCCCTCCAATATCATGTTCACTACTATCTGATAGTGAAGGTTTTATAGTCTGATGATTTATCCTGGGTCTTCTCCCTTCCCAATCAGAACCATCACTCACCAGTGTGGATCCCTCAGACACCTCAGAATCCACACTCTGGCCATGGGGCACCACTCCCCGCCTGGACCTCAACAGCTCTTTGTTCTTCACCAGTTCTCTCAAGATGTCTTCCTGCTGACTGGGGCGCTTCTCCGGCGTGGTGGCGGTATCTGGAGCGTGAGGTCCTCTCAGGGGATCTGTGTCCACGTACTGTCTTCTCAGTGGGTCAGTATCAGTCACTATAATATCACAGTTTGTCTGTTGGGCAGATACAGCACGCATGCTGGTTGTGTGCTGCTCTGTACTGTAGTGAGATTTGGCAGAGTTTGAATTATAGTCCTGCTTCCCAGACTCTGTGTGGGACAATGGATGAGAGTTCTTCAGTTCAATATTTTGGTATTCTTCACCATCCAGCAGAACGGGAGAGCCTAGTAAATAAATTTTTTTAATAAAAAAATAAATAAATAAAAAGAACATAGAAAAACTGTTAAGTCGCCATTTTATTTATGATACGACCTGTTCATATAAACAGCGAAATAACTTCACAATATTCATTTAACATTCACAAGATACAACAGACATAACAGTCAACAGAAGAACACATTAACTGTTATGATTCTAAACAGTCATCAAAAACCTACCCTTATTACATGACATTATTTTCAAGCCAGGTCTTATAACTACTTTTCTATTTATTTATCTATTTACTAAACTTTTTTGGTACCTATTAAAGTAAAACACCACAAAGACGAGAAAAACTCCTCCAACATACATACACACTACATATTGTCATAGTCATGCTGAAGGAAGAATCTGCCATCTGCCTGCATGTAAAGCCAAATAGAGAGACAAAGAGATAGAGTTGTAAGCCATGCAATACTTGCCTGCAGAATATGAACTAGGAAGAGAATGAGACGGTGAAAGCTCCCGCTGAATTGCACTGTGTCGTGGACTAGTAGACCGGTCAAAGTAGCCACCTACAAAACAGGACAATAGACAACACATACAACAACAGTTTGTAGACTGGTGATCAGACCTATACAACATAAGCATACATAAACATTACCATACATGTACAGTCAGTGCACTTGGCAAAGAACACAAATTAGAGACCATCCCTAGACCATAGTGTGAAGATGCAAAGACTTGCTGATAATCTATCACACAATAGAACCCAACATCTAAATTCAACAAACACATCCACATACAAACTTTCACCAGCTACATGGGTGACGATGATGACAATGATGATGACGATAACAACAAAGAGACTAGAATAAGCAACAAGACTCAATCTCTGTTTGTCTCTCCCTCATACACACTTCAAAACAATACATTGTTTCGCAAATGTCTAGTCCTTTATGTGTTATTACACATGTAAACTACAATTGTGGAAACATACAAACTATAAAATGATAAATACACTTTCTAGACCCACATATAATGTAATTTCACCTATTATTTCCATAAAATCAATAGGAAAAACACTTTTAGAATAGCTTAATTGTAGATGAAAGATAATCATTCAAATGAAAGTACAAAATTACAGTTTTTAGCAGCATTCAACCAAAACATTATCTTGCTTTTGTGAATACACCAGGCTGGTGCTGAATACACACCAAAATTTACATACTACACAAAACCAAACAACATAATCCACTCAAAAACTGTAGCTGCCATGCTATCTAAAATAACAATGATATACACACACCCTCTCAATTACATTTTCTGAGATATCTGCAGTTGACCTTCCACAAAAATATACAAAACAAACAACAGTGTAAGAGAGATCTTTTTTCTTCTACAAGTTATCAACATTTGTCCTCATTCCCAGCATGAAGTTATCTGAAATTTATACTAGTACCTAATACTGGTATGGATTGGTCCTCTCCTGGCAAGCTCTTGGACTCCACACGAGGGCTGATGTCAGATACTAAACTCTCACGGCTGCCAAATGGGGAGCTGGTCTGAATGTGAAAACAACATTGGTAAAATAAAAACATAGTAGAAAGTACTGGGCAATGTACAAATAATACCAAAATCAAAGGTTTCAAGTTGTGGATTTAATAATCAATGTATTCATGTAGATATGACCTCAAAAGGTAGTTTACTTTGATAACTTACAAGATGGAAATCTTTCAATATTTGAAAGCTCATGATGGAAAAGATACTCATAAAATAATTTCATGCTCATCAATTAAGAGCCATAAAATTAAATAAATCATTGCACCTGTATCATAACAAAGGTAACGGTATCCTTTCAGGTCAATTTTTATTTTATATAAGTGGACTGCTATGGATTTGTCTTGACTTTCTGTAGGCTTAAGTTTTGGTCTTAAAATTTACACCAACCACTACAGTAAACTTTTGAAAAATCAGCTCCAGGTCTGGCAGACCAAGCAAATTTACCTGAGAGCCACTTGCATCACTCCTATTGCTGCCTGTCAGTTCTTTGGCCCAGTAATGTGTATGGATAATCTCACAGACCATGAATGCACTGGCCATACCTCCTATCCCATGATTACGGTAGGTAAAGTCCAGCCCATACACTATTGCTTTCAGCATGGTCAACATGCCTTTGAAGATCTGCTTGCTGACACACTGAAATAAGATTTTCAATAAATAGTCTCCGAGGCTAGTTTGCTGTCAAAAATTTTTTTTTTTTTTTTAATTTTTTTTACACAACTGAATCACATATTTGGTAGCTGAAAATATCATTTTGTTGAAATTTGTACTTTGATTAATACACAAAATACTGACAGTTAACTCACAGTTAAATATAATTCAGTGATTGATAACCATGTATGGTAAATCATTTACAAGTTTAAGATATAATACAAGTTTCAGCAAAGATGGAGGGAAAAGGGCGATCGTTTATTATATCAACTAGTATTTCACTGTGAGCATCTGACTTTTAAAAGATCATTTTCAATAGCAGAATTTCTTCTTCAGCAAAAGAAACATTTCTTTAATTTCTTTCTGGATCTCCAAGCAAAATGACATTGCCTTATTAAATACCTGATAAAAAGATGGAGATATATTGTTCACAATCATACCATTTATTAAGATAACCTGAGGAGTAGGCTAAAACTTACCACATCTTCTATGTACATATCCTCTTCTGTAAGTTTTTTATCCAATGACGTGTTCAGCCTGCTCACCACAAAGTTACGATAATTCTCATCCTCCATCAATCTCCTAATTTTGTTGATTTTCAACCAGCCTACCCCATGTCCATCAAGTATGTGACTGACAGCATCTTTCAGGAACTGCTGATTCTCACTGCAGTTGGAAACGTAGTAACATTTTCAGACATAATAATGCCAGCATATTTTCAAATAATTCCAAACATTTCTTTTGCAAATTAAGTCCTTACTGTTAAAAAACTTTATATATATTTGGCACAAAACTTTTTTACTAGAATAATTATGCCTGCAACCCTATGCCTTTTATTCATGTGCACTTTTACAAAATAGCGAAATTAAATGCATTTAATTTCAATCTATCAAAACAAAAATATTTACTTCAAATATTCACTTCAGAGGGAACACTTGATTTACCTATGAGCACTTGTCCTCGTATCTACAAGCTGCTGCTTTGAGGAGTCTCTGGTCATCTTCCTGTGGGAAGCATGTTTCACCAGACCAGACTTCTCAACCAGAGCTTTCCTGTTGCCTAAAAAGCAACAAAATCTTATTCGATCTCTATATCTCAGAGCTTTTTTATTTCTGGGCCTTCTATTACGTGATACCCTTTTCTATATTTTTATCCATCCCTATTACTGAGCTATTTTATTCCTTCGCCTCCCACCACACCGTCCCCTCTTTGTACTTTTACCCATCCTTATAACCGCCACACCTACTTAAATGTACTATATAAACAAGGCAGCAAAGCTGTCAAATGTACAGACAAAGAACTGAAAATAAAGATGCAAATAAGTGAAAAATTAAATTTTCACAAAAAACTGTTAAATTGCCAGAAAAATTTACCAAACAGACTGCGTTGCCTATTGAAGCTGTATTTTAGTCCCATGTTTCTTTCCTATAAGTTTGAGAACAGTAAGTGACATGATTTCCCTTAAATGGTCGTCATAGGAGCAGTGCCCAAAATAGGGGTTTCTTNCTGTAAGTTTCAAGTCAAAAGGTAAAATGGTTTTCCACTTATCGTGTTATCGGTGCTGCATATATGTTGAAAAAAGTGAAAAAACAGCATAAATTCCCTAAGAGTGACCCGATCATGCTGATTTTCGAACTTGACCTGCGTATTATGAATATTCATCAGTTCTGCAAGTTTCAAATCAAAAGGCAAAATGGTTTTCCACTTATCGTGTTATCGGTAAAAGTGCACGGCGACGGCGACGACGGCGACGACAGACGCAGATGATGGCTATATGTACAGACACATCTGTGTCTGTACATAAAAAGTGTGACACAAACATGATAACACATGTCATCACACCTCCCACATTCATTCCAATACCAAACATGCAATACTAATAATGAACTTTCCGTGACAAGGATATCACCTCTCTTATTTTTAAATGCCTCACGTTATGCCCCTGCTTCTATGTTACCTCCATATACCAACCACAACAGCTCGATTATCTCAAATTATATACATAGCATGATTAAGAACACGCAAGTCCAAAAATTAAAATAACATTTGTCGTCAATTATGGTTTGTCTTATTTTTTTCTGTACTGATCGCAGCCCACAACTTATAATCAAATCAAGCATAATGACACATCTGCCATCATATGTCCCACATTCATCTGATACCAAACGTGCACTAATAATGAACTGCTACGGACAATTAAATCCAACTCTTAAATATTTAAGACATTTCTTATTATGAAAGGCATAATGTTATTATTACCTCAACATATCAACCACAACTGTACAGAATTGTGTCAAATTATCTATAATTACTTGCCATCATTAAAAACATGTGGGCCAAAAAAATAACTAAATCTTCTGTAGTCGGTATTTTATCTGTACTAACCGCAATATTTCTGGACTGGTTATAAATGAGAACGATTCTGTAAATGAATCATGTATGTATCTAAATCATATTTATTTTCTGACTCATACTTTTTTAATGATGCAAAGTCTACTTCCTTTATTATCGTTTCTATAACATAATATAATAGCAATTTGACACCCCTTTGCTCCCCCCCTCAAAAAAAAACAAAAAAAAAACATACAAGCAGGCTACCTACCTAAAGGTGCATAGGGTTTGGTCTGCTTGGAAGAACTGTTCATTGTTGTGCTCTTGGTTCCTGGAGATACACAATAATTAACTTAATCTTCATATAAAATGTGTATAAGATATGATGTGACATCCCTTCTGATGTATAGAATGCACAGAACTGAAATGCTTGCTTGTTAGTATTGCTTTCACAAAATAACTCATACTGTCTAAAACGTAAGTGATATGTTTCACAAGACTACCTGCTTGATGCTTGGGCACTTCTACTGATATGCCCCAAACCCTCCCTTTTGAGAGATTCATAATATAAATAAACATAAAATAGTACAAAAAATGAAAAAAGGGAAGTTGTCAATATTTTCCTAATGATAAGTTAGAATTCATAAAATTAAAGACAGCAGGGTTTAAAGCTTAAAACAGTAAAAGGATAAAAGGCATCTATTTAGGTTCAGTTTTAATTGATTAAACTACTTAAAAAAACACAAGAAAAAGTTGTCAGTAAAGTCACTAAAAAGCTTTAAAAACAAAATTAGTAGCCACAATAAGTAACATTGTATAAGCAATAAAATAAGGTAACCCAAAAAATAGCACCACTGAAAAACTTAAAGAAAAGTAATATTGTTTCTGCATATCACATATGCTGCCATAAATTCATCCAGTCCTTCCCTCATATATATACATCAAAAGCAATATAAATAATTTTATACATAAACAATCTGGTAACATTCACATGCCATTTCTACAGAAAAAGTTTTAAAACAAACTTTGGATTGAGCTCAGTAATCAAAATACTGATTGACAGGTTACAGAAAACTACTCTCTCCTAATGACCAGGAAATCAAGAAGGAAAAAAAATCTCTCTTTGCTTTTGTTGTTTCCTTTTAGATATCTATAGAAATTAAACTTCACTGTGATTCAACTGAAGTAAAATCAGCTACTCATTTTGATTTTCAAAGTCATTTTTAAACAATTTCAATTTGAGCTTATGTATATCCAAAAAGGTCAGTAAAATATAGATTGTACTGATAACTTATATAATAAAAATGATCTATTTAATTTGTAGGGACACAAACTCAGAATATTGGGTTGGTCTGTTGATTTTTTAATATACATTTTCATGTGCAAAATTATTGACATATGTCACAAGAGGAAACAGTTTTTGCCCCTTATTAAAAAAGTTCCTTCTTTAAGAAAAACCTCTGCCATGCAGAATATTGTATGGCACGTTTCATAGCAGCAAGTAAAGCCTACCTCTCAGTTCCTTCACATAGGTAGAACCTTTACTATAAACTGCTGAGGTGACACTTTCAAGTTGGCTTCCGATAGGAGCACTTTGAACCTCTTCTTTCATTTCTAGTACACCTTTCTTAACTTCTTTCATGCCATGGCCAAGGCTTTCCACTGTACCCGCTAATCCTTGTTTTAGATCATCCAATTTGATCTTGTCCAACTGCTTCTTTTCCAATCCATGTTTTAGACCCGTGACTGTACTAGACAAACCCTCCTTACTTTGATCTTTAAAAGGATCCATTGCAAGCACAAAGAGAAAGACAAGAAATAATAAGCAAGACAACAACCACTGTTAAGCATCCATTTTCAGGCTTGTAAGGGTGCTTTTCATAGTCAATTTTTTAACATTATCACATCTTGCAAACTGCCACTTTCACAAAGCTTTCCCAATGCCAAGTGCTTCCAATGTTAGACCAACTGGTAATGGTGACTGACTTACAATTTAGGTCCAATATGAAACCATAGTTGCCCCACTGTTTTTTCACTAAACAGAAAACCCACCAATAAAAGAACATGTTAAGCTGTATGGACAGTAACCATTACCAGTGATTGGATACAAGATTTGCACACAAAATATTAGTCAGTTATATAACACAACATTTTTTAGAAATCATCAACCAATTATTGTCATCTAACAAAAATAAAAACCTAGCAAACCACACCACTATATGCAGAAGAATAACTATTCATACGCAGCCACACAGAGGGGGAAATTACAAACAATACACGCATGACATCTAGCAACATCAAACTTAAAAATCAATACATGTGGGTGTTTCACTGTGTCTTATCATGAAGATGATAATGTCTTTATAATATCATTACTGGGAAATGGTATAACATCAAAGGGATACTGCAGTTACTTAGTAGATTGCCTGATTACATTGACTCAATAATCACACTCTGGGGTATGGTTGAGTATGATGATGACAAAGACAAACAATGCTGGTATTATCTGTTCAAAATGATTAACAAATGTTTCTGACAAGCAAAAAGGAAAAGGCGGTTATTTATCTGAATAAAATGATGGAAAATGATGTTTATATGATTCTTATTTTAGTGTTTTTAAGACAATAAGAACTTGTTAAACAATTAAAAATTTCTTGAGAGATCTGGAATTATTTTTCAACCAAAAATATTTGGACTTACCAAACAGTTCTGAAAGAGTGCTGCTTGCTTGTTTGGCATAGCCATTGATTTCACTGCCAAGGCTGCTTATAATAGACTCCTTGTTGTCACCCTGACCATCACCCTTCAAGCTCAGTCCCTGCAAACAAATCCAGAGCTCCAATATAAGTGTTCTCAAGTTGTTTCTATCATTCCCTCCTCCAACAAATTAAATTAGTCAAATATATAATGTGCTTATCATCATTCTTTAAACTTATCACACTCAGTATGTATAGAATTCAATCAGTGAAGATGTGTGGTTTCCATGAACATTATTTGTCATTTCTAAATGAAATGTTATTTTAATGAGACACCACAAATCATCTCTTTTGTGATGTGTTGAAAACTCACCCTGGCAGCAAATGAGCTTTGTGATTGGGCAATGTGTGGCGAGTCTCCACCCCCTGACCTGTTTATCACTGTTGTGGAATCCGAGCTAATTCTTCCCCGCTGGCTACTAGCCTGTCCTGTGGAGTTGGTGGAGCCACTGTAAGCTGAATCGCTGCTACTTCGAGATATTGGTACTAGGACTTTTGATTCTATACGTGGTTTGGGACTAAAAATATAAAATATTGAAAAGTATGAAGTGTGTCAATGTGCCTGCACACATACAATTACATTGCAAAGCTATAAACCTTAAGAAAATAATATTTTTATTTAATTCCAAGTGTATCAATCTTTATTAGATATAAAAATAGAACAAACAGAATAATCAAAAAACTTATAAGAAGCTATAACCCTTAAGAAAAGATTATTTTTATTCAAGTCCGAGTGTATCAATCTTTATTACTTATAAAAATAGAACAAATACAATAATCCAAAAACTTATAAGAAGATGGTATCTTTGATGTAATACTGTCATATTTTGTACTTTAGAGAAAAATGGTTAGCTGTCCATGATACTAGTGAATGATTTTCTTATTTTAACTGTCATATGGGGTGGCTGCCTCATATACTGAATGAATTTTTTTTTCTTAGTTACACATACCTTATCGCTTGTCCTGGGATGCTACCATTGGGTGGTGGAACAGAATCAAATACACTGCCTGGGGAGTCCAAGTCATTCTGGAAGTGGACAAATTTATAGAATATCATAATGATACCTGAACAAAATTTATTTTTAAAGTAAATTAAATGTCAAAACATTCCAAACCTAGACCATGTTTCTAGTCCTTACATAATTAATTAACAAACAAAATAAAATAAATAAATGAACAAAAAATAGTAATAATAGAAATAAATATATGCCAGTGGTCTATATTACTGAAATCACTCACCCCAGGGGAGTCTACTTGTGAGCCTGCTTGGGAATTAGTTTTGTCCATATCACTGGCATACTGCAGAGGACCTGAGGAGGAATCAGAGTCCATCTCGCTATCCTCAGAAGAGGAGGAATCAGTGGGGCATATCAGTGGCTCCGGCACCTGGAGCTCTCTCGGTGGAGCATACACATAAGATGTGTCTTTGGTGATACTGTCCACGTCAAACACTTCTGAATAAGATAGACATGAGACATGAGCAATGCATCTAAACGATTGTGAAAAAAATGACCATGTCACTTTGTGCTTAAAATCAGATGGCAACTTAAGCTTGAGTTAATTATACAATATAATTTTTAAATAGCCATCTTAAATTTAATTACTTAATTCTAATGAGAATAGAATAGTTTTAAATGTCTAAAATCTTTCTAAAACAGAGGCAATTGTTTACAAATGAAGATAAATGAAAATAAATATATGGAAAATTTTCAACCTGGTGTTTCTCCATTAATTTCACTGTTGACCATATCAATGACAAAATCACTGAGTGAAGAATATGATGAACTGCTGCCTCCACCATCACTGTCACTACCACTTTCATCTTAAAAACAAATGATTTCCTATCTATAACAAATATTCTTTAAAAAGTTAAAATGGAAAAATACATACCTTTTGGGCAAGATGTCCCTTACATCGTAAAAATACAATAATTTCAATTATGATCCAACAGGATTAGTGACTTAATATATCAACAAAAGGGATTAATTGCAGAATCCATACCTTCTAGAGAATGTGACATGCTATTACTACCTGTTGGGTCCTCTTCCTGAGCTCTCTCAGCAGCAGTTAAAGCCATTCCCAGACTTGAAGTATTATCATACACTCGGAACTGAACTTCTTGCAGCTGCTTGCTGTACCACTTAGGTTTGTCTCCAATAAGAGACGGGTCAAACACCCCCGTCTGAACCCTCAGGAAAACCATGTTTGTGGGATTTAAGTAAAACTCAGCAAAGTACTCAACAGCCTGAAGAGATAAATGGAGGGTCAGTCAGTTCATCTTATTATCTGTTTGTCCAGAGTTTTAAACTTATTTCAGCATTCAATTAAACTCAAATATTTATGATTACAGCTCACTGTTCACTAAAAGCTTTTTAAGAAAACTATTTTTATGATTAAGTCTTGTGAGATTCAGAAAATAACAATATATAAAAAAAAATTTTGTCTGTTAATTTGTTTACCTGAGTTCTTGCCAGCCTGATAGCAAATGTTGTCCGTGTGGGTCTGGACTTAACAAAGCTGGATATCTGAAAGGCCACTACAGGCCGTGGATACAGACGTAATGTTCGCGTGTGCTCACTGAAGTTACCCAGGAGGTTGGGAGAGTTGAAGAATCTAACCTGTAGGTATAAAAATAATAATAATAATAATAATAAAATTTAAAAAAACTGACTGTAATACAAAATAGCGACATTCATTTTATTCAATCGCTAAAACTTCCATGAGGTCAATCAACCTAGTAACTTTGAAATACTTGATTTTTGTAAGGTTTGACACAAAATCTACTGGTAAATAGCCTTGGACTGGTGTCTAGCATCACAGACTATATACATCAGTAACAAAGGTGAAAGGAAGAATTTGAAATACCATAATTCAACACTACCACCAGCATAGACTTTCACCTTATGACATTGCAGGCAAAAGTATAAAAACATTTACTTGCAGTTACATCATACTTTATTCAATAAGCTAACGAGCTTAACAAGATTACCATGGAAACACATGATTTATAATACATCAGTGTACATGTAACCATCCAGCATAAGTATAAAGGCTAGATTGTCTTCAATGTCACCGTTTTATTTAAACATGACATACAGAAGAAACTTAACAAATAAATCCCTGTAGCATATAACATTTATCAAAGTGAATATTTTGAGATAATGAAAAATTAAATTTAATTCTGGATCTTACATTGAAATAGAGATTACAATGTTTCAACCTTATTGCAAGGTCTTCATCAGGTGAAATGATTTTGAATTATCACCAGTGCCATTCATAGAACATTACCATGTCACTGGTGACAGTTCAAAATCAGTTCACCTTCAGAAGACCTTGCAATAAGGTCAAAATGGCATGATCTCTGTTTCAACTTAAGATCCCGTATTAGACTTAATTTTCTCATTATCTCAACATAACATTTACATAGTAAAACTAATAAAAATGTCAGACATGATAAAAACTACGAAGGTTCTACGTAGTTATGGGCCTTCTGAAATCTGGCTGGATTATTATACCCTAATGACTCCTGCGTGGTTGCTCTGCTCTGGACTTGAATTTGAATATGATGCTAGTAAAAAATTGTAAACCTCTTGCTCTCCATGACATTGCTGATGACGATAAATCTACTGAAAATTTATCAAATTAGATTTCCCCACCAACCCCACCAAGTGTTAATGATTTCTCACTTTTGTTGAAACACAGCACTTGGTTTTATCTAATTTAGCCATCACAGTATGTCCCACAGGAATATTAGGATATGGATTTAAAAATAATTAGTGCAGTTCACTAGAACTGTTTGCCAGAAAATCACCTTTTCAAATCCTCAGAGCTTAACTGACCATCATTATAACTCACAGCATCATGCAATAATGCTATACCAGTTAAAAAATAAAATCATCATAAAATCTATAAATTTAGTATATGAAATATTGCTCTACATACCATAGCCACACGTGTGGCAATGTCTACAGAGTCCACATCATTGCCATAGATGAAAGGGTTAAAACCTGTGTTGGAGGAGTTGAAACTTTCCCGCCTTGGCCATAATTCTGGATTCTGAGCCAGGGTCTCAAGGTTCTTAATGGGTTGAGGAGTCATACTCATGCTAGCTAAAGCCTGTAAACAATCATTTCTTGCCTTCAAAATTCACATTATGGAGTACGCATGATTGCATGCTTTTAAACACTACTTCTATTTTTTGTGCAATTATTCTTTATTAGCCCCATATATTTATCTTGATGCTTTAACTGTTGCGCTAAACAATATTCAAAGAGCAATTTAACAGAGCATACAATTCAAATATACACATGAAAAGACATATATCATTTTCATTTATCTCCCACCAACACAACTACAACAACATGGTCTTTAAATTCATTCTCTCTCTCTTCAAGAAAATGTTCATAGTTATGAATCCCCCCCCCCCCCCCCCCCCCCCTCTGATCTTACCTGTTTCAGGTGATTCTTCAGCAGTGACCCCTCTGGCTCTGGAAATGGTGGCAGATCATCACAGCCTGAAGGCACCTTCACCTGGAAACACACAGAGCTACATGGTACACCAGGAGAATACAACTGTAAAATGAAGGCTCCTCTACATATCTATTCAGCAGTATTATAACTGGGTGAGAAAATCACTTCACTTTTTGTATTGTTGTTTGTTATAACTTATGACTAATGTTTTTTTCTGTACCACTAATAACAACATTCTATGGCTTGTAATCAATGTAAACAATTCTAAGTCATGCAAGGAAATGATATATGTTAAATCAATATAAATGTGAAGTACATCTGCTGCATAATTTATTTTCTGACCCATGTTTTTTTTTTTTTTTTTGTGACAGTAAGCATATCAATATTTCAGGATTTCCTCTACTTTTATTTTAAAGAAACCAGTGCACGGTGATAGGAAATTGGACTTGAGGTGGGACGGCGCTAATCAGTTTTATTGTACATCAATAGACACCACAAACTACTGGTTTCTAACTATAGGGCATCCTCATCAGTTGTTACATGTTCTCTTACCTTATTAGAGTCCAAGTCCACCAACCACACATCATCGGGTAATTGGAAATCCCTTTTATATAATAGGAAGCTGGCAGGCACACCAATTATGTAGGGAGTGGGTGCCAATAGCAACTGAAACAATAAAAAAGAGTAAGAGAAAGGATCAGTATCAAATCAATGATTCTTTACATTTAAAACAAATTTGCAAAAAAACAATTCCAAATCTTGAGCTACATTGTTTCAATTCTTTTTTTATATTGGTACTAACAGTAAATCAATAGTACTAAAACCGTTGCCGATTTGGGAATAAATATATAATATCAATTGTAAAAGATTCCCAAAAGAGAGGAGGAGTGAAATGGGGATATTTTCTGTATTATTACAGTAATCACAATTTCAATGTCTCATTTTCAACATACTGCTCATATGAACATCATTCCTGACATAAACCCAACTCAATTTTTGAATCTTTTAAATGCTCACTTTGTCAGGGGCGGATTTAGGCCGTCTTCTGGGTCTTCCGGAAGACGGTCAGATTTTTAAGTTTACATTGACGGGTATCTAATATTTTCTGTCGGAAGACGGTCAGAAATTGAGGACGAATTAACAGAGATAATTTGGAAGACTGTCAGAAAATATCTCTGGATCCGCCCCTGCTTTGTGGCATTTAATAATGAAACATTGATTTTTTTTTTCTTTTTGGGGTGGGGTGGGGGGTGGGGGGGGCAAATGATTAATTACAATTGGTCCAATTCAGTAAGGAATTTTCTTATCTCGGCTCCAAGAAACCAGGAAAATCCATTCTTTTATCGACTTGAATTCAATTCTTATCAAAGTTGAGACTTCCTCTAAAGTTAATTTAGCAAACACTTGAAAATCTTATCACTGCAAAGATAACCAGATATTGGATTTTTAAGTGTACGGTTTCTGGGAGCTACAACTGCGATAATCTTGTGCAAGCACTCAAGTCCAGAGGTTTTCACAGATATGATATTGATTGCCAATAAAAGAGGAACATAATCCCAATGAAAAGCATTTTCTGCTGCTTTATTAAGAAGCAAGCTTATTAATTCAAAATTAATAAATTGGACACAAAACAATTCCCAATGAAAAGTGTGTACATCCTGTGAAATACAGATTGTCAAGTATTAAAAATTGTGAGGTCTACATAATCAATGCCAACATCTAGCCTTAGGAAGACATTATGTCTAATGGAAAAGATAAAATGAGAAGAAATTCACTTAAAATGGGTTAATACTCTTCATAATGTCCTAAACAGCAGCAAATGAAACAAAGTACATACTATGCAGGTGGAGCAAACATTGGGCCGTCTGCTGCTTTTAATTTAATCACAGACCAAAAAAATTTAACACCCTGTGTTGTGAGAAACTAGTAAACTGAATGAAACCTATGCCTTTGAAGCACTCCTCTCAATGACAGGACATCAATATTTGATAGAAAGGTCACTGCATTTTTATTACTCTGATACCATATTATTCCCCTACCACCAAATGCATCATAGAAATGTAACACATAGTTCAATCTCAGAGCAAGAATAAGAATACAGCACAAATATAAATCATTCACTGTTATATCTTGGTCGTACTTTCAGAATATTCTACATAGATAATGATAAAAATCAATACTGCTTGGACAGAAGATAAAGTAATGGTGCCGTTGTTGACCTTGGGTGACATGAAATCCTGTTTATGTGAAAAAGATAAAGCACTTTTAGTTGAGATAAACAGGCAGCAGGGGCAGAGTTTTAACATTTGGTGTGGTTAAAGTATACATATCGTATTTTATGCACTTGAGTTTCCTTTCAGGATGTGGGGGTTGGTTAGATAAATTGACCTTTTACTAGTAACTGCATAACTGCTCTGCAAACCTCATACATATAGACAGTAGTGGTATCATAGGGAATGTTATAGTTTGTTGAAATAAAGAACAAACTATAATCAAATGTTGCATAAGATAAATCCATACTGTTTCAAATTACCATTATTTACATGATTATAGAATTGTCAATATTGCTGGGGGTAGGGGGGGTGGCATTCAACTACTTTTTTCCCCCCTGCCAAACTTTTCTTAGCAGCAGATTCATCAAACAGATGCAGGTTGCAGCTGGTTTTTCCACCACAAGATATGAAAAGCCAAAAATAAAATTATTAATAAAAGTCTCAAAATACCTGTTCTGCAGACCCCATACATGTAGGTAGTAGTGGTATCACAGGGAACATGTACTCCAGGGGGTATAACATAGACACAAAGGCTATCACACTCATAGTAAGGGCGTTGTAGTCACGAGATTGTAAAATTATCTGAAATCATGGAAAAAAAAACATGTATTTGTAGTCATGAAAAAGAATGTGATCCTAAACAGTTGCTTGGTCTCCAACTCAAAGTAATAAACTTTAAAACTTCAAAAGATTATACATAATCTTTCTTTTACCATGTTTATTACCAAACAAACCATTCAAACCATGTTGAGGCTAGAAAAAATTTCTTTACAAACATTATTTACATGAAAAAAGGGTTTTGTGCAAATAATTTCAGCTTAGTTTATGACTTATCCTAATAAGCAGCACCCAACCCAAAGGTCTCTTTAATAATACCATTCTTCCTTGATTTGCATGATAATAAATTTAACTCATAATAAAGAAGGACTCATAACTCATAAGAATTAGCATTAAACAGCTTGTCCTATTTTTCAGTTGGTATGGTGTTCAGCATATAGCGGTAAATTAACTTATGCATTCCTCATATTGGACTTGTTCTGAATATCAATTACTTATAAACAACTGTGTGTGCATGTGTGCAATTCATAATATATCTGGAACATAACTTGAAATGGAAGTAGTGAAGCTGATCACCCTGTGCAAAATAAATAATAAGAATTCAAAAAATTACAAAAAAACCACATCAATTGACGGCGTATTTCTAAGCTTTTTCTGATATGGAACAAAACACTTGTTTATGTAAAACTTCAATGGTTTTGGCCTAGTCATATTGGACTTGCAATTTTGTATGTTGCTGTATGATGTATCTACGTATAATTCATAATAGTTCAACATGATTAACACCATTCGGATGACCAAAAAAATGACTGGCTACTGGTCAGTTGTTTATGTTCAAGATTTTAAAAATCAATTCCAACCACCTTAGATCTTCCATTTTCATCCTTGTGGCATTGGTTTAAGTCTTAGTGGAAGTAAATATATTCAAGCTTGTTCATAAGACCTGGAGAGACAGCCACAGGCAATATTTGATTCAGTTGCAATATGATGCAATCTCAAATACAGTATCTTTCTCACTAGATATCAGTATGCAGTTTGATCTGAAAGCTGTAATGCTTTTTTTTCCTTTTTTAAAAAGGAAATCATCTACCTAAAAGCTAAAAGCAGGGGTGGAAAGCTTAAAATCTTTTTCAATACACGTTTACAATACATGTGTAAAAATTCTGAAAAAAATTCCTGTCTGTCACAATGATCTTATCTGTACCTTATTTTCCAAAATAATACAAGCCAGCACTTTGAGGCAAGTCTCTACCCCCAGTAACTCCAGTGGTAAGTGGAGTGGGAAGTCCACCAGGGAAAAGCGGGTGTGATCAGGCAGTGCAAACACCATAGGGGCTGACATTTCTGGGGGAAGAATATCAACCTGGAATGATACAAAACACAACAAGGGATTACTCAACTTGTTTATATGTTGTACCACTATTGCTGACATATAAGGAGGTCACCTAGAGTTGAAATAAATATAAATACCCTTGGTGTGATAACTTCATGTAAAATGTCTTGTTAAATCAC